TTTGCGCTTTCCGTTTTCGATATTTTTTTTTTTCTTTTTTCTTTTGTATACTTAATCTTAGAACATCATTTTATAAAATGTCTGAACGTAAGGTATTGAACAAATACTTCCCACCTAATTTCGATCCTTCGCAGATCCCAAGACAGTAAATATTCGCTGCTGAAAATTGAAAGAATAGCAAACTGACCCATTTTTTTTTTTGACACTAGAAAAAAACCAAAGGATCTGCAACACAAAGTACGTCTCATGTCTCCATTTTCAATGCGTTGCGAGAGCTGCGGTGAATACATTTACAAGGGAAAAAAGTTCAATGCAAGAAAAGAAACCGTAGAAGGAGAAATGTATTTAAATATCAAAATCTATCGATTTTATATTCGATGTCCTCGTTGTTCAGCCGAAATCACTTTCAAGACGGATCCAAAGAACACGGATTACGTAGCAGAGAACGGAGCCAACCGAAACTTTGAACCTTGGCGGGGAGAAGAAGAGCCCAGTGGATCAGAATCTGATCCAGATGATCCCATGAAGGCATTGGAAGACAGAACACTGGATTCAAAAAGAGAGATGGATATTATGGACGCCTTAGACGAAATTAGAACTCGTAATGCACGATCGGAACGAGTGGACGTGGAAGATGTTTTGGATAGATTCAGTACAGAAGATAAGGTTATCATTAGTTCGCGCATGAAACGTGAACAAGAAGAGGACGAAAAACAGGCAAAATCTATTTTTGAAAGTGCCGATGGTGAGCAAGTGCGTAAATTAAAAGAGGCAGAACCAGACGCGATTCATTTAGTCAATCAATCTTCAGCTGCCATGGAGATTCCTTCGTTTAAACCTTCCGCTATTAATAAAAAGAGGAAAACACCTTCATCTCCACTCGTTATTGTGAAAAAGAAGAAACCAGAGCCCACCAAGAATGCTTTATCCTTATTAGCAAGTTACGACGACGACTCTTCCTCCTCCTCAGATTAAACATTAAAATAAATATAATAATATTACAAGTTTCTGTTTTCCTTTTTATTATAAAGAAATATACATCGACCTCTTTTTACCAGAAGGGTAAACAATCATAGCCGCAGCAAATAAGCCTGCTGATAAACCCAACGCAATGGTCAACATCTGCATAGGGAAAATACTTTGTCCCATGTCAGTTTGATGTAAGACAGAATAAGCACCACGCACACCTGCATCGATATTAGTATACATGAAAAAGGGCCTGGCTTTCACATTTTCTTTTCTTTTAAAATTCTTACCAATACTTCCAGGGACTAATAAAGTGACACCGACACAGAGAGGGGCTAAAGGGGGTTCACCTGTCACTTTCAATGCGAAATTTGAATATAATCCTACGGCAAAAGCAGCAATGCTACCAACAATCTGTCCATCGGGTACCACTTTTCCTAGAAAGTAAGTCAAGCAAAAGGCAATGGTAGCGGATATTGTTTGAGAGATCCATTGTTTGCGTGAGGATCCATAGGAGAGTGCAATAGAAATGCTCAGTATTGGCAATAAGAGAATATAAAACCATGGCGAAACAAGGGTTTGACCGCACAGTCCATCATCAGGTGCACCACTATCAATCGCATTATACATGCTACTTCCAACTTGCAATCCATAACCCAATTGAAATGCATAAAATACTGCATATACTAGCCGAATAATACCCGTAGTTACATGTCTTGCAGATAATTCAATCTAATAATAAAAAAGGGGTGAGAAAAATAAAATTAATTTTAAAAAAAAGATCTAATCTTTTTTACCACGCCCACCGTCATTGTATAACCAGGTAATAGGATCAAAATAGACGACATAGCAACACTAGTAAAGCAGCAGTAATTATGAAGAGCCCGCGTGATAAGAGCTACTAGTACAGAAGCAGATATTTCAAAGACACGAGCATAAATCGGAAAATAGCCAGACAAGATATAGAGAATAGCTACCATCAGGCCTAGACTACCACTTATACAAGCATCGATCCAAGTACCACCAAACATCATGGCTGATGCTGTAAAACTACTAGCCGTAAAGAAAATTAAAGTGGATAATAATCCACAGGTGGGTGGAGCTGTTGCAACCTCGTGAAGTACAACTAGACAACGATCTAGATCGATTTCACCTCTATAAAAATTGTTCATGATATCATTGATTTTGACGATTTTGCCGTTATCAAAACCTTGAGGGGATTTCACCATGATGGACTGTGAATCGCTTGCATTGGTAAAAGTAATCAAGACCGAATCGGGAAGGAAGGAAAAGGAAGCGTCCAAAACTAATAATTTAGCAGTATGTTGAAGTGCTTCATCCACTCGATGACAAGGACACCCACATTTCAATAGTAATCTTCCCAACAAGATGATCACACTCTTCTTTTTCTCGTACAAGAGTTCATCCTTTTCGGCATGATGATGCGTATGTGGATTTTCAATCATTGTGCTTGTCGTGGCTTCATCCTCGGCGGGGTTAGCACTAATCATACCGCTTAAACGATGTTGATGTAAATGTTGTGGATTATCTCGCGAGACCATAATATCTGCTCGACGCATACTAATAGCAGTGGCTATGCTATTGTCTCTTGTAAGACTGCTATTATAGATAGGGGCAGGTCTCGAGGTAATGCTATCGTCCATAAAATAATTGGATTTCGTACTGACACCTCGTTCCAGATCTGGGGTTGTTGCAGACCTGATATTCAGGCTGGTAGGGGCTCGCCACAACGAAGGTTGAAATGGCAAGGGTGCATCCACGGCCGATGCTGTTGTTGCTGCTATCGTTGATGCGTTTTCTGCTGTATTATCTGCTGTAATTTGTTGTTGTTGCTGTTCTTGAATGCTATCATCTGTTGTCTCGTCACTAGCAGTTTTCTTTTGGTGGCTATCTGTCAGCGTGGTTTGAGAAGCCAAACTTGAGAAGGAACCGGCATCGTAATACGTAGAAGATAAATTCCGCTTGAACTTTTTAGACATTTTGTACTATTGGAAGGAATGAATAATAATAAGAAAAGAAGAATTTATTTAAAAAAAGGTTTGGAAAAGCAACTTATATATAGCAATTATTATTATGGCAATACCAACTGTGGAGGTGCTGTGGGTGATGTAGTGTGTGCACTGAGTGCTTATGTCAAAAACGTAAAAAAAAAATTTACGGGTTAAAAAAAGAACTTGCCTTATTTTTATGATGGCATCATCATTAACTTAAGAAGCGACACTGGATGTGTGTATGTTCTAGATAATAGACAATAAATATTTTTTGTTGTTGTAGATCAAATTAATATGGTTACTCAGATGGCATATATTTGCTGTAGTTGATTTTTTTTCTCGGCAATAGGTTTCGGCTGATGTAATTCATCATATAATGTGTACGCACACAGAAAAAAATAGGAGTTGTGTGGGAGAGTCAATCAAAAACCCCGATTTCTTTTAGTATATCGTCATTTATACGGTAATCTTGTAACAGAAAGAATCATCGAGCTAAAATCTTATTAGATGCCGACATAACCGTTGGTATAAATACACTGCTTTTATTACAGTCAGTATAGAATATATAAATAACCAAATTAGGTCTGTGACGGCATAGACATCACACAGAATCTTCACGTCCGTTGAATAAAATCTTGGACTTTACTTTCATCATGGAGGATCAACTCTTTTCTGGTATTATCAATTTATTGACTCCTTATAATAATGCTCTTGAAGGTAAAATGTTTATAACTATGATTATTTTGACGACGTGGTCAATGCCATCATCCAACAGTTGCTAGATATTGACCCTTCCAATCTCGCTCAGGCCCTTCTTTTGGACTAGCAAACCACAGACTACACAACTTGGTTTTAAATGACCGTGGATCATAGCTATAATTGTCACAAACCAGGAAATTCAAAATGCAATGCCTAAGTACAACCATCTTTCAACTCTGGTCATGTCATGCTGATGGTCATGAAAGTCAGCAATGTCCCCGTAATTCCCCATCTCCCTCAGGAAAAAAATAACGCTTTCACCCCCACTCCTAAGATTGACTCTACCTCACCTTCGCATCAAACCAGAATGCCCATCCCAAAAGCTTTTTTAATAGAGCACACTTAATGAATACATCTCCTGTTGTGTTTTCAGCACCCCTCAGACAGTATTATTTTAGTTTCTATGAATTTTTTAAACATCTTCTTATTTATTAAGTTCTGTATCGATGTTAATGCTAACGCCAGTCATGCCTCTAGTGGGGCTAGGGATTAAGCATAGTAACACAGCTAACTCCTTGCGGATCTTCACAAAATAATAATAAGAATAGAGTTGTATTAGGTCTAAAAATTTATAAATAGATTAGTGCTATAAATCTAAAGCTGAACCCCCCTAATATATGTATATATATAAAGGCTTGGAATACACTATTTTCAAAAAATATTAGATCAAAATGTAGAAACAAATACGTTCATTTTCCAAAAAAATATTGGTTCAAAGATCGTAAAAAAAAAAAAAAAAAAAAAAAAAAAAAAAAAAAAAAAAAAAAAAAAAAAAACTGAGCTTACCCTTTGAATGTATCGATGTTTGACCTACAATAACAGGCCCGTAAAGTTCTAGTTACGACGTTGACAAACATTTCTAATGTTTACTTGATTTTTTTGGGTCCTTGCACTTCTCCGTTGGTCTCGGAGAGCCTCTACGTGTTGAAATCTGGGGAGGAATGACGTTTCCAACACGAGGTGAACGAACAATATCAACCATGTTCCAGCAAGCAGCCATATCACAATTCCATAGACGATGAACAATCCTATTTGTGTTATTAGTCATGGCTCAGTTATTTCTCTGTTGATTTCAGATTTTATCAATTCATTGATTAACTCTTCACGTTTTCTATCAGCAGTTAGTTCAGCATGTCTTTGTCGAATACGAAGTAGATGTTTAACAGCATGTCCGAAATTATTTCCTAAACGCATCTGAAAATTGTTGCTATAAGCTGTAAAATTCTTTGCTCCTTCGATTAAAGATACTTGCTGACCATAACAAAAACCTGGTGGGAAAAAATTAGAGGCCTGTAAATAGTCATGAAGATAATCCTCAATGAATACAAGAGTCGCTGCAGTTCTTCCGGCAGCTCTTCCTCGAGCAAACCGAGTCAGTTTGAGCCACACCTCGGCAAAAAAATTGCGATTGATAAATTGTCTGATATCAAAGTTCTTGTCTTCTTGAATGGCACGCAAAAAAAAAGTACTTGGAGAGTGAATATGCGTGTGTAGTAATGTTGTTGACTGTAACTACATATCCTTCGAGACTTCCACGTCGCTCTGGGTCTCAATCAATACCATAGAGCATTTGACAAATAAAATACGATCACCAGGAGCCAAAGAACTAGATGTGCGGATATTGTTTTCAGATGTACATGGCGTACCAAACAAGGATCTATTAGAATTCATACTGGTAAAAAAAGGGCAGTTATTTGAAGTAAAAAACTTGCTATTATAACATGTTAGATAAATGACACTCAATTTTGGATCGGTTGTCACAATATTTACATTTTCCGTATAAATTGTTAGGAATTTTAGAGTTAGAGTAGCTATACGTAAAATAATAATAAAAGAGAAACGTTAAGATTGAGGTAAACTTTTTTATCGACTTTTATAAGATTTCATCACTGTTGTTGTTGAAAAAATGGGAGAAGATCAAAGAACAATAAAATTCGCATGAAGCAATGATAAATGCACTTTTTCTAGCTCTCATTTTATATTTATTTTTTCTGAAAGGAGGCACACACCTCATATTCATAATAGAAAATTACGGATTGCCCAAAAAATATACGAAAGCAAACGGAAAATAATCGTGTCATCCAAAGTAAAATAAAAATTACTTGGGATTAATAGGTAGTTAATTCCATACCCCTTATATATACAATGGAACAGGTTACCTTTTAAGGGTGCCAGGTAAAGAAGGAAGTCTGGTGCATCCATATCCATTCTTTTTGATATACTTATGCACTTATATATCTGTTGCCAATAAGTATGTTGTTCATGACGAGGTAGTGGTATTTGATTTACTCATGGTAACGCAACGCATCCAGAGTGTTGGCAAGAGAAAAATTAGGGGGGTGGGGTGGGGGTTTGCTACCCCTTGCTCTCCTGATGGGTGAACAACAACAATTTCAAGCTTTGCTCGTTTGTGTGTGTCAAAATAGACCAATAATTATATGGTTTAAACCCAATCATTCAATTTTTAAGAGCAATCTCAAGCAGCATGATGGATAGAGTGAGGCTTTAATATAAGAGTTACATACGCATGTAATAGGGCACTTATCTGGGCTCTCCAATATGGTGAATCATTTTCCATTGATACGTTTTCCTCCTAATTTAACAGTACACCTATTTAATGATAACAGATATATTTCTCTCTCGTTCATTTCGTTTGTAGACTATGCATGAAAAAATAATTAATTTTTATGCGATTGTTTATTCTGAGTCGCTGATTGAAATTTTATACTACTAAGCGTTTTATTATATGTATATCAAAATAATCATATTTAATTGGTATTCATTTTGGATAATGCATTCTTAATGCTATCTTCTGGATTCACAGTGATGAGACCGACATGTTCATTTTTTAGTCTTCGCGTGACCTCCTCTTGTTCAGCAAGCAACTCCTACAATTCAATAATTAGATATTATACTTGATGACAGGTATCTTCTATTTTTTTATTATTTAAAAAACAAAAAAACTTACGTTCAGTTTCATTAAAAGCTCAGCCGCTTTCACCCAATAGACGCTGTCATCCCAGTCTCGTGGAATCAAAGCCGATCTCTGCTCAATGAATGCCCATTTGTTACCTTCCACTCTTTTTGTTGATAATAACGTGATGGTGTTATTAATGACTTGGATTGCGAAAACCTTACGACCACCAAATGTCAGCCAGGATGCTGATTGATATCGTCCCATTTCATTCTTTAGACATCGGCTTGTAGCCTCCATTAGTTTAAGAGTATCCTCCTCGGTATGTTCTCCATCAACCTCACTATATTTTAAAAGTTTAAGCTTTTTACTTTTTTTTTAAAAAAAATATCCTTGTTTACCCCGAGCATTCCATGACTAATCTCTCGGCTTTATCTTTGACACTGTAACCAATACCATCCATTAGTTTTTTCTGCTCATCATCCAAACATACTGCTAATTGCTTATTAGCCTCGAGCCCCTTTTCACACCTGTTGTGATTCACAAAACGGATTAGAAATTGAGAATATTAAATGATTTGCCTGTTCTTTAACTTGCCACATAAAAGACAGATTCTTATAAACCGCACTGAAATACTTGAATACAGGAATGATATGCTCACAATAAGGTGTTCTCTCATTGGTACCAGTGTAATAAGCAGGTTTCTCACAGTTTGCATGATAGTCGATAAGAATGTATTTTAATAGATTGATTGCTTGCACTTCATTTTTAGAATGGTAATTGTCAGCTTTATAACACATCACTCTATCCAAAAAATTGGCATAATTTCCATCTATTGCTTGCATTAAGAATTCCTGGACTTTCGGAAGCTTTTTTAAGCATTCATTAGCATCTTGGTCCTTCATATTACTATTGTATTCTTCGGTTATTATTATTGAGGTAGGGGTTGATGGTGAGCTTGCGATGAAGATTTCAAATGTAGATTTAATTAATGAAGCATCTTTATCAGTTATGCGTGGTTTGTTTATCACTAAAAATTGATGGCTTATTGGTCTTGAAAACTGGAATAACTTCTTATTCTTCTTTATCTCGACCCTTCCATCCTAATATTTAAAAGTCAATTAGATTATGCTTCTTCTAAAATAAAAATATAAAATCAACTTACTTCATCACCTTAATTGGATATAGTAGTGATTTTGTTATTAGTAAATACAGCCTTACTCCATCCAAGAACGTGTACGTGTAGCTTACCTGCTTTTTTACTGCCCTTTCGCTTACCCTAAATAAAGAAGTTCATTAAATTTGTGATAGTTGTCTTAATTAATCATATATTTACGAGTTGATTAATGTTGTTTATCTGGTTGATACTCCCGTAATTATTTAACAGATCAGCGACCTTTGTTGAGGAAGAAGTTGCTGCGTCAGTCGGTACTGGTGTGAGAGGTGTGCTTGAGGATGGGGTTGTTGTAGGTAGACTTTGGTTTATAGTTTTCATGACCTAAGAAAATAGATATTTCATTGATATAGTACTCAATATTACAGGGAATTATTTTTCATACAGTGAGTTCTTTCAACAACGCTTGACCACGTTTTCTGAATGCTTTACGCGTTTCAATACATCTTTTAAGTGATATTTCAGCTAAATCATAAGCTGCACCAGTGGAAACGTTTTGATTGATGTAATATAAAAGAGCGTCGGCAAGCTTCCAATCTTTGGGCGGTGTAGAATCAAAATAGTAGTGTTCAATTTTGCTGGTAGACATGGTTTAGAAACAAAGCTTTATTTTGTAAGAAAATAAATCAACACGCGAAAAATTCCACGCCGCAGAGCATCTCCTTAAAAACCCGAATAAAAAATGAATGACGTCAGAGTTTTCCTTTGGCTTTTTCATGCGGAATGACCTTACTTGGTAAAGAGATGAAACCGAACAGTGGAAACGGCGTCTATAGAAACATAAGTTTCCTTGTAATTTGCATCGTCTTGAGATAGTCGCAATACAAATTTTGCATTAATACGATCATATACAGATACGATAGAGAAAAAAGTTATATCACTTACCAATTAATCAGAGATAATACCTACTGAACACTGGGGGTACAGTTTCAATGAGTAAACCATCATGATTAATGCTACAAATTAATAAAATTAACTTTAGATACGACTGAATTTTTTCGAATAGACCGCATAGAACGCATATAAAATTATCATACCTGTAACAGTGTAAGACACTGTTTGTAACGGAAATCAAATCGGGTCTCTTAGGGACAGCCAAATTTTTCTTAGGGACAGCCAAAGTGCACGTAGTCATGATTTATGATCGGTTACCTTTTAGTTGTCCCTAAGAGATCTGTCCCTAAGAGTTAGATAATAATCCCATATTTCTAAGAGAGAATGTAAGCACCACTTGATATATACCATATGCAATTCTTTCTCTGATATATTACCTTCAGGATTGTATCAGGCATTCACAGGTCAATGGGTATCCGATAGGTGGAAGAGAAATCATTTAGGACAAATAAATCACTATTTTTTAGGCTCGTGGAATCCCACCTCAAAGTTTTGTTCTTTAAGTTTTTTAATTCCCTTAACTTTCTGCTAAATACCCTGTTGTGTCTTTTCTACACAATTAGAAGTGAGCTTGTTTTTTTTTATCTGTTACTGCCCAAAAGAATATTTTCTATACTGGGCTGATGATTATTAAAACGTTCATTCTCATTAAGTTGAGTGTAAGAAAAAACTCATTTTTGGTGGCTCTTATTTTAATATGATAAAGGCAATTAAATTTTTAACTGTCCTTTGACGTTGACAATTAGCTTCGGATAACCCACCAGTGTTAAGGTAAACGCCGCCTCTTTCACAATGAAAATAACATTTAGTTTCTGAAGGGCAAACTTAAGTCAATTCAAAGTTGTTTCCAAAGGCGTAATTTTTATTCATATCGGTAGCAATTTATTTGGTAGCATTTGGTAGTTATGTTGGCGCTCACTATTTTTTTCAAAAAGTTCAATCTAATTTTTTAAAAAGATACCAATATTTTTTTAAAAGACAAGTACTTTTTTTATAATTGTTTATTAACTTAAAGCATTTTTTCTATGGCAATACATCGAGGAAAGAAGCTAAACAAATGTCGAATCCATCCACGACAATCCTGTAAAGTTACATTTGTAACTGACTCCATAATTCAGTCAAAAGTTCGCCTGTGTCCAAAGGGTTTCTTTTGATACCACTCTTTACCTTAGACCAAAATTCCTCAATTGGATTCAGAAAAGGAGAATATCGAGGCAATTAAACGCACTTATAGCCTCTTTCTTCTATTAAAGCTCTGATTGCGATTGGTTTGTGGATTGGTGCATTATCCATTACAAGATAATAGCCTTGTAATCCATTTCTATCTAAACAATCCATCATGCTGAAGATAGCTCATGAAATGAAACGATCTTGTACCCACTCTACCATTTACGACAACTTCTTTACCATTGACCTTTCTCTTTTTGCTCCCTGTTGTTGAGGTAGGCTTTCTTAATGATATGTCAATTACACCGTCAGTTGAAATTGCGCCTAAAATAGTGATTGAAGTGCTGCGAGAGGTAGTTACAATAGCTTTCGCAGGCTTGCCTTTCTTTGACCAACCTCTGTTACGGGTGATATTGATATCAAATCCTGCTTCGTATATGAAAACGCAGTTTTTTCCAAAGTCCATATCCTCGTTAGCAATCTACTCCTCTACCGATTCTCGACGTTGAGTGATTACATCAATGTGGTTTCGTCTTGTAGGTATTTTCTCAAGTCTTTTAATGGATAAAGCACATTTTTCTCTCATAAATCTATGTAATGCCGACTTACTCGCCTAATTATTCTCATCCGAAAAATGATTCGTCAAACCTTCCAAAACTTGAGCAAGTACAGCAGTAGGTCTTTCGTCGATTGCTTGATCCAGTCCGCATGCCTATCTATTAATTTGAATCGGTATCCCGTAGGAACTCGTTTCTTTCTTTCAGGGATTCCTAATTCTATATCTTTTCTATACTTTTTTCTATGATTAAAACCAGAGTGCAATCGAATACCACTCGAATAACAGGCTAATTTCACATCGGAGCCGGCAGCGATCAAGTCAATGAACATTCCAATATGTTTATCTTTTTACTTTATGTGGATTCTTCTCTTTTTGTCCTCGTACTTAAATTTGGCCTGGTTATAATGAAGGCCACAATAATTCTTTACACGAGTATGTGCTTCTTCTAAAGTCTCATCAATTCGAGCACTCTCCTTGTCTGAACTTTTGTTGCTGTCTTCGTCGTTACTACCAGGGAAAAGCTCCAAATCGTCAGCAATATCATCATTTACTTCTATGGCACTTTCAGTTACGCTAAATGCCGATCCCGCATCTTTGATATAAGTGGACGTACAGCTCTTCAGTCTCGTCGTCACCTTTTACATCAAGATTAAGATCGCTCATAAAAACGTCAAAGGACATGGTAGAAGTTTTTCGAAAAATTAAGGTTATATTTTTGAAAGGCGTTTTGAGGATTTTTTGAAAAAATAGCGAAAATACGGTGGCCAATCCAGTATTGGTACCAACCCCGGCATCAGTAAAAACCTTTTGCCTCCATTAAAAAAAACCTTTCATGAGGAAAAAATTGGGCAGTACAAAAGGAAAAGATAACCAAAGGTCAGCACGATCAGCTCAAAAGTAAACAACCACATTTTGATATGTATTCTGTCTACAAAATTAAATAAAATAGATTAAGTATCATTTATACTTGCTTATTTTTACGATACTTCCGTCTTCTTTTCCCCTTTCTTTTGGTGAACAAAGAAATAAAGAAAGAACAAAAAAAATCTCAAGAGGCTTTTTTATAAGTTGAAAAATAATAATATATCAAATCAAATGTTGTTAGAGACGTCATTTTGTATAATAAGGGGTTTCAACGACAAGTTGAGATAAATAGTTTTTCTACCTTGTGATGGTGGGAACCAGGTTTATGATTTTGATTTGATGTGTATGTTTTACATGGCTCTAAAGGAGGTGTTTGTAAATATATCACTATCAGGATCAATTTCAGGTTTTAAGTTATATTTAGTTTTTGTTTGTAGAAGAAAAAAACTCTCTGTCTTAAGCTTCCAGGTTCTTACTAATGGTATCATATAATTGTAGGATAACGTAAACATGAGACTGTGAATTTTGACTGAAAATCGAAATATCTTACAGATTAAGTGGGTGATTTTCGGCTTGAAATAAAGAAGCTGTCTGAGAATTGAAAACTCTTACAAATTAAGTGAGAGATTGACCGGGAGTAAGTGGCATATGTAAAGTTTTTATTGGACACTTAAGTTTATTTGGGGACCAAAGGCTCATCCAAAAGACCTAAAAATTAGATGGCGTTTGTTCTAACGCGGGAATAAATGAAGTCATCAGCTTCAAAAACCGGTTTAGAAGCTCCATGGTTGCTTTGCCCATCAAAAATCTGTAGCCTGTTCCCCTCTTGTTTTTTTATTTTTGAAGTGTCTTATTTTTATGGATATATAAAGAGATATTCTATATTGAAAAAAAAAGGAACCCGATATCTTAAGCCAAATTAAATAATTCTGGAATGCAGTAAAGAACACTGTATGGCATCGAAACTGCGAGAATTGATTCTGCTGGTAGAAGTGGTTATGTTGTTTCTTCTTTCTCGACTTCTGATGTCAATAAGATGTTATGTTGGACAATCTACAAATAATTATTTGCAGCTGCCCTGACTTCCGCTTTAGCAATATCGCATGCAAACACATGTATTTGTTGAAGTGTGATATGTCTTGGTTGCCTGTATTTGAAGGTAAACATAAATACTATTTAATTCTTTACGGCTTCATTTTTTTTTTTTTTTACTAACCTTAAATCGAATAGTTTCTTTCGACCCCACTTTCTCAACCATTCCCCAAAGCTCGCCTGATAGCTCAGCTCTTCTTACTCCAACTGAACAAGCTCCTCTCACCGCTCCAAGCAATTCTTCAATAGATTTTGACACTCTACTTTCTAACATTCATAAACTTAAACGCCAGCAATATACTTTGACCGAAACTGAGCTCGAAGAATTAATGGCTTCAATCACTGGTTTCTCTCTCGTATAAATTCTACAAACATTCCTTCCAATTCTAATTTTACTATACAAAGATAACAAAAAAAAAGTTAATAATAACGCTCTGTCTAAAAATCAAAAGCAAAGCAGTCCTCTACTTTTAAAAACCGCTCAAAAATTCGGGTATATAAGTAAATTGCAGAAAGTTATTACGTCACGATTTCTTATAAAAAAAAAAAAAAAATGTTTTTTTTTTATTTTAATTTTTTTTATGAGAATAAAAATAACTTGAGGTTTGCCTATTTTCTTACATTACTTCCACTTACTGTAACTAACAGATGACCCTTATTTTCGAGCACTATAATTAACAGATGACCCTTATTTCCGAACACTATTCATACGAAGTACTCTTGTTATTGTTCCTGGATTGTAGGTGTATGTGGTTGCAAACGCTCTTATTAAAAGACGCCGACGATCTGTAATAGTTGGTACATCCTTCTATTTCATTTCACATATTCCCTATCTTCTGGTGCGTAACTTGCCAATCCTGTCCTTAACGGATGGCTGCGGGATCTGTACTATGAATAATTGCTGAAGACTAATTGGAGGTCTATGACTAAAGTTGGTTGAAAACGATGGCGGTTTGTTTTCTGTTGAAAAGCGTTCTAGCACTATTCATGCAAAGTACTCTTGATATTGTTCCTGGATTGTAGGTGTATGTGGTTGCAAACGCTCTTATTAAAAGATGCCGACGATCTGTTATAGTTGGTACATCCTCCTATTTCATTTCACATATTCCCTATCTTCTGGTGCGTAACTTGCCAATCCTGTCCTTAACGGATGGCTGCGGGATCTGTACTATGAATATTTGCTGAAGGCTAATTAGAGGTCTATGGCTACAGTTGGTTGAAAACGATGGCGGTTTGCTTTCTGTCGAAATGCGTTCTAGCACTATTTATGCAAAGTACTCTTGATATTGTTCCTGGATTGTAGGTGTATGTGGTTGCAAACGCTCTTATTAAAAGATGCCGACGATCTGTTATAGTTGGTACATCCTCCTATTTCAGTTCACATATTCCCTATCTTCTGGTGCGTAACTTGCCAATCCTGTCCTTAACGGATGGCTGCGGGATCTGTACTATGAATCTTTGCTGAATTCTTTCAAAACGCAAATTGTAACCATCTTTTCAACCAACTTTTCTGATACGGTATTATTATAATTGTTTATATTCAATGATGTGACAATGTTTTTCAGCGCATTTTTTTTTTTTTTTTTGTAGGTATTCCAAAGCCTCCGAATCAGTCGAATCTCCATATTTGCACACTGCTTAGGGTAAATGGGGAATATTACGCGGAGCCTCCTATTCGAAGGTTTCTTGTTCGTTTCTTATTCTTATTGACTGGTGTATTAGAAGAATGTCTCGCCATAGCACCAATAACTCTGATGTTAGTACGGAACGTATAAAAATCACTGATGTAGCAATTACAAACCACCAAATTTACAAATAAAATAGCTAATTAAGCATTCAATAAAGCATTATCTTAAATTTGATTGTAATTATTGTCCTTCGGACATTGGCTTTTACTTTGGCAAATATTAATTATTCAATTATTGTGTTCAACATGCTGACAAAGAACTGATGCTTCTATTAAAGGGCGTGTCATTAGAGTGGGTTGCATGGGAAATTCGATTATTGCATAATCATATATTATTGCCAAGCGAAAATTATTTGAAATGTTTGTAGGTTGGATACGGCTTAATAGTGGCGATTTGTACGACACACCCGTAAAGAAACCATTCAAAATCCCTGCAAAGAGCTCCAATGGAATGAATATGATTGATTATTTATCCTAAAAAGCTTTTAAATCTGTATTTATTACTTTTTTCATTCGAACATTAAAAACAACTTTGTCATTATGGAGAAGTGAATCAAGCCAGACCAACCCAATGTACTTGCCACTGAACAAAGAGATGGTGATGTATTAAATTATGATAGTACAAAAAGTGACCCATTATTAGCCTTAGAGAGACACTTGATGGAAAATAAGTAGCATTCTTGACTATGACTTGGCGCATCATCCTTATTTTAAGTGCTGGATTTGGGTCATCAGTCCCTATTTTAGGAAATGCAAATGTTTGTTACCACTTTGCGCCCTTCCCTGAGTGGGACGTCATTTCGGATGTCGAAACAGACTTTTTTTTTTTTTACTTTTTTGTTTGTTTCCTTGTATTTTAAATATGGCAGGCAAAGCAGCAAAATCGAGTATACCCACACCTTCTGCCAATAAAGATTTGAGCTGTCTTCGCTGCAGAAAGAAGAAAGCAAAGTAAAGAAAAGAGACTGTCGGGAAAGAGAGAGAGATAATCCTCCATAAGAAAAAAAAGGTTAATGATTTCACTAGATGTTCCAAGACACGACCCACCTGTACTCGTTGTTCTCGGTCTAATCAGCCTGTAAGTTCCTGAGAATCGATTTAATACATGAATCAACTCATTTTTTTGTTGTTGTTGTCATAGTGTGAATACCCTGATGCACCTCCTAATCTTACCGACTTGTCACAAAAGGTACTGACACTTTACGATACCTTGCGAGAATTAGAAGGCGAGTTTCTTGTGAAATACATGCAGACCGATGAAGATGAACATATTAAACTAGAGCCAGTAGAGGAACCAATCATGATGGAACCGATCAAGATCGAGACGGAAGAGCCCACAGGTTGGTCCATGTCGCTAACACCCACCGGTCTCTCTATTCATGCCGTTACTCGAAACTTTACTGAATTTAACGAATTTGCTAAAACTATTTCTCGTCAAGCCATGCGAGACTTTGGACCTGCTTACTTGCCTTCTTCTTGGGATCCTGATGCAGAAGGATATTTTCAAGAAGACTCAGATACAGAGGAATTGGATGAAGATGAATATCTGGTGACTGTACCTGTATTCTCTACCTCTTCTCTATTACACCAAACAACAGAAGAAGTAGACAAAGTTAGCTATGTAGAGACGGAAATAGAATCACAAATACCAGGAATGCTGAGACACCTAACAAGCCAATATGAATGTTTAGAGACATGCGATACATCTCATCATGTCGTCATGTTATTACAGTTATTACGGCCCTATTTACCAAGTGATAGTGAAGGTATCGATAGTCTGTCGCGTATATGTGTGTTAACAGGGTATGCGATCTCTACAAAAGAGTTCCATTCCAAGGAACTGGATATGAAGCGGTGGGAGCCCTGTGCTGAGTATGCACGGGTTCTTTTCATGGAAGAGCTATTGAAAGGAGAGATAGAATGGGGATTTCCAGTAGTTATATGTGGCATTTTACTAGGGTGGATAGGAGCAGAAACAAGGAGGAATGACAAGCTGATTCTGATGTCTATGCGAGTATTATGTGGCAGTGATAGAAAAGAAGGCGAAAGATGGGATGTGTTGATGGCAAGTTTAGTGTATTTAGATGTTTACTCCGCCACTTTTGGGTTTAAACGAGCACAAATGAGTGATGAGATTACGAAAAATGCAATGGGAAAGGAAGCTAGTTTTAGGACAAGCGTGATATTACTGGAGGGAAAATTGATGTGGCTATTAAATAAAGTGGTGCGATTATTTTATCAGGTGGAAGAAACGCAAGGAGAGACGCGAAAGATTGACGTGGATGAAGTGTTAACGCTGGTGAGGGACATTGAAATATGGGAACAAGATTTGCCAGAATGGGCCAAGTGGAATGCGGAAACAGAGACGATTAGAACGAGGAGTAAATTACACATGCATATGATTCATAATACAGTGAAAATTCTATTATTTCGTCCGTTTAGTATAACCAGTCAACAGGATGAACAAACATTTACCAAAACGGTCTTTTTAGACATGTCCATGAGCTCGGCAGACAGACTTGTGAGTTGTATTGTTTATTTGAAAAAAGCAGGCTTTTGGATAAAATCAGCAAAAGATTTGATTTTGGATGTTTCTGAACGAGTTCTGCGCATGTTTGACAATGATCAAGCTATTGTCGATCAGTTAGAAAAAATTCAATCTCGCCTAATTTATGAGGATTCCCAAATAAAAAAAGGAAAAAATTCCAACTAAATTAAGACATTTTGGAAAAAAAAAGTACGTCTCCTGGAACAATTTTAATTGGATAACGAGGATTTCTATTAATTTTTTTTTTTTTTTATGATGGGGGGAAGTCAACAATCTTTTTTATTCCTTTTTTTCTATTCCTTTTCTTTACCGTTATCAATTCCCATGGATACAGGCACAACAAATCATACTGAAGGCACATTAAAGAAACGACCTTTACCTTCATTTGTAAAGAAACTATGGTTGTAAGAACAGGGAATCCATATGTTTCCCTATCCTTTTTATTTTTAACTTTTCTTTTCTTTTTTTATCTTTTTTGCTCTTTTACGCGGATTCAGCATCCTAGGTGATGTTCCATCCCACGAGCACATATTTTGGGTGGATCACGGTCAAGTTATTTGCGTGCCAAATGCTTCCGCATTCTCCAAAATCATCTTACCCAGGTTTTTTAAACACAGTAACTGGCAGAGCTTTGTGCGTCAGTTAAATTGTTAGTATTTTTTTTTCTTTTTTTTTTCTTCCTTTTGTTCTTTTTGTTGTTGTTCTATTTCTCACAATAATCTTTCAGTGTATGGATTCAGAAAAGTTTATCAACTTAACCTAGCATACGACGAATCCGCAGAAAAAAGAACTGTCTGGCAGTTTAAACACGAATTTTTTCGGAAAGACGAACCAGAGAAATTATGTGAAATAAAGAGAAGGGCGGCCAAAAGCACTCAACCTTTAAATAGTAACACAAACACACTTCAAACAACAACTTCACACCATCCTCAAGACATCGAAAAAGCAAACGAAGCACTGGAAGATAAACTGGAAAGATTTGCAAAGCGATTAGAATACGTCGACCATAAGCGAAAAGAGTTATGGAAACAAACCGTTACATTAAACAATATTCAAGTTAGACAACAAAAGGTATAAAAAGAAAACATTCTAAACTAGTCCTTATTTTTCTGATATGTATATTTTAAGGCAATACGTGTTCTAATGGAGTTTATGATGCAGTTTCTAGAAAAACGTAAAACTATTTTTGTACAATCCTAAAACGCGTCACAGACTAACACAAAAAAATACTATAAAAAGATCCTGATTCCGAGACTGATAAAGCACGATTCGAAAATATCAGTAAAGTATAAACTCCAAACTCTACTTTTCTATCTTCTTTACTTATTATCTTTCGCAGTGAAAAAAATAAAAGAACAAGACGCATCCACTAACATGGATACCTGTACCATGAGTTCTGCTGAAGAAGAAGAAGAAGAGGATGATGATGATGATGATGATGACGATATGATCACTACAAGCTCAGCTTCACCGGCCCCAATTTATACATTTCCATCCCCAGCCCTAAATCACCATCAGCCTCAATTACCTTCTATCTCTGCCTTAATGACGGATCATTCAAGCGATATTTTACCCCCTTTAAGAAAAAGGCCCAATAATAGACACAATTGAAAAAAAAATAAACTTTTTTTTTGGTTTAATTTATTATTACGTAATATGACCTACAACTTGGTAACTTAGTCTATATAAGGCAATTTTTGGTTCTATTTCTTTTCATCCTTCTTTTCTTCATCTTTCTTTTCGTCGTCATGACAAATCTTGCCCTTGATTTTACCAAGTGTCTTCTTGAAGAAACCGCCTTCGTTTTGATCAGCGTCTTTTTCAGGTGTAATTTTAGGTGAAGGAGGAGGTGTATCTGGTTTGACTTGAATAGGCTCTTCTTTAGAACGATATTCTTCATCTACAAAACTAGCATATTGCTCAATGATCTCTCTTTGTTTACCCTTCAAAGTTCTGGGTAATTCAACCTTGAGTGTAACAATTTGATCTCCGCGTGCAGAACTACGCAATTTCTGAATACCACGGCCCCTTAATGCGATATTATCACCAGGTTGAGCTCCCGAAGGTACCTTGACATCCACATCACCATCTACAGTAGGGATACGAATACGACCACCTAACATGGCCTTATAGAAAGGAATTTTTGCATCCACATAAACATCCGCATCTTGTCTACGGAAGATATTACTCGCCTGTACGTTCAAAGTCACAAAGAGATCTCCCACTGGTCCATTACCCTTGATGGGTGCATCACCTTCTCCATTAACACGGATTCTTGTGTTTTGATCTACACCAGCAGGGATCTTGACCTGAACCGTCTTACGCTCTCTGACCTTTCCCATACTATTACAAGAAGGACATCCACAACCCGAAGGAATGGAGGAACCAGCACCACCACAGCTTTGACAGGCAGCCTGCATGTGGAAACCACCCATCATGATAGTTTGTACACCCGAACCCTTACAATTAGGACATGTTTCCTTCTTTTTACCTTCACCGAGACCACTTCCTTTACAATCCCCACAGTTGGTGACTTTATCTACCTGAACATATTTGGTTGTTCCTTTGACAGCTTCCATAAAGGATAAAGTGACATGTGTTTGAAGATCCTCACCAGGAGATTGTCTAAATGGATCTCCACCAGCTCCTCCAGGTCCTCCGCCACCTCTACCACCAAATCCACCGCCAAAGAATTGACTAAAGATATCATTAGGATCAAATCCACCGGGGAATCCACCACCCCCGCCGCCATGGAAACCGCCAGGTCCTCCTCCGCCTTCAAAGGCATGACCGAATTGATCGTATTGTTGACGTTTTTGGTCATCTGAAAGAATTTCGTATGCTTCTTGAATTTGAGCAAATTTCTCTCGTGCATCCTTGTCTTTGTTGGTATCCGGATGATATTTCTTTGCCAACTATTAGGCAATAACACAATGTCAGCACCCTTTTGTTTTTGCATGATTTTTTTTAAAAAAAAAATATGTATACTTTACGCCGTAATAAGCCTTCTTAATATCACTGGTTTTAGAGGTCTTACCAACACCCAAAACTTCATAAGGATCTTTCTTGGATGCAGAACATGTAGGAGCTACATTGAATTTTATGCATTTTTATTCAGTTGAATGTGGTGACATTGTTTAGTGTGTGTGTTACCTGTAGCGTGAATACGTCTCTATATAAATAATTAAAAACAGGTTCAGCACGTGCTTGTAATTGCCATAAGAAAGGATACTTACATTATGCATGTGCGTAGCTGAACCACCTACAATCGTCTTTCCGTCTATCAAAAATGTCAGCAGTCCATGTCAAAATGCGGGGGGTGGGGTGGGGGGGAAGTAACTCACCTCTTCTGATTGTGCTAATGAACCGCTTTGTCATGGGTTTACTCATAACAGTACGTTTGGCTAAAGTCTGCCATACTGCATTTCCCAAACTAATACGTGTAGCCATGGAATGATTTTTAAATGGTAAAAAAAAGAAATCAATGGAACAATAAAAAAAAAAAAACGTCTACTTTATTCTGCGGCAAAAAAAAAAAAAAGGAATACACAGGGGGGCGGTGACTTAAATTTTTAATGGTTTAAAGGTCTAGTATCTTCTTCATCATCAGATTCTTCTTCGTCTAGTTCTGTTAAAGGTTGCAATACATCAAATTCATAGCCATCAGGTCGTCTATCACTAGTAAATGTCTCGCTTACTGAAGCTGATTGCCATCTGCCCTTTTTGTAAAGGAAAATGGCTGAAGCTACACCAAAGATTGCCACAGAACCTAAAACACTGTACACGATGGTCAAGTATCCACTAGTCTCTGTAGTCCCTTCGTCCTCTACAGTATCACTTTGTGTAGAGGATGAATTTTCTGATTTTTCTGTTTCATTGATAGACTTTTCAGTGCTGCTTGTGATCTCTGAAGTAGTGGTACTTGCCTCCTCGGTTATACTGCTACTCATGCTGCTGCTACTGCTAGTAGTGGTAGTCTTTTTGGTGGTGGTGGAAGATGACTTAGTGGTAGTCTTGCTTACTTTGTTAGGTGTAGGTCTTGGAGGTGTGCTATCTGAAATGGTTGTATGTGTGGATGTGGATGTTTCAGGTAATTCATGCTCTTCATCTTGGTGGATACCCGAAGAATAGTGAATAGGTGTACCCAGGAACTCAGGATCTTGCTCACCATACAAGGCCAAGGTCCAGTTCAACATGAATCCAGTAGAATCGGGATGATCCACATCATATACACTCAAAGTCCAATTACCAACAGGATCTTCACCCCTAGAAAATATATATATATATAATACTTAACACCCTGATAAAATTTTCTTTTTTAAAACAACCTACCAATGCTTGACTGTCATGAATTTCCAGTTCTGATAACCGGTTTGATCATCATCCAAATTTCGTCTGGTGGCCAACTCTGATTTAATACGACTAGGACTTTCGAGATCAATGACAACGTTACCACGTCGTTGATGTTGGATATTGACAGTGGCCGTGATATGTTCCAAACGAAGCAGACCGGCTGCTCTCACCATATCCTCTGTCACAAGCACGATATTCTTTAAGGCTTTTCTGGTTTTTAAATTGGTGGAATCAGGAATAGCAATTCTCTTTTGAGGACTGGGCAGTTCCAGCCATGTCTGTACATTGACCAATTTATACGTTTTGGCAGCTTCCACTAACAAATAAGCATCTAATTTACCATATCCATATTTATGGTTGTATAATTTGCCAGAAGGTAAAGGTTTCCAATCATTGTCATCCAGGTTGATAGGGACAGCGGTTTGTACACAGAGGTATTGAAGATCTCTCCATGTCAAATCAGGTCGAATTGAAAGAACAAGCGCAAAAATACCAGCAGCATTGGGTGCAGCAGCAGAAGTACCACCATGTCTATCTGAACAGGAGTTTGCTCCTACATCAGTTGTATGCTGAAAAAAAAAGAAGTTAGTCTATTGATCTGTACGATAAGCACAACATCGACTTACAATATATTGTCCACTACCACTTGAATAAGTCACAACTAATTGAGCAGAACAACTCTCTGAATAAGGAGGATGTTCATTTAAATGATCGATAGCGCCCACTGTGATTGTATAGATACTGTTTGTATACCCATCAAAATTACAGTTATCACCAGATACAGCTCCATTTCCGGTAGCAAAAACATAAATGGACCCCTTTCCCTCTCTACCATTCTTAATACCGTTATAAAAAGCGTCCGCTAGAATACCGTTGGGAGCTTCCATGGTCCTTCCGTTATCGGGAGGACCCCACGAACAAGAAAAGATATGGTTCTTCTGATATTGGTAATTCAATGCGATGGCTTCATCGGCGTCCGTGAGATCGCCTGATAAGATACGAACACCAGCTACTTTAGAGTCATAGGCAATACCGACACCACACACATCGTTTTTGACAGCTGCAATTTGACCAGCACATCTAGTTCCATGACTATCATCCCAAAGTTTTGGTGTAGGCAAATCTTCATGATCATTGAAATCGTACGAGCCTTCAGCAAACTAGTGTGTGATGATTAAGTAATCATACTCATTTTTTTCCCGTTACAATAGATACTTACGAAATTATCCTTTAAATCTCTACTTTTATAGTCCAACCCATCATCAAGAATTACTACTGTGACACCTTTACCGGTGATACCTACATAATAATATATTTAGACGCCTCCTCTACCGAGATACCCTTTCATTATTATTATTATTTCAATGTGTACCTTGTTCCCAAACGCCTGTAACATTGATATCGTTACCTACATTCGCTTGATTAATCTAATAAAAAATATGATGTGTTGATATATTGCATAATAAAAAAAAGGGGAAAACTAAACTTACCAAATGCCACTGCTTCTCTAACCAAGGATCAGTCATATTTAAGGTTTTCTGTACCTCTGCCAAAGGAGGTTGGGGGATCGGGCCACGCTTTGTGCGTCTCTTTAAAACTTGCTTGTCAATCGATTCGACGTTTTGCCAATGACTCGAATCTCGTTTCCGAAGCGTGGTTTTATAGTATTGAAACTTTGATAGGATAGGGTCTTCTGCGTCTCTTTTGTTGGTTTTGGGTGAACTGACCATGTACCAAGCATCCAATTCACCAATGGGTCCTTCAAACCTCACATTCAGTTCACGAGCCACAAGCTGGGCTGACGCTAAACCATCGTTTGGTGCCTTCAACGTGTAGTAATCCCGTGCTGGGTCTCGCTTTCCCATATAGTGGCCCTGCACAAACGTACAAGCAGACGCAACGAGAACTGCAATGGCGGTTAATTGAACCATCACAAAAAGAATTTAAAAAAAGAAGAGAGAGAGAGAGATAGAGAGAGAGAGAAAAGGGGAATTTCCTAAAAAAAGAAATGTGATTAAGGGCCTATTTCGATGCCCAATCATAATTGAAAACGCACTACTTCTCCGCCCTCTTTTGTTGTTGCCAAGCGTAACGATTTTGTGCAGATCAATTTTGAACTTTGTTGTGTTTCTGATGAAATATGTGTCCTTGTCATTAACGAGACGTTGTGAGAGCTTTTTTTCCTTTATGGGTTCCAGGCATATTCTTTATTTTGACAACACAATAACCTATGTTTGATTACTGTACTGTTCTCTTCAAAAGCAATTTTTCCCTAGCTAAGATTACACAGAAAGTTCTAAATGCAGAGAAAACAATGCAGATTGTCAGATAAACAGCATGCATAGATTTTGTTACTGAGAGAGAAAAGAAAAGGCGTTTTATCTTTTGTATGATTACAGTTTAGACATTTTCATCTCGCTTCCCTGACAGCCGACCCCACGTTGTATTTATCGGTATCCGTCCTCTACTAAAATTGATCCCTGACCTAAAGCTATGAATATCGGTATTTGGCCCTGCCTATTACTTTTTTTTTTTTTTTTTTTTTTTTTTTTTTTTTTTTTTTTTTTTTTTTTTTTTTTTTTTTGTCGCAAAACTCAAGCAATTAACTATGTATGAATTAATATGGATGACCCAAAAAGCATTTTATTATCAATATAACAATATGTACTGTTCCACTAATCACACAAGTGACACACACAAAATTGGTTCAGAGGAAGTGAAGAGATTGAAACTCAATACTATATCATGAATTAGGATGCCTTGCCGTTGCATCGTAGGTGGTTTGTTTTTTCCCAACATGTCTAGCGACGTTAATATTAGCACAATTTATGGACAAAATGAATCAAAGCCCAATTGCTTAGCATGAAAAAATAATGTTTGGAAATATATTCATCAAATCTATAGTGCAAAGGTTACATTATAAGAAGGCGAACATACTCATGGATACAATCAGCTACAGTAGACTCAGGTATATATCTACACATTTAGTAAATGCATAAATATAAGCTTTAAACACCACCGACTGAACTTTAAATTTTGAATTCTCTTCGTTTCAGCTCTCTTTCTTTTTCTCAGTTTCTCTTTTCATCATAGTTTAGTGTATCTCAATACTGTTCATCAACTTAGACATAAATAATTTAAAAGAAACAGGAATAAATTGGATCATCACCCTAAAAAAAAAAATGGTACAAAACAAATATCAGTAAATACATCTATGAATATCATTAACCACAATATTTTTGATGTGACAGACGCACATACAGAGGTGATTGAAGATATCTCAGATGATGATTTTCAGTTTATCATCCACAGAAAGTTAAAGAGTATGTTCTACTAAAATTCATGATGATTGGCACATTTACTTTTTTTTTTTTTTACATCAGTTAAATAAACCATTTACAACAACAACAACAACAAAATTATCTATGACGGGCAAAAGTATGAAATGTGTATTTGGGGAAAGGGGAGGAACGTATATAATATGAGATACATGTAAAATAAATAAATGAAGGGACAATTATTTGGTTAAAATTTCACAACCAGTCTCTGTCACAAGCAAGGTATGTTCGAATTGAGCTGAACGCTTACCATCCGAGGTCACAGCGGTCCAGTTATCGGGCCAGATCTCATCTCTCCATCCACCTTCACAAATCATGGGCTCAATGGTAAAGCAATGGCCAGCCTTCATAATGCCAACAGCCTTATTGTCTAACATGAAAAAAAAAAAAAAAAAAAAAAAAAAAACGTCAGACATAAATACAAAAAAGATATGTTTGTCCAAAGGAAAACTTACTGCTATAATGAGGAACATTAGGAGCACAATGGAAAAGTTGGTTAATACCATGACCACAGAAAGTACGAACAACAGAGAATCCGTTTTTCTTGGCATGGTCTTCAATCACCTTACCGAAATCACGGTATCTGACACCGGGCTTGACTAGAGATAGTATCTGGGTAAATAAATCGAAAAAAAAAAATGAAAGAAAATCTTACCCATAGCAATAGCCTTGTCTAAACATTCTTTGGCGGTTTGAATCAATTGCTTTCCCTTGGCATCCACATTACCGACACAGTAAGTAGCATTCATATCACCATGGAATCCACCATAGTAACAGGTCACATCAAGGTTAACAATATCACCATCCTTCAAGGGACGCTTATCGGGAATACCATGACAAATCACTTCATTGACAGAACTATTTCCATATTTAAAATAAAACAGGCTTAGTAAGATGGGAACACGATCTGACAAATAATCTCGTTTTCTTACGTGCAGACAGACTTGGGGAACTTGTAGTAATTTAAAGGTGAAGGATAGGCACCACGTTCGATGGTTGCTTTATGAATAATCTCGTCTATGAAATTCCTCCCAAGATGTTAGTTAAAAAGATTCGAGCATACCCTTTTTTTTTCTCTTTATTCTTTACCAATTTCATCAGTGGTAATACCAGCACGAATAGCAGCTGCACCAATATCCAAAACCTCTCTAGAGATCTACATAATTTTATTGTCAATGACACACATATACTGGACCCATTGTCTCGTAAATTACCTTGCAGACTTTACGCATACCCTCAATTTCTTCATCGTTACAGATTTTGATGGTGGAGCTGTTACGGACGTTTTGTTCAGAGACAGGAATACTAGTCTCAGAATAATCGGCTAATAAAAAAAGGGGGGGTCAATAAAAGTCAGATGTAGCACAAAGTGGGACTTACGACGCATAATGCCTTCAGGAACTTCACGTCTGGGTGAAAGAGGGTAGACAGCCTTGAGCTCACCAGTGTAACGGTAATTGGGGAAAGGGTCATGAGGTTGACCTATTGACAAAAAAAAAAAAAAAAAAAAAGTCATGTAAGCAAAAACAGGTGGCATCCACAATTTGCATTTTACGAAAAAAAAAAAGACATACTCTCAAGCTTTGCTTTGTGGACTAACTTGTGTTGATTCTATGGAGAACAAAAAATTAACAAGAATAAAAAAAAAGGAGGCGGGGATAATGAAGCAAAAGAAAATGACATTTTACCCAGTTTGATTTAAAGCAATCTTGAGAACAAAAGTAAGAACCTTCAATTTTCAACTTGATACAAGTAGGACATTGAAGAGTGGCAGTTTTGCCACAATCCTTGGAAAGACAAAGGTGATCACTGGCAGCCATTTCGTTGTTATTAAGGTGAAAGAAAGGGGGAGGGAAGAGCAAAACAATCAATTATAAAAAAAAAATTGAGTTTGTGACCGTCACTTTTAACAACTTTTTAGGTTAAATTTAAAGCTTTGGGTTGGACAATGTGTAGCATTCATTGGGGGTCATCGTTACGTCAATCATGAAGTAAAGGCGTTTTTTACCAAGTAAAAGTCTAGCTTAAGCAATCATAAAGAACTATAAAAAAACCCACGGGACACTGGACATGTTTTTAACAATGATGACAAAGGATGCTTATAACTACTAAATTGAATACTAGAGAATTCAGTTTCATTAAAAAATATAAGCGACAGTGACAAGATCAAAATCTTTGTGTATTTGTCAAATTCAGTTTTCACACTTTAAATTCAGACAGTGTTATTTTTTTTTTCAGATGAATCGAGCTTTCGATTGGCGATAAAGCCTGTCCGTTACACCTGAGCCCAAACACTTGCTTTGCAAAGATAATCATCATCATTTACAACCACACTTTCAAAAAGTCCACAAGGAGCCTGGCTTTTGTTCTTAAGACCATCACCAAAGATAATTAAAGGTGTATTATTACGACCCCCCCCTCTTCAAATTTCTCTTATTGTGTTCTCTTCAGATATTACCCTACATTCGGTACCTTTCAACACTTATTCAAACTAAAATTATTACAAGAAAGTGATAGCTGCCATTTTTAGGTGCTTCCAAATAAAATATTACCGGTATAAAATAAATTGTCTGTTTTACTGGATTGAATCCTATAGATATCTTTGGCGTCAAATTTTACATACTGCTGCTTGAAAACAGGCTCATCTGCTTTTCATGTCGATTGCCTCTTTTTCTGTTTGGCTGTCATGAAATTACATACGGATTCTATCATTTCACTTGTTATTAATCTCTACTAAGTTTATGCAAGAAGTATAATCGGAATTGTAAATTGTGCTGATCTTTATTTTTTTTTAAGCAAAAAAAAAGTTGATTACAGTGTAAATAAAGAGAATTATATGTACAAGTCAAACGAATCTGTCTCATTCACAAGGAAAGTGTCGCTTGCGAAAGCGATATGTACTCTGCAAGTATAGAAGTACTATTATTCAAAGTGTAAAAGCTTTATCATTGAGAGCTTTTACACCCGAGTATGAAACGCTTACACTTTTTGTTTATGTTTATGTCATAAATTCTCATGAAATGAAAGAACCAATCATTTTTTTTTTTTTTTGGCAGAGGGAGTATAAATTGCTGCGCCAATCTATTATTTTTGTCTGTTCTTCTTTAACCGGGGCAGTTTATCGTTATTAGTACCAGTTGGGTCAGCCTATTAATGGCGTATAGGCGATGCCTTTTGTCGGGTTACGGCTTGATGAGACATGCGGCATCTTTTTTCATGAATAGGGGAAGTGTAACGAAGTGGAGGGTTCAACCCCTTTGTGTGGCTATCTTTACCATAGTAACTTACACCATCCTGTAGTGATTGGAGGGAGGTATTTCATGTTGGTTCACCTTTTTTTTTGTTTCTCTTTCCATACCAAAGACTCATGGATTTTTCATTTTTCGCTCACTTTTTGCCTGATAAAAAGATGAAGGGAATGCACAGATACAAGCCTCCGCGTGGCCATTCCCGGGCAACACTCTTCTAGAGTGGCTAATGTGTATCTCTTCTTTTTAATCTTGATAAAATATGTGCTTTTAAACTATTAAATCTGTCTTTTATTTCACGTCTTTCATGTCAATAAAGAAAAAAATGGATGGGAAAAGGTGTTCAAATAAGTAGATGGTTGGTCAAGATCCTCTGATTCAGGTTGTTCATTAACTGGTTCTACATTAATGAAAAGAATCAGAGTTTATATGTTTAGAGACTGGCGTAGAGGAACTGATGGGCTTCTTCATTGAATTCACCAGATCATATGTCACTCATAACACACAAGACGCTGACGTAAAAAAAAAAAAAAAGACAAGAAGACCCTCAAATTTACAAGAGATTGGAGATGCTACTATTTGAAAGCTAAGCTATGTAAGACATGTCCTTGATTTTGTATTTCACTAATGTTGATCGAGACAGTCTTGACTACGGAAGTTTTTGTATATGCACTTTCCAAATAATGTCATGTGTATCTTTTATCCCCATAATCCAACTATTGCTCTCTTTTCATGTTCATACAGGTGCATATTGTCATACTTGGACTACCAACCCTTTGCTCAAACTTCAGTAATACGTTATGATCAATGGATCCAGCTACCTTGATAGTTTGAGAAGCAATCTAGACCATTTTGGGATGGATTTCCAAAAAAAAAAAAAAAATCTACACGTATCCACTTCAATTGTATATTAATGTGTATGGACTAACGTAATACATACGAAAAATAACGTTTACAAGTGATACAAGGTTTATTATATACAGATACTACTATATCTTTAATCAAAGAAGCGTATGATTGCAAAGATTAAAATTAGAAATTAAAATAAAAAGGAACCGTTGAAAGTCCTTTCTGAAATACTTTGCAAAATAGAAAACACGACAATTATACTCTTCATGCTAAACGGGTTTAGTCATGGCACACAATTATATTCCTTCCAAATCAAAACTAGTCTCCCAAGATTCATTCGTCTTCAAAGAAGAAATCTACGAATTTGACACTATTGTGACTCCTCAAGGTGAGGCTGGTGATCGTCTCTATTCTGACGATGGAAAACTTTTTCTCATTTTAACAGGACGACGGCAATGATAAAATTTACAATACGCATACAAGTAAAACACTTACTTTACCTCAAATACGTCTACACTTATAACTATAAGCAGCATATATATATATATATATTTGAAATCGAAGAGTCTCAGTTAAAATTTAACAGCAATGTGTTACAAGAGATAGAGAAAAGGGGAAATAACGAATTCAGAAGAAATAAAAAAAAAAGAAACACAAAGATGACCAACAAGGCAACATGTTTGATTGATTTGGTAAAAAAAGGCATTATTAGACAAAAAGTGTGACAAGATGCCATATACTATTTTAACATACACTGCAACGAAAAATCAGACAGTGAATTTCTTTAAATTAAAAAACGTGTGTAACTGATCGAAAAAAAAAAAAAAAAACGCTTGGACGTTTTAAAGCGGAATTCGAACGGGTCCCCCACCCCCAAAAACCATGAAATACATCCCACATAAAATATTAGATTATGCCCCCAGTTTAATCCCTTTTTCTTCGCTATCTAACTTATTCATTTATGATGAGTCTTCCCACGCTTAATTTTATAAACCATCAAGACTTGAACTCTACCTTTGATGGTGCAATCATTTTATTTACAGATAAAAATGCACTAGTAGACCTCATGCCCAGCACCAAAAAATGGATTGAGCTAGACGCCGATTTTGGTAACTCGGTGCAGTTACTCTTACCAGAAGATGGTGTACCTTCTCAACGTGTCATTATTTCTCCTACTGGAAGTCTTCATAATGATTTTGATGATGTTCGCAGATACAAGGGTTTGTTAAATAATATTCTTAAAAAAAGAAAAGTAATAACACCTTTAAAGATGCTGCATTTGCTGCTGGACAAAGAGCCTTGAAGGCTGGTTTCACCTCTCCCGTCATTTATTTTGCAGATACCCCTACCAGTACGGAGCAACAAGGTTTACATTGGTCTTTTAACCATTCGGATGACTATGAAGAATATTTAAGTGTGACAGTCCTGGGTTTTTTGGAGGCCACGTTTGAGCCTATTGATGCACGCGCTCACTACGATAAGATCCAGCAACCCGCACCTACTTTTTCCAGCCTGAACATTGTCCCATCCTATCAAATCAAGGATCAAGATGAGTTTGCCAACAAGATTGTAGCTATTGAAGCCGGTCGAAGAATTGCTGTTGGTAAGGAGAGGGGGAAGAGGATGACAGGATTAAAAAGAGACTAAACACTCCCCCAAAAAAAATTCCAGATATAGGATCACCCGATCCAGAAATGATGTCGCCTGAGAATATCGTGAGATATATCCAGGAACATTTTCAAGAAGATTCTTCGTGTATTCAAATTAAAGTGATTGAGAACATTGAGACCATTAAAAAGGAATACCCTCTTGCACATGCGGTAACTCGAGCCAGTCTAGCAGGTATACCCTTTCCCTTCTCTCTTTTTTTTTTTTTCTTTTATAGTAATATATGACATATTTAATCTTTTTTTTTTTTTCGTATCAGTACCACGTCACCATCCCCGTTTTGTTACCTTTGAGTACAAATCTCCTGATCAATCTAAAGTAAAAGAAAAGTAAGAAAACTTGGTTTATATGCATACGTATCTTTGTCTTCTATATCTCACAAACTTTCTTTATTTAGTCTTTATTTTGTCGGTAAAGGTGTTACCTATGACACTGGTGGAGCTGATATTAAGTGCAGTGGCAACATGAGAGGTAGGTAGCACAATCATTTATACCAGTATATTTTTTTTTACTAAAAAAAAAACAAAAAAAAAAAAGGCATGTCTCGTGATAAATGTGGTGCTGCTGCTGTTGCAGGATTCTTCAAGACGATTGAACACTTGAAGCCTTTGCACGTCAATGTAACCGCTGGTATTGCACTCGTAAGAAATTCCGTTGGACCCGACATGTATGTCAGCGACGAAGTTATCTATTCTCGCAATGGTACCCGTGTATTAGTCGGAAATACAGATGCTGAAGGACGTATGGTGATGACAGATTTATTATGTGAGTTTAAAGAACGTGTGCTTTCCGAAGCCTCCAGCAAGCCTTCCTTTTTATTCACCGTAGCTACCTTAACCGGTCATGCCATCCGTGCTTACAATGGCTATGGTATTGTGATGGATAACGGCTTTGCCAGAAAACACAAGATCAGTCAACGTATTTATGACGCAGGCCATATCATGGCAGATCCCTTTGAGATCTCGACTTTCCGTCGTGAAGATGTTGCTTGTGTGCAACCCGGAAGATCAAGTGAGGATATTGTACAGGCAAATGATAAGCCTAGCACCATGACAAACCGTGGACATCAGTATCCCGCTGGTTTCATGTTAATTGCTTCAGGTTTGGATAAGCATGGCATCAATACTGAATCACCTATTGGTTATACCCATGTGGATATTGCAGGTTCCGCTGAACTCATGTCAGCTATCGGTTGGAGTTTGCCCAGAGTGACAGGATCGCCTGTTGCTGCTTTTACTGATGCCTTTTTAACTCGTCAATAAATTATTTGTATGAAAATATATATTTTATTTTATTTTTTTTAAAAATAAAAAATTATAGTGATGGAAGAATATGGGTGGGTGGGGGGAGAGTGTATTTGTGTGTGTGTGTGTGTGTGTGCGTGTGCGTGCGTGCTTAAAAAAAAAAGAGGGGTGGGGGGAAATGGTACAAGATATTTATTGGAGAGCGTAATGTTTTAAAGTGTAGAGTAAAACAGCACCTTTATCGTTAGCAACAGCAAGGTAATCACTATTGGGGGAAAAGGCAAGACGTCCTACTTTACCAAGAGGTGTTCTATCTGTTGGCCAGTTGGAAAAAGTGGTGGCTGTGGGGACATGGATGACCTTTAACTGATCTTGTTTGGAATGACTGCTGACAACCATCAACTTTGAATCATGGTTGAACAAAATGTTGTTAATTCTCGTTGTCAAGTTCATGAAAGCCTTAATAGGCTTGGGTCTGATGATCTTGGGATCAAGAACTGATCTGTCATAGAGATTGACAACACCTGTGGATGAGCTAAAATAATATATATATATATATAAAAAAAAGGTATTAGATAAAATACAACAAAAATGATAAATTTATACAAATCATCTTTCTTACCCTGTGGCATAGTAATTCTCGTTGGGACTGACCTTAATGACACTAGCACCAATACAACCATCATCGATCCAACGCTTGACACATGCCTTCTTTTGAATATCAAATTGGAACACTTCACCTTCACTGCTGAAGCCAAAGATGAATTCACCGTCTGCAGACCAATCAACAGATTCGACGACCTTGTTGACAATGAGATCACAGAACCATTGTTTGGTGAGATAACTGACAATGATGATGACACCATGTTTACCCAAAAATGCAATATAACGACCACAGGGACTGATGGAGAACCTTTCTAATGACTTTTCCTCTTTACCCCAAATGCCAGGACATCTATCAATGATACCGGATTGAATATCATAAATGTAAAAGAACTGACGTCTGCCACTCACAACAATTTGATTTCCAGATGGATGAAATTCTGCATGATAAATTGGCATATCCTTAAACACGACAGATTGGATTTTGGGATTGATTTTACCGTCGATTTGGAATAAGCGTAATGTTTTGTCCATGCCGGCTGTCAACATAATTTGTGCATTAGGATGAAAGGCGATAGCAGTGATTTGTGTCTGCAGCGTATAAAAAAAAGAAAGAACGTTTTAGAAATGAAAGGCTCTATGATATATATACACACAGCAAAACAAAACAAAAAAAAACTTACATGATTTTTAGGTGCTGCACGATTGGCGTTCTTGATACGCAAAATATCTAATCTATTTGATGGTAATGCAGTCTTTCTAGTTCTTCTGGCCAAAATACCCATGGTGCTCTTTAATAAATCTAATCTAGTTTCTTCATCTAATTGTTCTTCTTCATCGTCGTTATCCTTGTTATCTTCATCATCGCTTTCCATTGCTTTACGCTTTCTATCTGCCTTGATTTCAGAAGGAAGAGTAGCCCACTCTGGCTTGGGGTAAATCTTGTTGAATCTACACAGAAAGAAAAAAAAAACAGTTAAATCACGGGGCCTTTGCATAATACCCTCCCCTCCCCGCTTCTCTCCCCCCAACGCGCCCGTCGTCTTTTTTTTTTCTCGACTTACTGTCTACGCAATCTACGAGAATACTCAACACCGTCCACGATATCTTCATCCACATCGTTACGAAGTTTTTTGGTAATATTACTGGCAGATAGTGAAATTTGGATACGTTTATCATCCTCGTCTTCCCAAGCAGCTTTACCGTCTAATTTGCTTTCGCTATCACTCTCATCGTCATCGTCACTTTCGCTGTTGGCATCGGCATCTGTGCCTTCTTCAGCTTCGTAATCGATTTCGCTGTCAGACTGGTGGTCAAGTTCAACGGGTGCGTCCAATGTGTATGATACAGGGCCGGAATCGAAAAAGAAAGTCTACATGCAAACTCCATGTTTAGTTTTATCTCCTCCTATCAAGGTGTGTCAAAGCATTACCTGTTCAGTTTCTTCTGTCTCTTCTTCGTCTTCTTGATCCTCTTTTTTGGACTCGGTTTGATCCAATTCATGACCTGTTTTGGCCCATACATCATCATTGCTGTCACCAAACAAGAAACCTTCAAGCTCTTTTTCGGAGGCTTCCTTCTTTGCTTTCTTTGTCAAGGGAGCCATTTCTCTCTCTTTTTTTTTTTATATATATGTATAAAGCGTAATAAGGGAAAAAAAATATCAATGACACTCCCCCCCCCACTTCTTTTTTTGTAAGTCTAAAAACTGATGTATGAAAACACGTCACACCAAGCCACCTTCACCGTGGCCCCCGTTCTGCATGATAATAATATGCGTTTTTCACAGTAACATTGACTGCCTCGCCACCTACCCAAAAAAAAAAAAAAAAAAACTTATCAGGCACTTCCAACGTGTTTTTGATAAAATAAAAAAAAATTATACATAATCAGTAATGTTTAAGCAATAAAAAAGAAAAGAAAAAGTTTTATTTATATCAAATATTGTCTCTTTTTAAAATCTCGGCCTGCTTTTGTTCTATCCAAAGACGACGTTTAGGTTGCGTGATAGTTGTAGGATCGACCAACATCAAAGATAATTCTGTCATGGAAGATAAATCTTTTAAAACTAAACCTGACTCACAGCTGCTGATGTGGTTGAAACATTTCAACGCGACGTTATCACTCACTTCAACTTGTTTGTCTGAATCGATGGATTCCATCATCGAAGCATACACATCTTCTTGAGTGGTTGCCCTAGTATAATTTCTTCTTCTTCCACGCCCGCTGCTTATAGTAGGATTAGGATTCCATCGATTATACTTTTTCATAAATTCAAAGCAATTGAGAAAGCGAAATTTTGAATCGTTGTGCACCTGTCGATAAATTTTATGCGCCAACGGGATCTGTTTTTTTTTAAAAAAAAAAAGAGGGGAGGGAGATGTTTAAACAAAGTCAAAATTAGAACCCTTTTTTTTTTTTTAAAAAAAAATAAAGAAAAAAAAAAAGGAACTCACATCGTAAGTGATGTTTGATTCACCTTGGTTCTTCTTGGCTGTCTTACGTACACAACTAGCAAACTCTAGCGTTCGAGGATTGAGGGTGCCCAACCATCGAGCTCTGATACTTTCTTTTTCTCTTTGGCAGACAAAGTCTTGTTCGCGCAACGATTCTTTAAAATGCTGGGCAATGTCTTTCCAAATGCTCTTGGGATTTACATTATCTTTGTTTTCGATCGTATGATAGATATAGGATCGACATATCTGGAGGTCTTCCTCTTGTGAGAAATTTCTCTTGGTCCCCTTTGCAATAGGCAGAGACGCGAGTTTTTCCTCTGTTTTCACTTGGCTAGCACCTTGGTTGTTATTCCTGGTTGAGTTGGTTCTGGGACTCATTTTTTTTTTTTTTTTTTTTTTTTTTACTTGTGTATTTTTACTTGTGTAAGTGAAGAATAAAGAGAAAAAGAGAGAGAGAGAAATAAAAAAAGTCTGCCCGTAAGATATTAGTGACTTTCTAAAGTAGTGACAATAGTAGTGAGTAACCACTGCGTAACCATGGTCATAAGAATCAATTCACTCATGTAGTGACTATTTTTTTTTTCAGTGACGCCCCGCTTTGGGATACTGTTTACAAAGACTCATTCAATGAACCATTTATTTATTTTTAAAAAAATAAAATAAAAACTGCTCCTGTGAGACAAATCAAACAATTTGACAAGATGTTTGCTACACACGAGTTGCACGAGAAGAAAAAGTGAGAGAAATCTTGACGTTGGGGTTGTCAAGACAACCTATTCATGCACCCTTTTTTTTTTTTTTATTAATTAAAAAATAAAGGTCGGTATTTCAACTGCCCTTTTTTCTCTTTTCTTTTTTTTTTTTTTCTCTAACACACACCCCCCCATAATATACCATGACAGACCTCATTCCCGTTGGATTAAGTAAGAATGACGTATACTAGTTGAAATACTGTACGCCGAGATGAACTAACTGTTTTTTTTCTTCTTCTAAACATAGACAAGAACAAAAGGACATTTAAACCCAACATTCACAAAAAGAAACGTAACCGTCCAACAACAACAACGCCATCACCACCTCCCAGTCCACAACATACCCACTCCTCGGACCCAGACAGTCCACCCACCTATACCGAACACGAAAGCACTGATGATACGACAGAGAATGAAAGAAGGGTGAAGAGGAGGAGGAGGAGGAGGCGTAATGAGCCAACGAGGACAGAAGCAACACCTGAACCGGACAATGAGGAGGAGGAGGAGGAGAACCGTCTTACACATCTATTACGAGAAAGAGAATGCGATTTAAAGTCACCCATGTATACAGAATTAAAACAAATGTATCAACATTTACTCGATTCAACACGTGCAAAGACAGTGGTTCCACCATGGAAAGAAGTCCAACATGATGAACTTGTCACTGCTTTCGATCGAAGAATGGAATTACTTCGTGTGTCTCCAATGAAGAAAGGAACGTATGTGGCAAGAAAGAATAAGCGTTGGACGGATTTGGAAACACAAGTGTTTTACGACGTAAATCAACCCCTACCTTTAAAATTAATTAAGACGATTAACTTTTTTTTTTTTTTTTTTTTTAAAGGGCTTGAAGGAATTTGGAATGAAATTTTCAATGATTGCAGACACGATTCCTGGTAGAACAGAACGAGAGGTACATGAAAAGTATCTGAAAGAAGAACGAACCTATCCACATAAAGTATCCGAATACTTGATCTTGTGAAAAACACACACACACACACACAAAAAATACCTCAATGTTTCATGTACAAACAGTATTATTTTTTCTTTGGAAATCGAACAATTATATAAGCGCGTAACGAGATCAAAAAAGTATATATTTGAAAAAAAAAAAAAAAAAAAAAAATTACAAGTAAGAGACATGAAATTAGTTTTTTTTTTTTTACTATCTCGATAGATGTGTGACCATGGCTTGAATGACGCCTTCCTTTTGTATATATATTGCATTATTTTTTGAGATGGTACTATCCGAGTCCATGCATATAGGAACGATAAGGTGTGTATCAGGCAAGACTCGACCCAAATAAATAAATTTGACACGACTCTTCTTTTCCAAGTGAGGTAACACTTCTTTTCCCAATGTCGACACATTCCAATAAGGAGCTTGTGTAGGTACATGCATCGCAATATCTTGTCCATTATTCGAGAGTCGAACAAAAACAGGCCATTCCGCCTCCTCTTTATCTCCCGTATCGAGGCGGGTTGTCAACGGTGGGATACTCGATGAATTCACACTCGATCCTTTCTCCAGAGCATTGGATTGAACAGAAGAAGAAGCTCGAGTTACAGTCACTTTGGGTTTATTTACAAGTATCTCTGGGTCTGTTAGATGTTTAAAAGAGAGAGAGAGAGAAAGAGAGAGATTAATTTTTTTCTTGTATCATCCCCTTTTCACTCCTTTTTTTTTTTTTTTTCTTTCTCACTCTGTCGGTCTTCTTCCTCTTCATGCTGTATTGATAAGCAACAACCCATGATAACAATGTGTGTGTGTGTGTGTGTGAATTTTTATACAAAAAAGAAAAAAGAAAAAGAAATAAATAAAAAAAAAAAAAAGGTTACTCTCTCATATTCTTTTATTATTATTTGGGTGGTCACGTATTTTTTTTTTGTTACTGATGTTCTTCCAATACTAAAATAAATCATGCTTTTATTTTTAGTTTATAGTCTGTGTAACGTTATATGACTTACGGTCCATGTTATCTTCTTCTGCATGTCGATTGATCCAACTGTCTTTACTCCACTTGTTCTTGACAAAGGGAGAGAACAAGACAAATTCAAGTACGATGATGGAATCAATGGAAAGTTGAATGGCTCCACAAATAATAAACTGAAGTGGCGCACCAGTGTAAATAAAGTAAAACAACTTGAACCCGTCTCCTAGGAACTATAAAAAAAAAAAAAAAAAAAAAATTATCTGACATTATTTAAATCCTATTCTTTTCTCTTTCTCTCTCTCTTTGTAGATTTTACCCAGGAACCGAGCACAATTAGACTAAAACCAGTCGTTGACTTATTTTTAAAGTTGGATATGCATTGCGGTAGTGGCAACATGCTCTCAATCCCAAGACTCGCTGCACCCAATGTTTCAATAAATGCTGGGTAAGAGCGAAAAAGCATATACAGGAATGCAATCACTGTTGTAAATCCAAGCAGACAATTGATATAATCCAAATAATGATCCCAGCTCCAAAACTGTTGTTTCCACCAGGTCTCCTTTCTTTCCAACCCATTTTCTTCTGCTGCTAATTCTGCTTCAATCGAGTTGGATGAAAACGAGTTTCGTAGTTCGCTGTAGAGGACAGAATAATTGGCATCGTCATGTTTATAACTCACTACCACTTGAAGTAAGATTAACATGGCAATAATCATAGTGATTGATTGAAACAGTAATGTATCATCAAAGCGTTTTCCTATCCTGTATGCGCACACATATTAGTTTTTTTTTTTTTTTTTAAGAAGAAAAAAGGAAAAGGGGGGGGGGTTAGAAAAGAACAAGTTACCAGAAAAAGATACGAAGGATACTATGAGACACAGAAAAAAAAAAGAGTTGAATAAAAGGTATTACTTTAACATGGACATGGACTTACTTTGCAAATAAAAGAATGGCGCAAGTCATTGGGTTAAACCCGACACTTGACTGTTTTCTCTTGATTAAAAAGTACTAGAGAGAGAGAGAGAGAGAATGAATTTAAAAGGCACTCCATGAGTACATAATCTACTTACTTGGTCCACATAGCCCACAACAGGACCTATCACCATGGCCATGGATAGCGCAATGTCTGCAAAATTAGGCATTTTGGGAGAATATAATAACGCGAGCAAGTAAAAAAAAAAAAGAAAAGAAAAAGGGAATTTATGCGCACCCCCTCTCTATCTCTTTTTAAACATCCGACTAGGACAAACATGATTTGAGAGAGTTTTTTTTAACACGTCACAAGACTTACATATAAAAAAAAAAAATTGTTTAGCATCGTTTTTTTTTTTTTTTTTTTTTTTCTCTTTGTCCTTTTCAAGGGGAGATGCTTACTCAAGTGAGGTTACAACTGATGAGTAAATGCCGAAAACCCACAATACAATTTGTATTTTTTTCGACCAGTGATTAGTTTAATTAGTCGCTGGTCAATTTTTGGAAAGCCTTCATTGGCTTTTTTTTTTTTTTATTATTATTTTAAAACGAGAATGAAAAAAATAACAAGAAACATAAAAGGATACATATATACATAAGAGAAAAGCATAAAGAACGTTCTTAAAAAAAAAAGGGGGGGGTGGGGGTGAAAGATGGGGTTTTTTTTTTCTGTTGTTGTTGTTGTTGTCTATTGGCGGTTTTTCTTTGCTGATGTTGTTGCAGCAGCATGAGCTTTTCTTTTGGTATGATCATCTGGTTCTGATTTTCTTCTTCTACCAAAGGAGGTGATAGATCTATGTCGTGATAAAGTGGTTTCGTTATAAACACGAAGTAATGGCATGGAAAGACGATGCAGTAATGGTTTGGATGTACTAGTATTATTATTATTCGTGGTGTTGGTATGAGGAGGTATAGGTTCAATGGGTGAGTAGACCAATGGTTTTGGTGGATATTGCGTAATGGCAGGTGAATGCGGTGTAGGTACACCACCAGCACTAATACGGGGTGATAATGAAGAGGTGCGTGTGTTTGTACTGGGAATAGATATGGTGGTCTTCATCACTAACTTTGTAGGCGCATTAGGATGATTGTTGTTGTTATTTGATTGACTACCAGAAGAGCTGATATCAACCCCGGATCGGTTACTATGACCGCTCTTTTTCAACGAGTCAAATTTGGACTTGAGAAAAGCAGAGGATTTACGCAAGAGATCACCAGCAGAGACCGATCGACGGCTACTGCTATGTTGACTATAATAACTGGCGGATTCTTGTGTATGTCGCGTTGGCACAGGATGAATTTCATCATCGTCTAATTGAATGGGTTCCTCATTATAATAATCCACAGGTGTTGTCATTCTCGAGGATTCTGGTGAGGGTTCCTATAAAGTTATATATATATAAAAAAAAAAGAAAGTTAATAAGAAAAAGTGTCAAATTACTAAAATTGGATTTTAGACACGATTAGATTAATTTTTTTTTTTTTTGTATGATTTATTCTGTTTCGTTTACAAGTTATCCGCTGGTGTGATTCTTTTAATTGTTATTATAATTTACCTGTGATGTGAATCCTAGCTCAAAATGCAGACGAGATCTACGCTTGTCAAATTGACGTAAAAGATCTTGAGAGAACGTATCATCTTGTGTAAGATTCCCTGGCAACGATAACTTGTGTGCCATGAATCTATGAAAGGAAAGTGAAAGAAAGAGAGAAGAAATAAGATGCACAAGGAAAAAAAAACATCTTTTTTACAATGAAAAAAAAAAAAAAAAAAAAAAAATCTTTATTTAGCGTGTTGCACGTGGATAAAAGTAAAGAAGGGTAATGGTTTGTGAGTTTTTTTTTTTTATTATTGTTGTTAAAACATAAAAAGGCACCAGTCTTTCTCTCTCTCTCTTTTGTCTTAAACGTGTTTTTCATCAGTCAAAGGTAAGTGTATACAAAACGCAAGTATGGATTCGTGTTACCCTTTCCAATAAACATTTGCCTCACTTTTTTTTTTTATTATTGTTGTTATTTTTTTGCCACGATTTTGACATTGGGGATCTCCTTGCTGCATAAAAATCTGACAAGGTAATATGTTCGTGGCTCTTTATTATAAAAGGCTTATTCTTGGGGGGAGTGGGAGGTTTCTATGTAAACCTTTCCCGATCCCGCATTCCTTCCATCGCTCAACCCTGTGACAATTTGACAGTTCTAAATCTTGTACTCCCTTTTAAACGTCAATTAGATTATCGTATCATTTCAACATTTAGCCTCCCCCCCCCCCACTTTTTTTTTTTCTTAAAAAAGAGACCAGCCTCTTATTTCTGCTATAGAGTGACACATGTAGGAAAGCATTGTGCTTCACTTGTAGTCAGAGGTCACACTACAATGACTGAGTGAGAAGCCGCGTAAAAAAAAACAGATGGGCTTTTTTTTTATTTTCTCCCTAAGTTTTACATCGTACCCGACGATTGTATTATATAAAAACAGAAAAAAAATAAAAATGTATGTATATATGTATATATATATATATATATATAAAATAAAATAAAAAAAAAAAAGTTGAAAAAAGTAAAAAAAAAAAAAAAAAAAAAGGGAGGGAGGGAGGGGGGGATATATAAAAAAAAAAAAAAAAAATTACTATTATATAAATTAACGGTGAATACCCAATATCTTTAAATCTTGTTCAACATCCTGTAGTGAAAGTCCAGTTGGATTCGGTGCCATAGGAAATCCAACGGCTTCTTTAATATCTTGTAATTCACCCGTTTCTTCCTTTTGTTCTCGTTTATGTGCTACCATTTCACGTCCATCCGGAAACACACGATCAGCTTTTTTTTTTTTTTCATATAAGTAAGAAAAGCGTCAGTTTCTGTCTATTTAAACCCCCCCCCCTTTTCCCCATTTTTACCTCGAGACGGATCATTTAATTTAGTACGTTCATCTTCGATATTCCATCGTTTACCATTGATACTACTCAGCAAGTTTCTTCTCAGCGCATTCTTCTGCGACTTTTTTTATAATTGTGTGTTAGTTCCCAACCCACATGTATGACCCCACACATTTCCTTCATAGTAAGCTTACAATAAAATGGATATTGGCCTGATATTCAAAGCCTTCAAACTGTTGTCGGAAATTAGCATGTTGATGTTTTCGCCATGCCTCTGCACTATGAATGCGTTTTCCCTTCTTTTCTTCAATCTCTGCCATTAAAGTCACTAACTCTGGATGAGTACCATTGGCAATCATAATGGCCTCTTCGTTCAGTTCCGACATTTTCTCCTCGTACATTCTGTTATTTTTTTTTTTTTCACACGCGAAATAAGAAATGAGTCCATGTATACACAATCAAAAAAAAAATGTATGTAAGATTGCTTACTTGTCTCTTAATCGTGCGAATTCTACTTCGATATGGGTCAGGGCATCCAACGCCTCTTTGTGTCGTTGCTGGTAGTCATGATCCTCGTTGTCTTTACGCGAGGGTGGGGGAGATTAGTCCACTGTGATATTTTTGATTTTTAAAAAAAAAAGTTTTTACCTTGTGCTTCATTGTTCACCTTGTCTTCACAATCGCCATTCTCTTGCAGCGAAGGGACCAATTTTGTCACAGCTTCAAACACAACTTTCTTTCCATCCTCTTCCATTGACCCGTCCTCTTCATCATCATCGTCTTCTTCTTCCATATCCTCATCTTCTTCTTTCACCGGTTCATTCTTTTGTGTGATAGAAGGAGGGGGGAGAGGAGGAAGAGGAGGTGGGTTGAGTATCTCATGTGATTCAGATGATTTATCTGACGCTGATACGGAAGTAGTAGTAGTGGCGGTCGCTGTTGTTGCTGGTGTATGTGCTGCTGCTTGTGCTGCTGCTGCTGCTGCCTCTTCCTTTTTCACTTCATCTTGTCGACTTGTTCTTCTACGAGTTCTCAGGGAAGAAGGTTCTGTCATGATGGTATGCGTAATGGATCTAGAAGCTCTTCTTTTCTTATTCTGGTCTCCTTCACCTTTTGATTTTTTAGTGGTGGTAGGACTAGGTGTTTCTGAATCTTTGTTTCTACGCTTTCGAGTGACGGCCTTTTTCTTTTCGACAAGTACTTCTTCCTCTTCTTCTTCCTCCTCTTCTTGCCCTTGTTGTTGTTGTTGTTGTTGTGGTGGTGGTGGTGATGGTGGAGAAGGTGGTGATGGAGGTGAAGAGGGAGCGACCATTAAAGGTTCAGGTGAAGCAGAACGTGAAAGAGGAAAATCATCGGGTACAGAAGAAAGAGGAGAAGCTGAATCTTGTTCGGTATGTAAATCATCGTCTGATACTTCTTCATTCGAAAGAGAGCCAGGTGAACCTGCTTGTAATATACTATTCAATGCAGACAAATCATCATCGTCCTCCTCTTCTTCGTCCATGTCGTCGTCTTCGTCGTCTTGAATTTTATCCGTGGGTGTTAAGGGTCCTTCTCCATCTAATTGTTCATCCGCACTAAGAACAGACGGTGAGGAACCAAGAGATAATTTAGAACTGGGTCGTGTATGCGTATCTTTGCTTGAACTGTCCATTCTACTTTAATGTCATGCAATGATATATTAAAAAAAAAAAAAAGAGAGAGAGAGAAAAGAAAGAGACGCGTTTTTTTTTTTAAATTTTTTTATTCGTGCAAAAAAAGGGTCATCCCCAACTTCAAAAAAAAAAGTTGAAGAGTGAGAGTGAGAGAGAGAAAGAAAAAAAAAAAATAAAAAAAAGTGTGACGTCGACCCAAGGACGAATCGGAGTGTAAATACAAAAATGGGGGGACTGATAAAGCCTCCCCCCAAATGAAGAGGTGGCTTAGACATGTCAATTTTGTCTCCCATATACCCAATGTGTGTGCGCACTGTGAAGTCAATGACTCATATTTTGATTCCGCCACCCCCCCCCTTTTTTTTTTCTTTTTTTTTCTCTATTTTCCCTTCTTTTTCTCCCTCTCTTTAAAAAAAAAGATGTCACTTACAGCTGATCAAAAGTACGAACTTATCACCCGTAACCTTCAAGAGGTACTTGGTGGTGATGAAATTAAAAAGGTACTTGCTGAACGTGACCTCAAGATGTATTGGGGAACAGCCCCCACTGGTCGTCCTCACATTGGTTACTTTGTACCCATGGCCAAAATTGCCGATTTCCTTTCTGCGGGTGTAGAGGTAAAAGATGAAATGTAAAATAGAGTGTATATATATATACTAAATCAAAAAGTGAGTTTAGATGAGTGTCTTGTTGGCTGATATTCACGCCTTTTTGGATAATATGAAGGCACCACTTGAACTTGTACAACATCGTGTCAGATATTACGAAGCCATGATTAAGACAGTATTGAGTTCATTAGGTGTACCTATTGAAAAGCTCAAGTTTGTGATTGGTTCATCTTATGAATTATCTAAAGAATACAGTATGGACAATTTCAGATTATGTGCACTCTTAACCGAACACGATGCCAAACGAGCTGGTGCTGAGGTAGTTAAGCAAGTGTCTTCACCTCTCTTGTCTGGTTTATTATACCCTGGTATGCAAGCATTGGATGAAGAATACTTGAAGGTAGATGCACAATTTGGTGGTGTTGATCAACGCAAGATTTTCATTTTGGCAGAGAAATACATGCCTTTATTGGGTTATAAGAAACGCTCACATTTAATGAACCCCATGGTACCTGGTTTAGCTGGATCCAAGATGTCTGCTTCTGATCCTGATTCTAAAATTGATTTCTTGGATAGTGCTAAAGATGTCTCTAAAAAGATTAAGAAGGCCTTTTGTGAGGAAGGTAATATTGAAGAGAATGGTATTCTTTCATTTGTCAAGTCTGTTTATTTCCCTCTCAAGACAATGAATGGTCAAAAGGCTACTTTCACTTGTATTCGTCCTGAACAATATGGTGGTAATATGGTTTATGATAACTTTGAGGCTCTTGAGAAAGATTTTGCTGATAAGGTAGTTCATCCTGGTGATTTAAAGGCAGGTGTGATTGCCGCCATTAATGAATTATTGGAACCTGTGCGTAAGGCATTTGAGACCCCCGAGATGAAGGCCTTGACAGAGTTGGCTTATCCCTCTCCTAAGCCTGCTGAAAAGGTGAACCCCAAGAAGGATAAAAAGGAAAAGAAGAAGGCTGAGAGAGCTGCTGCTTTAGCTGCTAAGGCTGCTGCTGCTGCTACTGAAGGTGGTGCTGCTACTGCTACTGCTGCTGAAGGTGGTGAGGAGGTTTCCCCCACCGATACGACTGAGGAAAAGAAGGCAGAGTAAAAATACTTGGTTTTTTTTTGTGTATAATAATAAATTGTTTTTTTAAGAAAAGGAAAAAAGGGTATTGTTACACGCATGAGCACTTACCATGAATCGGGGGTTCATTCATGAAAGGACACTTATATACTATGTCTACTGTTCGAAAGGGGGGGGTGGGAGGAAGGAGTAATAATAAACAAAGGGTGGAATGGCATCATTAAAAAAAAAAAAAAAAAAAAAAAAAAAAAAAAAAAAAAAAAAAAAAAAAAAAAAAAAAAAGGTCCTTTCTGTTTTCTACAGAGGTAAAAGCCGGGACCTGCCTGTTTCTGATGAGATTAACATGTTTCCAAAAAAAGATTAATTAAGAATATGGAGAACCCGTCTCTCAGGATTTGGGCTCTCTCTTTTTCTCTCTCTTTTTTTTTTTTTTTTTTTTTTTTTTCTCTCTCTTGTACCCCAATCCGAAATTGACATTCTATCACTTTTTTATCTTGGGGGAAAACTTCCTTTTTTTTTTTTGAAAGTAGATTAGGAGTGGTATATCTACATTTTTTTTTTTTTTTTTCAATTAAGAAAAAGACATGTTTATATCTCTTTTTTTAACTCTCTCACCTTTTTTTTTTTCTTTTGGTTTATTATTTGTTTTTTCTGTTATTTATTTTTTTAATTTGACCAAAAGTGTAATATGGGATAATATGGGACGTTTTTCCAATGAACTTGTAACAGGCGATTAGAGTTCGGCTGAAATATAACCTTTTCACCTTTTTGTCTAGACTTGTCAATGGGGGAAGATGGGAATTGAGGTGTCAGGTACTACAAATAGAAAGCTGATCTTTTTTTTTTTTTTATTTAAACTTGCATTCCCCTATATATCATCTACAAAGAGAAGAAGAGGGAGGAGGCGTGGCAAAACCTTTTTTTTTTTCGGGTGTCAGAGATGTACCTTTTACAGTCTTGTTTGTCAAATAGAAATGGTGTATGTACCTTTCCCTCTCTTTTTTTTTTTTTTTTTTGGTTGGTTCTGGGGAGGGGGATGATGCTTGCTGTCATTCTCATATCCGTAACTGTTTGAGGTTTGAACATTTCAATTAGAGCTACTTTGAAGTTTACCCTTCAATCTATACAGAGCAAATAATTCTCAATCACAGACTAACTGGTTCTCCCAATATCTATCTGCTATATATATATATAAAAACGCGTCCCCTATTCTTTCTTTCTTTTTTTTCCTTTGTAAAAGCGCGCGTAAAAATGTACAGAAATCCATTTAAACTAAAATAGAAAAACCAAGGGGGTCATTTGCAAAAAAAAAAAAAAAAAAAAAAATGTGCTCTGTTATTGTATCACATTTACAAGAAGAAGAAAAAAAAGGGAGGGAAAATAAAGTATCATCAAAGATCATCATGTATTAAAAAAAGGTCTATTATGAAGACACACACACAGTTTATTTTTAATTTGTATATATACACCCAACTAGGATTTAAACGGCGTTTTAAAAAAAAAAAAGATTCTCCCCTCCCTCTCCCTCTTTTTTATTTACCCTTATCATATAAAAAAAAAGCAGTGTTGTCTCTCTCTCTCTCTCACTCACTCTCTCACTCGACAACATGTTGACACGGGAGGAATGACACTTATGCAAAAAAAAGGAGAAAGCAGAAAAAGCATTTTTTTTTTTTTTTTTTGTTGTTGTTTGTGATAAAAAATTGATTGTTTGGATGACATCGATCACACGCCTCAATTTCACCCCCTTTAACCCTTATTTTGCCTCCTTCTTTGTTTCGTTTTCTCTTTTATTTCTTTAACCTCCTTTTTTTTTTCTAGTTGTTGTTATTCTCTCTCTCTCTCTCTCTCTCTTTCTTTTTTTTTTCTATTTTATATATATATACATATATATATATACATACACACATATATATATATTTTATCTAACGAATGTACAATCCTTCCATGTTATTATCACCCATTGGTAAAAGAAGAGAGATAGAAGGCGATGATATTTCACTAGAGACAAGCCAACTCATGATTCGTTCACCCACGCATGGTACAAGCCATCTTAAAAGACCTCGTTATGAGCCCAGCTGGACAATTGATGATTTATGCACACATCCATGTAGTCCTCTTGCTGCCATTGATCTAGAGGTTAGAATTTTTCTTTTTTTTTTCTTTTTTTTGCGTGGCCACGATATTTAACTCTTTTTTTTCTCTTGTAGTCGATTTTCAACATGTCGACGTTCCACTTGTTATCACCCGAAAAGAGAGAAGACTTGTGTCAAATGTTACCCGAAATGGATCAACCGTCTTATCTGAGTCATGATTATGAATCCACCCCACCTTCCTCCTACAACACCCCAAACAACACTTTTTTCTCTAAAGCAGAAAATCCCATTTTTTGGAACACCCTCTCCGATTGGCAAACCATGCTAGGAGGAGGGGATTACGCACAACTTCCACCCGCATCCCCTTCACCACCCACACATAGCAGCAGCAATAAATCCACAAGTACCACATCTACCTTGAATAACCACAATAGAACAAAACCCTCCATAAAGTCCAAAAAGGACAAATTCAAGGTAAGCACCCCCCCCTCCCTTTTTTTTTTTCTTTGTATCTCTCGATTGACCTCTCATACTTACTTTGCCACAGGATGAAGGCTTTGAGTCTTACTGGGGAGAGCTGATTGACAAGGAGAGAGCTCACAATGTTGCGGGTGACTCCAAAAATATTACATTAAAAGACATGTGCCGCAAGGCCTTGATACGCGAAGGCGATGTCATTGTATATAAACGCAATTTTAGCGCGTGTAAAGTAGTTGTATCTAAATCCATGACTGTAAGCACCAAGAAAGAAAAAAAAATATGTATAAAATAATACATGGACTCATTTTTTTCTTTTCTGTGTGTGTGTGTTGTGCATCCATAGGTCGTCAAGGCAAGCGGGCTCTCGGGTATATCAATAAAGTTAGACGATGAAATCTTTGAGGATTTCGAAACCCCGACTGCCTTAGAAACAAAGATTTTAGACCACCATGGAAAAGTCACCAAAGATAAACGTCCTAATGGCAATGCATTTAAAAGCATTCGACTTATTCGAGCTGGCAAAGATATGGGTCGATTATTTGATATTCGCAAAGATGGTTTTGGTGAACAATCTGGATATTAGTTTTTTATATCTAACCCTTTTTTATTTCTTTATAAAAAAACAAACACAAGCCTTTTTTTTTTTTTTTTTTATTATTTTACATTATATATCATATTTAAATAACACCAAAATGTATACTTTTCTCTTTCTTTCTTTCTTCTTCATATAACATCTCTTCTTGCAATCTCTCTTTCTTTCTCTCTCTTTTACACAGGGAGCTTATCATATTATATATATTAAAAAAAAAAGCTATTGACACAAATATCTGTCATTTCTGTTTGTATGGGTGAAGTCAGTGATTTTTTTTTTTTTTTTGTAAATGGTTGTGTTGTCCCCCCTTATTTTTGTATAAAACAGAGTTAGGTTAACCCCCCCTAATAATAATGGTTCGATTTTTATTGATGTGACAATCCCCCCTCCCTTTTTTTTTATGTTGCACTGCTTTACATCTTTATGATTCTCCAATTCATTGGAAACAGAGTCATATATCTTTTTTTTTTTTAAAAAAAAAAATGACACTTCACGTGCCGTTTTCTATCTGACAGATCCTTTTTTTTTTTCTTCTCACAAACGATCTGTCAAACAGCCTAATAAAATTATGTACTCCGAACAAAAAATATGCATTGATAAAATAAAAAAAAAAAAACTAATGTGTTTCATAGAATTATACTTCTTTCCTTTACCTGCAGTCTATCACTTTTTTTTTGGGCTGAGTGTAATAAGAAAAATTCTTTTTTTTCTTATTTACTTTTTTTTTTCAAGGGAACTTTTTTTTTTTTTTTTTTTTTTTTCTCTCTCTTTGAAATGACTGTAATTAGCTCATAGTCATAACTTATTGAATATGTGTACACTTGCAATTGGTGGATACAGAGTCTCTTTCTTTTTGTGGGGGAGATATATAAGACTTGTGAGAGTGCCTCTACTTACATGTTGTAACCTTTTTAGGAAAAACTTTTCTTTTTTTTTTTTTTTTTGTTAGACTGGGTGAATCACTAGTGTTGTCCAACAGTAAACAAAGACGGCAATCATTCGCTTATGGTATACATCCCACATTTAATAAATAATAATAAAAAAAAGAGTATCTGTTTACCTCTAACCCCCAAATCTTAATTCCCTTTTCACACACACACACACACGGAAGAGCTATCGGTCTCCTTCCGATGCATTGAGACTCTGCATTAAAATATCACTATTTTAGCCCTATTATTTATTTTATCGTCAGGTGATATTTCTCCATTTCCCAATTTACCATTTACGCTGTTTTTTTTAACACAAGAGTTAAGGGGAGCAACACACCAAAATCCCCCCCCCCCTCAGAGATCATAAGCTTCATATCTAGATAAGCACTCATCCTAAATATCTGAGTTCTGAGTCAAGTAATTCTAAGCACAAAATAAAATCAAATTGCTACTGCCAGAGTAAGCGAATAAGAGTGTTTTGCACATCGATCTCAACTCAAGAGTGAGTTCTTTCAAATCTGCAAATTTCCATCCTGGGAGAAACGTCTACCTCATTTAGGTAGACAAACAGGTTTTGATTGAATTCTATTGGAGGTTATAATAGTTAAAAAAAAAAAAAAGCTTTGCATTAAGACTCGTCGGGTCTGAAAACTGAACCGAGTGGACAGTCCGATCACAACTGTTTTTTTTACAGTAGGGATCAGACCTATTTACGGTGTAATCCCAACGCCATTTACAGTGTGATCCCAACGCCATTTACAGTGTGATCACAACCATGTATCAAGCATGCCATGCAAAAAAAAAAAAAAAAAAAAAAATTATAGCTACAGTAAGCTTTTTCTTATCTGCCTTATTTTTTTTTTTTCTTATATTCTTTCTAAGGATACTTTTTTTAATCGTTGCAAGGACTGCAACATTGACATGTTTGGCACAAAAACAAGAATTCCAATTAGCTGAGCAACAAACATAAAAAAAAAAAAACGTACTTAGAAGGATGCATAAGACAAGTTTTGAAGATTAAAAATAAAGAGGAAGGACCACTCATCGTTGATTTTAGACTCAAGAATTTTCTTAACTAAAAAGCAAACAAAGATCGACAAGACTTTGTTTTCTGGCTGAAAAACACGAACCATCCCAACCGGTCATCTTTACACGTCAATTACAAAGAATGGAACTATTTGATAAGATGACAGTCCGACGAAAAATGATAAAAAAAAAAACAGAGTCAAGAAAGACAATGGTTGATCTTTCAATAAACTGGCAACTAAAGCCTGATATGAATTGCGGAAAGTTTACTTTGAAAGTCAGTTCAAATGCTGTTAGCACTGAATACAAGTTTTGCTTCCCCCACCAGAAATTATCAAAGATATTATCCTACTGGGCTCTTTCTTTTGGTAATTTATTTAACTATAGGAAAAGCAACATCAGATCCGGTAATGCAACATTTGCATTGAAAGAAAATCTTTAAATGCTGCATAACTGTTGCACAAATTGCTTTTCCAGTTATTAAATATCAAAGATATCCGTTTCGGGATTTATCAATTGTTCATCGTATATCACTTTTCATACTGGAAGGAGGATCCCAGCGCCTGGACACACAATAACCTGTAAGCAATGTCGTCAGCACTCCATAGCATTAAAAGTGAACTGACAGATGAAGAGGTCTTTTGATGGTATCAAGGTTTTTATGATACGCACTGTCAAAGTTGAATAAACTTGTTTTACGAATCTTGATATAAGACACCACTTATAACCGCATCTTTTTTTTTTTGTACGATTTTAAAGCACTGACAAAGGGTTTCATAATCAAGAGATACATATCCAGGATTGACTCTTGATCTCATATTATTATTATTTTTAAAAACTTGTAAGGGTATAATCAAGGATTTTTTAATTGACACAACTAACCTATTTCTCTTTCCATGGACAAAATCAGTATGCTAGTCTTTCCCTTATCTCCATCATTACAAGCTAAAAGTTCTGACAATTTAGGTGGGATATTAATTGCTTTTAGAGAAAAAAAAAATGTTATGAGAAAATGTTAACTTCATTTTTAACTGGAAGACTATTTGCGCCCCAACTGAGAAAATGTCAAGAGAGAGAGAGAAAAAAAAATGTACCCTAATTATTCAATCTGATTAATAATTGTAGATTCAGTAACCGCAGTAGCTGCCGCAGCAGCAGCAGCAGTGTAACGGGCAATGAAAAAAAAAACACTGGTGTAACCATGAAAAAAAGTTCCTGAATGTCCCAAACTTCCACAAAAAAAGATTCATGCCTTGTCAAAAAAAAAAAAAAGAGTATATTGGGGATTTATTATTATAATGTCTCTAAAAATCTATTTACAAAAAGGGGGAGGGTGATTTACAACACACTCACACGCCGACGACGACGACGACGACTTAATCTTCCATTTCCATATTTTCGTTCTTGGCCTTCTCTGCCTTCATGGCTTGAACTCTCTTCTTTGATTCGAGAGGAGCCAATTCAATGTTTTGGTTAACGACACGAATATCGTCTTCCTTCTCCAAAGCCTTGTTACCGGCCATACGGTTCTTATAGAAGGCACGCTCACGCTTAGAACGAATCTCTTGAACACGCTTCATAGCCTTGATGGTCGTAGCCATCATGTTGCGATCATAACGGACAGGAACATTACGACGTTTCTCAAACTCAAAGGTAGAATCCTAAAAAAAAAAAAAAAAAAAAGGGTCAGATCTACCTTTTAAACATCTAGATCTACTACTTACAATAACCATTTCCTTTCCACTGGCCTTTCTGAAAGCCTTGGTCCAGCGAACCTTACGAGGATTACGCTTCATCTTGAAGTTCTTGTGACATTTGGATCTGCAGAAACGGAAAGTCTACAAGAAGGGGTTAGATCGGAGACAGATGCATCTCAAAAAAAAAAAAAAACGAATTACCTTGCTGTCGTTACGGACAAACATAGTACCGTGACCAGGGTAACAAGGTCCTGAGCAGAAATAACAACGTGTGATGTGCATTTAATTACAAATAGATTATTAAAAAAGAAAAACTATTTAAAATAAAAAAAAAAAAAAAAAAAAAATAGCAAGGCATTACAAATTCAAAACAGTAATGTGGCTTAGTGATAGAACTTTTTTTTTTTTAAACCCTATAACTAGAGCTTTGTTTTCTCGAAAAAAAAAAAGGTGTCCTTCTTTTCTAGATCTATCCCTTCATTAATCCAAGCATTAGAAAAAAATGGAATACCACCCTGAAATTGTTGAACAATTAATGTATGTAGCCTATTGCAACATTATGGTTTTTTTTTCATACTGACCCTTTTTTTTTTCATTCTTTCTGTAGTTTGGTAAATACCTTGAATAGATCTGATCTCAAGATGCCGCAGTATTAATTTTTTTTTTCTTCTTCTTCTTCCCCACTCTATAGTGTCCTGGTTGTGGTGCACCCACTCCCCCCAATGCTGCCAACATGTGTGTTAACTGTATCCGTAACGAAGTTGATATTACGGAAGGTATTCCCAAGCAAGCAACACTTCATTTCTGTCGTAACTGTGAGCGTTATCTCCAACCTCCCGGTTTATGGGTCAATGCCACACTTGAATCCAGAGAACTTTTAACACTCTGTCTCAAGAAATTAAAGGGTCTCAGCAAAGTGCGTCTGATTGATGCCGGTTTTATTTGGACAGAACCTCACAGTAAGAGAATCAAGGTCAAGTTGACCATTCAAAAGGAAGTCTTTATCAACACCATCCTCCAACAAATCTTTGAGGTCGAGTATGTTGTTTCAGGTCAACAGTGTGATGAGTGTACTCGTTTGGCTGCTCAAAACACATGGAAGGCTGTCGTTCAATTGCGTCAAAAGGTCGAACACAAGCGTACTTTCTTGTACCTCGAACAATTGATTCTTAAACACAACGCACACAAGGATACCTCAAATATTAAGGAGACCAAGGACGGTATTGATTTCTACTATGGTGCTCGTAACCATGCCATCAAGATGGTCGAGTTCTTGTCCAACGTTGTGCCCATGAAGTATGTATACGATATATATATATATGTGTGTGTCTATAGTATACTAACACAAATATAGATACAAGACGAGTGAACAGCTCATTTCCAAAGATATTCACACCAGTGTCAGTAATTATAAATTCACTTACTCTGCTGAAATTGTCCCAGTGTGTAAAGATGATCTTGTGTGTATTCCCAAAAAGACCTCTCACAGTTTCGGTAACATCAACCAACTATTGATCTGTACACGTATCAGTAATTCTATTCATTTATTGGATGTCAACACACTTCATGTTGCGGATGTTTCTACTACACAATATTACCGTAACCCTTTCCTCTCCTTGGGAAGTGCCAAGAGTATGATTGAATACTATGTTTTGGATGTGGAGCCTTTGGGACCTGTGAATGGTAAGCGAGTATTGTGTGATGTCCATGTTGCACGTATGGCTGATTTTGGTCGTAACGATGAACAGTTCATTGCTCGTTCTCACCTTGGAGCGATTTTGAGTCCTGGAGACACTGTGATGGGTTACGATCTTGCCCGTGCCAATTTTAACAATGAAGATTTTGATAAACTCAGTGCTCAAAACTTGCCTGATGTTGTGCTTGTGCGTAAAGCATTCCCTGCTCGTAGAAAGAAGACTAGACAAAGAAACTGGAAGATTCAACAACTTGGTAAAGAAGTGGATGAGATGTTACCCCGTAAGCAAGAACAAGCCAAGATTGAGAACGATATGGAACTCTTTATGCGTGATATTGAAGAAGATCCCGAGTTCAGATCCACCATCAATATCTTTAAGGATCAAAATGCTGCTAATGCCCCTGCTGCTGAAGAGAATGATGAAATGACAGATAACGAGGATAACTCAGATGAAGAATTCCCAGAGATTTCCTTGGAAGAGATGATGGATGAAATGGCCATCAATATGGATGATCCTGATCACCAAGATGAAGATGAGGATATGATGCAAATGTAATCATTTTTCTCTCTTTCTTTTTACTTTATTAATATCTGCACACACACACACACTTTTTTTTTTTTTGTATTCTTTTTTTTTAAAAAATATCTCCCATTCATTCTAGATTGTAATATATACAAGAAAAATAAAATAAAAAAAAAAAAAAATTACAAAAAAAAAATTAAGAATCGTTTGTTTTATTAGTCATATCTTGATTGTTACTAGTGCTGTCATCGCTTGCACCAGCTGCTCTTGTGACCTTTCGAGATACTTGATCGATCAATCCGCCGACTGCAGCAAAAGGTGCTACAACAAGACTAAATAGAGTTGAACTTCCGTTAGATTTGGATTCACCAGCAGACGAAAATGGTTCTTTTGTGGGTGTATCGGATTCTGTAGGTGTAGACATGGCTTTTTATATTACAAAAAAAAAGAGAGAGTGAGAGGAAAAAAAAGGTGATAAAATATCTAAAAAAAAAAGTAGACTCGGGTTTATAAAAAAAAAGTACGTCATAAGTCCGTAGAGTTTGCCGTATTCTGGTTTCACACCTGTTTATAATGGAATAAATCGTCAGTCTTGCGTATCCACATAAACTTATTGTGCTTCCCCCCCTCCCCCTCTTTTCTAATGGATATACTCAAAAGAAAGGGGGAAAGGGGAAAGCAAACACACAGACGTTTTAGGACAAAGGTTGTGCGAGGGCTCATGACCTGGATATCACGGGCCAAAAAAGCTATTGTTTCCTTTTTTTGTTTTGTATACGTCATGGGCAAATAAAGTTCACACACACACAAAGGGCAAACTTATACACACACATACACACACATACACATTTTGAGCTCTTCTTTTCTCTCTCTTTCTCTCTTTTTTTTTTTCTCTTTTCTTGTGTTTAAAAACAAAAGAAAAAAAAACTCAAAATTGAATATACAACGTCTCGAGACATGTACAACATGCAGTTTCAACATTCACCTTACTCTGACCATCCCAGTCAGTATGACATTGCCAATGTAAACGCCGCAGTGAACAATGATAATAATAAAGCGGGTTTTCCCTCTCCGATAACAACATCTTCATTAGACTCTCCACCCAATAAAATGAATATCAATCAATACATTCCTTTACCCAACTCACCCAAGGCATACACCACTCATAATAATAATACCAATAATACCAATAATAACAATAATAATAATACTAATAATAATAATAATCGCATTCAGCAATATGACATGTCAAGCTATATACCTGCTCCAGCCAACTTTACCACTGACGATAACACACCCAGCCCTCACCAAGCCTACTACGGTGAAAACAATCATGATACGCTAGTATCTCCAACCAGTCCAGGTAGTAATATCGAGGAAGAGATTGTACAAAGAAAGTAAGTCATACAGGTTACCATAGCGGTACAATGACTAATTTAAAAAAAAATAAAATGATTTAGCATGCAACATATTTTCGAAAAGAAGAGACGAAGAAGAGAATCTCATAATGCTGTAGAACGTCGGAGGAGAGACAATATCAATGATCGTATTACTGAGTTAGCAACATTATTGCCAGATAGAGATGCCGTAAAATCTAACAAGGGAACTATCCTAAGAAAATCCGTGGACCATATCCGACTTTTACATGATAAATTAAGACAACACCAACAACGGATTGGGGAGCTTGAAAACATGTTGGAAGTATATCGTCATCAACAGCAGCAGCAGCAGCATCAACAACAACATCAAACAATGATACCGCCTGGCCACCCTCTGGATTTATCTGGAATGCAACCACATATGGCTAATAGTCATCATGCCTACAGAAGAGATACCACTTCATAAAAAAATCACTCTACTATCCTTTTATATTACAATTTACCCTTTTTTTTTTTTTTTTTTATTTATATATATATATATCAACCTTCTCCCCACAGACACACACACACACCTTTTTTACTATTTACTATGCAATTCATTATCATATATACACACACACTCTCACACATACATTAAAAAAACTAAAAAAAAAAAAAAAAAAAAAAAAATGACCTACATAAGGGGGGGGGGGGGATGTACAACAAAGTATACGCCATTTCCATTTAATTTCTTGTGATTGGTGGTGAGAACATTTATAATTTCCTTTTAAATGCACCTCCTCTTTCTTATCTTTTTGGTATATTTGTTTGTCGGATCCCATGATCCATTAAAAAAAAAAGTTTTTCCCTCCCTTTTTAACTTTCCAACCGTTCATCATGAAATATGTAACCATTCATGCAAAATATATATATATATACTTATCGATGCATGAAACCTCCCCCTCTTTTTATATATATATATATAAAAAAAGAGAAAAGTTTACATGATTGGTGCCTGAAAGTAGAGAAATGGCGTCTTATCAAGTAAACGGACTAGTTGCATTATGAACAATATATTGTTTCTTCCTTTCCCCCTCTCTCTTAACCCCATTCACTGGGCTCCCTCTTAGCCTCCCCCCCATGTGTAAATAATTAATTCACTACTGCAATGACATGCATTTATTATTATTGTTGAGAGGGTAAATGTATTGAAATGTTTACCCTTTGACAAACAAATAAAACGAGTACACTTCTTTTCAGAAATAAATGGCTGCACTACTTCAGGAAACTAAAATTGCCACAGAGTTATTTTTAGATTTTCATGGTCCTCGAAATTTTATTTTCGATCACTTTAACATTTAAAAGCAAAAAAAATGGAGCGTATGTTTTATCTATCAAAATGAGAAATATGTTGTGGATGAAAGTGGGGTATATGCATTTCGAAATGAATATTGCTACTAACGCATATCCCATCGATTACATTTACCAATGATTATGAGCATTTGGACTGAAGAAAGATCTCACAATGAGAAACGGTTACAATAGTAGAAATGGAGGTAGATGAGAGAAGAAATATCCAAAACGCCACTCTACAGTTGCTTAATCATGGACAACACCCAGATTTACATAAAGATATCAAAAGTGCTATAGAAGGGCGTGTGTCTATCTGTCTCCCTATTCACTTGAGCTCAAAAATCTAATCGAGCAGTTTTGGACCGTTTGCAAAAGCAAACTAAAAAGGGAGAGGCTTTTTAGAAGAAGAAACACTTTCATCGAGAATCCCAATCAATCATCTCAACTGCAAATATTCTGTCAATTTTTGTTAATTGCTTGCAAGAGAAGCCTCCTTATAAATGTCGCATTTGTCGCATACAACTTACACGCCATTTTTTTCATCCAGTGTACGACAAATTTATTTCAAAGAGTGCGACAACATAAAGTGAAAATAGTGTACTAGATAGTTTAATGAAATATAAACAAGGTTTGAAACGAAATGAAATGAAATGACTTGAGCTATTTGATAGTTATAATGAAAAGCTAGAAAAGAAGGGGACACATATATACACAAATTAAAAAAGAGAAGAGTTACTCCTGGAAATACTCCAAGTCTTCCCAGCATGTTCGGATGTACTGTTCATCGTCTGCTTCTTCAAGATCTTTGATTGCAGCTTCTATCTTTTTCATAATTCTGGTCTTTCTTTTATTTGTCTCCCACTCTTTTGTTGCTGATGAATCTGACGATGATTGGGATGATTGTGAATCCGTACCAGGAGAGTCCTCTCGGAAAGTATTATGAGATGTGGAATTTTTCAGATAGTTTAAATCATCTTGCAAAGCTATTTCGCACATTATTGTAATCTTTTTAAGATTGATGAGAACATGACGCTAAAGCAGAATGCAAGTTTTAGAACGTTGATTAAAACCATCGTAGTAATATAGTCAGCAAGTTGCGAGCCAGAGCCGTTGTTTGGGATTATTGTTTCCTTCTTCACATAATGCATCAGGCGATCGTCAATTAGTTTGTTTCCATATATACGAAGAGTTAGCTTGTTGAAATGACAGGAGATAGATTTAATATAATACGAGCATTCAAGGTCATTTTCACCTGCTTAAAGCACTAAGCACAGCCAAAAACAAGCTTGGCACGCTTAAAGCATAGGAGCGAGCCAATTAAAATGCGCCCCTGGTATTTACGGTGTAGCCACAGCCAATTAGAGTCTAATCTTTGTAAAGGAGTAGGGTCAACCAATACTTCAAGGAGCTACTTCTCACGAGATCTGCCCTTTCGATGTCGACTTCAGATTTTTTTTCCTTGGATTTATCTTCGCAGAACAACTGCTCGAAATACCTGTCGTTAGAGTTGGACTCTAAAATGAAATCAAATCTATAGTTTTTTTTGTTCTTTGGGCAATTGCTTTAACTCCTTCAGAGTCTTGATTATTACTGATTCACATTCAGCACTACAAGGAAAAAATGAGAAGTTGAGCAACTGCGTGACTAGAGTCATTTAGAAATCCTTACCGTTTGCTTTCAAAGAAATTGCTTGACAGAAATAAGAGATCAAATGCCTCACTGTATACACAAACCTCAATACCAGCATCCATTGTGATCCCTCTTTAAGTGATCATATTTAAGCAAAACAACACTATTGAAATAAAGCGATTAAAAAAAAAAGAAGAGACATGCTAAAATCAATATCGTATCCAAGTACTTACAACTTCTCCACCAGCATTTTGATAAAAACTAGTTCATCAGCACTTTCAACAACACTGATTGATTCAATACTTTCAATAAAATCGTCCATTTTTTTTTTTTTGCTTTAGATATATTTTTTTTAACAGTGCATGCTCTTCAGCCTTGAGTAGCAGGATAAGAAATACATGCAGCTTTTTCGTGATCCTATGGGTTATAGCTTCTAATCTTTGAGGAATAATGCTGCAGTGTCTAAAATCAAAAATATCTTTCGAACCACTTTAAAAATGTTAATAGGAGTTTCGCTGATTATCTAAGTGTACGCTTCAACTTACCAACTATCCACAAGAAAACCAGCCTTTTTGTAAAGACTCAATTCTTTTGAAATCTTTACATAGGCATGATTTTTTTCTTCTCTTTACAGCAGATGATGATGGTAGTGGTGAGGCAACAGCAGCAGCAGCAGACGATGGTGATGATGAAGAGGCGATAGCACCAGACGAGACACCGATTTGATCTGTGATAGATGTCGTTAAACGACTCTTGGCGGAAGCCTCTGATTGCTACTTTATGAATCAATATAGACAGATTAATATAGCTAAAGCAATTTTAAAAGCTTACTTTCTCTACATTGGCTTCAATTAACAAACTTGCTGGTCTTGACTTCAAAGCACTACCAACAACACTGCAAAGTATGTTCGCTCTTGAGATGACGGAAGGTTTACATTTGGTGTCATTTGCCTTGAGTCTCCAGACATTACAAAGCAATTCCTTCAGTATATCCATCTCGTTGGGTCCATTGGTAAGATGAAAAGAGCGAGAGATATAAAGCAACAAATTCATGTTGGACCAGGTTTTATAATTAGTTTTGGAGACATGTTCGAGTAGTACTTGAACAATATTCTCCTTTTGAACTGTTCATTGATGAGTAACAGCGTATTCATAGGCTTGCTTGAATCCAGAATATTTACTTTCTATAAGCAGTTGCTTGGTTTCAGCCACGATGCGATGAGAGTAAATGAGTTGAAAGCTTTACGAAAGGAATACTAACACTACGCCACTGACATGGAAATGTCTAGTTCTCCGTATTTTTTTCAAACGTATTATTTTTATACCACTTACAAGAATTCTGGCCAAGACCAGCAGGCCAGTATACACGACCTTTTACAGTGTTTTACTGTTATTCACAGTAAAACACTGTTATTCACAGTCCAATCCCAGCTATTCACGGTTCGTGAGTTCCAAAAACTCAAGAACCCTGCCTAGGAGGTCGCCCTCCTATAGCAAAGACTAGCCGCAGCCGCAATATCACAATATACCTTTTTCAATTTAGCTTCTTTTCAAAGAAACAAGAGTCATTTTTAACTAACCTTTTTATGTGATCGGTTACTTTCATACGATAAAAGAATTATGTTAAGGGAAAAGAAAGGAGAAGAATAAAGTGTGTGAACCAGCTTTATTTATACATAAGCAAGCTTATGTCAGGATGATTTCATTTGTCTATTTTATCATCCATAGTGTTTGAGCCTTTACTTAAAATAGAAACACTTGCAAAAAACCTCCCAAGCAAATCAAGATCCAAACCAAAAATTATCAAAAGGTAAACGTGTTAATAAACCCTGATAAAATATTGTATTTTAATAATGAAACTTGCATGATCTTATTATCATTTTGATTTATTATATACACGCGGCTGATAAGCCCTTTATACTCCATGACTATGCATATTTTCCGGCTAAGACGCTTCTTTTTTAAAAAAAAAAATCAGTCGAACGATTTAATGCTTAATCTTTACCGACAGCTTCAAATCAAGAGACTAATGTAATACCAGACACATATACACAAACTGGTTTGATTGATTTTGTGTACGACTCAATCACTATCAAATTACCGTGCTCGACGCCATTTCTACCAATCTCATACGTGGATCTTATAAAGCAATACACCCGACTGTTCTCAATTTTTTTTTTGACTACGTGCACAACGCATGCGATAATCGCGATTGATGTAGTTAATTCAGACAACCCAAACTAAAAATAAGTGTTTACCTCATCTCTTCCGAAATATACAGGCTTATATATCAACGCATATCCAGACTTAACGTCATTGTCGATTCTATATATATCTACAGATAAATAGACACTAGGGTTTCCAAATTTCCCGGCTTTCTTGAGCCAAACCATGCACGTCTTTTATCTATTTGTTACATTCTAAATATGTTATCTATAAAAAGGATTGAAAAAGAGAAGGCATACGAAAACTTCCTACCTTCTTTTGTTTTTAAAAAAAAACAAAAACAAAACAAAGATGATCAACAAGAGCTATTACAGGATGATTATTTCTGCTTCTTTAAATTAATCGCACGATTTGCACCTTTAAATCAAACAAGGAAGGGCTGCTCTCGAGATGCCATATGCGATAATGATTTTGTGCAAAAATGAGGGCTGTATATCTAAGGTGTTATGATTGTAACAAAGCAAAATCTTTTGCATTTCTAAATTTGAGTATCCCTTAAGAGTTTAGCTCAGTAATTTGATCAATCAAAAGGCTGCCGGTATATATATATATATATAAAACAATAGTAAGGGGTATTGAGTCACTTAACCCTGCCAATTGATCAGTGAGCTCAGAGCTTTGAGATTAAAGATCCAAGATGGGAGATGAAGTTTTATAAAGGCCTCCTCCTTGTAATGTTAGCTTAATATCCAACACTCATTACATCATAGCCTCTAGTTTAGAAGGTATCTTGGAGCTAAGTGTCATAGTAAATAGAGTACGATATTAGAAAGGTCACTATGAGGACGTAATAAGAAAGGCTTACACAGAACATTGAATGGTATCAGACAATTGACTTTAGAGCTACAATCGCAAATAAAGACCCGGGTACAGCTTTTGAAGGGATCAATAGGTTTGAGAAAGTGTTTTTTTGCTAACCCTATTTATCCGGAAATTAACAGCAGCTGGCCTCATTTTTATTGGTCTTAATTTTCGTATCCTGTTTTGGGTTACTGTAGGAAGAAAGCTTGGTTTTGACATATACTGACAGAAAAAGATACTTACAGTTTAGCCTATACTACTAGTGGCGTGTTTGCCAAGAGATACAAGTAGTGTCATCATGTGAGATATGTATTATAAACAAAAGAATTAGGGCAAAAATAAGTTTTTTTTCACACAATTGACTGTAATTTTCAAACATTCACTGGAAGCACAATAATTAAGACTCCACCCTTTTTGGCGATCCTTTGCGCGCACAAACAGAAGGTCAAAGAATAGTGCCAATTAAACCAATCACAATCCAGTCTAACGGCTTTAATGCACTGAGTTGTTAACAATTTTAGAGGTATCTTTTTTTTACCTTGTGCTGAGTATTAAACAATATAAATACACCAGCTGTATTTTTTTGTGGTCAACAATCAAACACCACCCCTTTTTTTTTTACTCATTTTTTTTTTTTTTTTTTTTTTTTTGTTGCCCAATAATTAACGACAAAAATAAAAAAAAAAAGCTTGATCAATGTCCATTGAAAAAAAAGTGCGTTGGACACAACATGATACCGACTTGGGCGATCGAGAAGAAAGCAATGGCATGTTGGGAGAAATAGCGCCTGATTCACCAGGGCCGTTTATCCCCACAAATTTCACCAGACTCATGCCGCATAATGCGTATCAAGATGAAGACGACTATAGCGACGAAGACGATCAGAGCAATACGGACGAAGATGACGAGACCGCCTTTAACCAACTTTATGCACGTAACCAATCTCTTTCTTCCGTCGCACCTGAAATTACCCATGAGCGTTTGGAATGGCAACAAATGTTACAATCCGTGCTTTTGGGTGAAGTCATCAAATCCGAAAAGAAGAGATTATCAAGCTCAGACAAGTTTCAACCTACAAAACCTACACAAGAAATTTGGTTATCATTGCGTGCATTGTTACGTGGTAGAACCATGATGCAGGAACAAAAATCCTTGGAGGACAGCCGCAAAGAAATTGAAGGTGTTTTACAAATGGTGATGGATTTCAAGGTCAAGGATGACGAAAAAGACGACGCCCTGAAAAAAGTGGCCGATGTCTTGAAGAATGTCGACCGCATTGAATCCTTGTATACAACAAGAGCGGAAATGATTTTGTCTCATCCTCGTTATGGTGCCCTTGACTTTCAAACCAAGTTAGAAGCCCTTAACGCTTGGTGTACTGTCACCCGTAGTTTGAGCATGCAGTATAAAATCCTGAGAAACTGGACAGGTTCCGAAGACTTGCAGATCGCCAGAAAGAAATCAGATGAATCATTAGCTACCACCAGCAAAGAAGAGCAAAGAAACAATGATACATCCTTTGTTGAAAGACTATTAAAAGAATCAGCATTACAAGATACCTTTGATAAACGAACTTTGTCAGCCCTCAACTCTCTACTAGTAAAATCTAAACAGACCATGATTTACAACTCGAGTCAGTTTGCAGAAATGAACTTACCATCCTTTATCTCTCAACTTCGTCAACTTGCTTATTTTCCCATCTCCTTGGTTGAAGAGGCACTCAAGCTTCGTTTGGAGTATAAAGACAGAATGAACGAACCACCTAAACAGATGGTAGATGCCATGATGGAAGATTATCGAGGCTTACTCTCTTTGGCTTGTCGAGTCAAACGAGAATATGAAGAACTCACTCATTCAGCACCTGGATGGCGATTGGAAGATGATGAACCTGTAGACCATAATTACGATCATGTATTGATGGAATCCGTACGTTTCTATTTTAGATTGATTACCTGGAAATTAAACTTGGAAAAGGAAAACAATCTTCGAGAGTGTGAAGTTATGGAAAAAGAATGGGGTTTTTTGAAGAGCACCGTGTGTCAAACTGTGGATAAAGCTGATTGGGAATGTGCAGAACAATTCTGGTGAGCATCTTTCTTATTTTTATCAGTCATTTACTTTTATTAACTTATTCTATCAAGCTCCTTGACCAATCGATTGTTGGCAGATGTGATGCGTGATTATATATCCAGTTTAAAAATACCCCCTGAATCCGTCGATGGCGGAATCGAAGTAAAGTATACAAAATTATTACACACCATGCGTATGCGAGCTCGTAAACTATTACAATTCGCCAGGTAATACCTTTTCTATATGTGTTTAAAGCACGGTTTTTTTTTTAAAAATCCATCTTTAGATTCTTCATGAGCCAATTTGAAAATGCTGCGGAATATGTCGTGGATACAGATAATATGGATAAATTTGTCACCTGCCTTGTGGAGACAGGACATTTCTTGGTATATACAGGAGCGTTTGAAGAGGATCGTATTTATATCATTGCATCTCCTTCACTGTACGGTCGAGAGGAAACGATCCAGACCTTGATCCAGTCCTGTTTTGCCTATGATAAACAACCCATGCCTTCAACCCCTATAACGCCTAGTTTGTCCAGTATCAATGGAGAGCAAACAGAAGATTACATCTTGATTTTTTCACCATGGCAAAATATTATGTGGACAGGTGAGGTAGTGGAAGTGCCTACACGATTCATTCATTTGGGTATCAAGACAAGACGTGTGCGTCTTACAACAGGTGACTCTACCAAATTAGCATCTGCCAAAGCGCTCTTTTGGTCTGCTGTTCAACACTCGGGTATTGAAATTATTCAAGAACACAGAGCGCATATTCCCCGGATCAACAAGGAGCTTTACAAGATCAAGATGACTGTATTCAAATTAGCAGATTCAACGATTTCTAGTGTCAGCATGATTCGAGAACAAACGATGGGGTTAGGCTGTCAAGAGCTTGTAGAAGAGTGCTTCAGTTTTGCCAGTGATTTTGGTATCCGTGCGGCCAAATTTTTAGAGTTAGCCGTGCGACTTCAATTAGATCTCAAATTGGTGCGTCTGGCCATTGATTGGATCTGTTTCATTACAGATGACTGTATACCGTCTGACCGAAAGACCTTTCGTTGGGCCGTGGCCGCACTTGAATTTGTACATTTAATGACACGTGGTGCCAACATTCTAGCCCTCAGTGAAAACGAATTCGCTACTCTACAGAGTAAAGTAGCACGATGTGTGGCCTTACTAATCTCTCACTTTGATGTGTTGGGTACACGATATATCTACGAGCTTCAGGTCAAGGAAGATCAACAACGTCGTCGTGGTATCACTGCTAAACGCAATTCGTACATGACATCCAAGAGTTCAGATAAGGATAATATCACAACCAGTTCTACCTTTGGTGCTACCAATGATGTGGCTGTGACGGGAGGTGGAGGCATTATCTATCGACGTGATACTTGGATGCGCAGAATTTCCGAATTGGAAGCCAAACGATCGGCCGATGAACAAGAGCGCAAGATCATTGGTAAAATATTGGATGACCAAAAGCCGGAAGATCAATCCCTGGTATTCTTGGCTCCTTCATCTTCCAATATTCAATTCAGCTGGCAGCAAGGTCGTTTCATTGGTGCAGGTACTTTTGGTTCAGTCTATTTGGCGATTAATTTGGATACTTCCACCGTGATGGCGGTGAAGGAAATCAGATTCCCTGATTCAAGTTCGTTATCAGCCCTGCATAAATCCATCAAGGAGGAAATGAAGGTCATGGAAATGCTGCATCATACAAACATTGTACAATACTTTGGCATGGTAAATATTATTTTAACAAAAAAAAAAAAAAAATAAGGCTACGACTAACTTTATTACAGGAAGTACATCGTGATCGTGTGTATATCTTTATGGAGTATTGTGAGAATGGTAGTCTGGGTGCTTTGCTTGATCATGGTGGACGTATTGAAGATGAAGTTTACGTGGTGGATTATGCATACCAGTTACTAAGCGGTCTTGCCTACTTGCACGGCAACAATATCGTACATCGTGATATCAAACCTGATAGTGAGTCTTAAGCAAAAAAAAGAAAAAAAAAAAAAAAAAAAAGAAAAGTAAATCTAATGATGACCTATAGATATTTTGATTGATTATAACGGGCAATTGAAGTTGTCCGATTTTGGTGCAGCCAAGATTTTGGCTAAGGGACAGAAGACGATGGGACGTACAACAGTGAATATGAATGTGAATAGTTTAGCGGGTACTCCCATGTATATGGCACCGGAAGTGATTACGGGAGGAGAATCAGGTCGTAGAGGATCCATGGATATTTGGTCGCTAGGCTGTTGTATTGTACAAATGGCAACGGGAAGACGACCTTGGAGTACATTAGAAAATGAATGGTCGGTGATGTACCATGTAGTGACGGGTCACCCACCACTTCCTGATGCATCACAACTGACAGCTCCTGGTATTGATTTCCTCAAGAAATGTTTTGTACGTGATCCCAATAAGCGACCTACTGCCGAAGAGTTATTAAACCACCCATGGATCACCAGCTATGTAGATAATTACAGCGAAGAACAATTGCCCCCACCTGAACAAGAAGGCATGAATGGCGATGTTCTTGCGGGTGATAACGAGCATTGGGAGTCCGAGATACCCGATCCTCCTGAACAACGAGGTTATCAAGAATATGATGATGTACCACCCATGCAGCGTTCCATTAATTCCACCCCATCCTTGGATAGGCCGATGATTCGAAGTATTCCCAACAGTTTAGCCTTAGACGGTATGGCCAACAGTCATGAGAATGGGCCCCAAGCTCAGGCCTACTTTCGTGAAATTGCTGCCCAACATGCTTCCGATGCTCAATGGAACCCTGCTAGCTCCATGAATCCCCCCAATTAAAAATAATTATAAAAAGAATAAAGAGAAAAAAATAAATAAATTACTACTTGCACACATACAAACGCAAATTCTTTGGATCCGGGTTTCTCAGTGATGATCTACTAGCGTAATTTAGGTGTTGCATTAATTCCGTTCGTAAAAGAAAAGGTACATTTACTTATATATCTACCTGATCTAAAGTCCTTTAAATGTTGATGAGCTCTCTCATGTATTTATCTTTTTCGACCTGCTACATATGATGCAAAAATGAGATATTGTTTTCTTTTTCTAAAAATGAGTTTCAATCAGCTTAAGATTATAGGCCACTCCAACAGTCAGTTTATCTTAGCGATGGCCAAACAAATATCAAATAATTTCTATGATTTATGCCTATGTCTTGTTTAGGTTTATTTCTTTAATTACTTAAGTTTATCAAATTTAGGAAAGTTTATTGTTTAATCTATTCCAAAGTAAATAATAATAAAAAAAACTTGCTTATCAAATAGTTTTTTCTACAAAAGTAATGCCTTTCATCTCTTAAACAATCCCTTTATTTACGTCACTCAACATATTTCCTTTCAGATCAGTTAATTAATTCAAAAAGAAAGCATACGAGATTAACTGGGCAATCCCCCACACCCCCCGCGCGCACCACAAGGCCCTATTTATCAAGAAACTAAAAACAAATTTTCATAAAAGGTCAAGCCAGCAGGACCTTCATCCCGACAAATCAAACCCATACGCTCCGTCACGATCAATTGTTCCGACGCCACTGCCAGAGCCAATTTTTCTATCTCTGCCAACTGCATAGCGGAAAGTGGGCCGCGTTCCTTGACATGTTTCAAGATACGAGAAGCAGCACGACTATCGTTCATATCCAAGGACTGAATCACGAGCAAGCCACTCGAGAATTTACGTAGCTGAAATGGTAACTTGAGAGATTCAAACTGTTGACTGGCCTTGTACAAATCCTCTGGTGAGATCAAGGCAACACCCCGAGCTCGGTTAAATAAACAATAGACATCCGTCAAGGATTTAATATCGTCCTGTTTAAACAATTTGGCGAGGAAATCAGCAAGTTCTCGTGCAAGCTCTTGGTGATAGATAGATCCTGCTGTACCGCGTGTCACGGGCGAGGCGATACCAAGGTTTAAGAGATGGGTACGCAAGGTCGAAAGCTCGTTCTCATCGTTGCTAGCGTCTTTACTCACCTTGTTGGAGATGGATTCGGCTAGTCCGACCATTTCCGTGGCTTTCGTCATAAGTCTGTCTAAATCTTGGAAGGCGTCCGTCATTGTCTCCGTGGCCTCCAGTGTAGATTTTTGGATACGATCTTCGATAGCCGCTATATCGATCAAAAAAAATCAATATTTTTATAATTGACCCCACATAAAAGATCCAAACTTACTTATACCAACACCACGTTTCTTTACTGAAGGTTCAGGCACGACGGTTTTCTGCTTTTTTTTTTTTTTTAAAAAAAAAACAAAAGAAAATAGTGAGTATTTCTTACATAAAGGTATATAAAGCTTGAATCACCTTTTCCCATTGTCTTTCTGCTACAGCCCCTTTTAATTTAGCCAAAAAGGCCGGTTGCCCGCCCTTTCGAAAGGATAGACGTATTTGCGCACTATTGACAGAAATATCGGCGGATAAGGAGGAAGTGGTACTTGTGGTGACAGTGGGTATGATTTCTTTAGGAAGGTCCGCGCCGCACATCTCACACTGTATCATACTAGGGTGGTTGATAAAAGTACATGTTGTGCAAACACTGCTATCTCCATTGGTAACTGTCTCTGTTGTTGTCACAGGCTCAACCGTGGCATTGCTGGACTTTACACCGCATAATTCACATTGCTCAGAAGACCCTTTGTTCAAGTAGGAACATATGGAACATGCCCATACAGGACCATTGGATGCCTCTCCATCCATTGTACTTTTTATACTGACGCTGGTATCAATATTGATAATAATCTTGGGTGATGATCGAAGAAATCCGCTCTGTTTTGAAAAACGAAATAAGTATTCACATTGATTTTTTGCATACATAGTTTCAAGTAGTGTAACGTACATAAGCTTCGATATCTTTGACAAGGTACAAACCAAGCTCAATAGAGTATTCTAAAGGATTAACATTATCAACGTAAATAATACGGTGTGAAGTCAGATAACATACACCATCTTGATAGTGGTCGAGCTTGACCTTTCTTTTTTTCGTTTGTTAGTTTGCTTTTGTTGAAAGAGGTCTCATGAGATAAGTGTACCTTACCCTTCGTAAAGCCCTACATGTCCTTGTTGTAAAAGTAAGCTTTCATTGGCTTGTAATTCAGGTCGACGAGACGATGATAAGATGGTGGGTTGGAAGTATTTCATTAACAAGGAAAAAGAGGGACAGAAAACGAGAGACAGCAAAAAAAATCAGAGCCTTAAATGACCTTGAAATCTAAGCCAATCACGTGCGTTTTTTTTTTTTTTTTTTTTTTTTTAGGTCGTCGTAGTAAAAAAAAAAAAAATGCATTTTGGTGTTTATTATTTTTTTGTTTGCTAGACATATAAATTAAAAAATGAAGGTAAACAATAAGGTATAACGTACAATGCTGCCATGGACTAACTGTTTGTTCCTTGTCTCCCCCGAAAAATTAGTTGATTAGCAAGTTTTTAGAAAAAGATAGTTCAGGATCGATTACTTTGCTTCCGGAGGAATTGGAAGACATGTGGCATGTTTACAACTTGATATCGAAAGACGATTTGATCAAGGCCACCACTATTAGGTAATGAGAATACATATGTATTACCTTGGCAAAGCAAATATACTTATCACTTTTCTAAAGACGTTTGCAGTCTGAGAGTTCTACAGGTTCTACTTCCAGTCAACGTGTTCGACTTAACCTGACCATTACCATTGAAAGTGTTGATTTCGATCCCAATGTTGGACTGTTGCGCATCAATGGTAAAGTAGCCCGAGAAAATCAATACGTCAAGGTTAGAAAACATTTCCATACCCAGTAGCCTCTCTTTCCTTTATTGACGTCATCTCATCAATGTAGATGGGCAGTTATCATACGATCGATCTCGAGTTGAATAGAAATTTCACTTTATTTAAACCCGAATGGGACACGATTGCTTTGGAACGTGTAGAGGATGCCTGTGATATCACAAAACAAGCGGATGTAGCTGCCATTGTTTGTCAGGAAGGTCTGGCGAATATTTGCTTCTTGACACAACACATGACTATTGTCCGTCAGCGTATTGAAATCCCTATTCCCAGAAAGAGAAAGGGCTCTGTAACAAATCATGACAAGGTAAAAAGAAAAATCCTATAGCGCCACATAATAGAGAGAGAGAGAGAGAAAGAGAGAGACTGATACTCTTCTAAAAGGGGTTGGTGCGTTTCTATGACCAGATTTATCAGGCCATTCTTCGCCACATTCATTTTGATATTGTCAAGGCCATCATCATTGCCAGTCCTGGATTTGTGAAGGATCAGCTCTATACATACATTTTTGATCAGGCCGTTGTAAGTGTGCCCCCAAAAAAAAAAAAAAAAAATGAAAGGATGGGATAGTAAACAGATGTTATTGGCAGAAAACAGACAACAAGATGCTCATGGAAAACCGATCAAAGTTTGTGCTGATCCATTGTTCTAGTGGACATAAGCATGCATTGACAGAGGTGATGCAAGATGCATCGGTGCAAGCCAAATTAGCGGATACAAAGGCAGCGCGTGAGGTACAAGCGCTTGATAAATTTTACGAGATGATGAACAATGACCCGGACAGAGCATTTTATGGTTTCGAGCATGTGAATAAGGCAAATGATAGAGGAGCGATTGGTACATTATTGGTGACGGACGAGTTATTTAGATCAGCTGATATCGGCACCCGTAAAAAATACGTTTCACTGGTAGAACAAGTGAGAGCTCAAAATGGCAATGTATTTGTCTTTTCTAGTATGCATCCATCCGGAGAACGTAAGTTTTTTTTTTTCTTTTTTTTTTTTGTAAATATAAGCTGTTTATTGACATGTGTTGTGTAGAATTAAATCAATTGACTGGTGTAGCTGCTATATTAACTTTTCCTCTACCAGATATCGAAGATATGGAAGACGAATAAAAAGAAATAAAATAAAAAATGTATTTACAAATTGTATATTTTTTATTTTTTTTAAAAAAAATAAGAAAAGGGGAGGGGTTTTAAATATTCACTTCTTCACCGAATAAAGCAGCAGCAGCTTGAGCAACCACAGCTTGAGCAGCGGCTTGAGCAGCAGCATAATTCATGGCTAGGATCCCATCTATCGCAGCCAAAATGTCCGCTTCCCACCATCCCATTTCATAATCCACCAGTCCGAATCTTTCTAATTTATCAGCCCATGAAACCACCATTTCTCTCAGGCTGTATAAATGTTGATCCGTTAAACGCTCTGTATCACTACTAGGTTCATGGCGTTGCGCAAGTGCATAAAGCCAGCAATTATTAAGTCCCGCCCAAAATTGTTCTCTATCAATGGCGTTGTATGGATGATCGTCCGAGGTAAGTCCTATATTATCCATAGAGTCAGTCTCTCCTACAACCTACAATCGCTTTTCTCCACTTACCTAATTGCTCGCAATGGTCTACAACAGCTCCAGTCGCTTTACTCAGCGTCTGAAATCCACTCACCATATTCCTCTGTTCCACATGATCTAGTGTATTTTTCAATTGCTTTTGAATTTCTTCAAACGTTGTGATGGGTGTGGGTGCAGGTGTTTCTAATGCAATCGGAGGAGGAGGAGGAGGAGGGGCAGTGGTGGCAGTAGTGGTAGTAGCAGCCGTGGGGGGAGGTGCAACAACAACAGTAGTAGTAGTAGCAGTAGTAGTAGTAGTAGTAGAAGCAGCAGCAGCATCAGCAACAACAACATCAGCAGCGGCAACAGGAGGAGGAGTGGGTGTATTAACTGTGGCTGACATGGTGGCGTCGGGGGTGCTGATAGTTATGATTGTTGTGGGAGTGGCGATAGGAACAACAGCAGCAGCAGCAGCAGCAGGAACAGTAGCAGCAGGAACGGCTGGAGGATGAGGAGGAGGAGTGACTGGAAGGGGGAGAGCGACAGCGGTATCAGGTATGGATGTATTTTGTTCATTATTCGTTGTATTAGTAAGAGGTAAAAACTGCTGTTGTTGCGGCAGCGGTGGTGGTAGTGATGGTGGTGTGGATGGCTGTGGCTGTTGTTGTTGTTGTTGCTGTTGGGGCTCAGATTGTTGTGAGGGTTCTTGCGGAGGAGGAGGTGGTGGTGGTTGAGTAGGTTCTGGACTGGATGGTGGTTTGACCAGGGTATCATCCAAATAGTTATTTTGTTCTATGTCTTCTACTTTGACCATGATCGTATCTTCTACAATTAATTCTGGTTCTATAATAGGAAGGGGAGGGGTTACTGTAGAAGTCAAGGTGGGGTTCGACTCTTGTTTCACTAGTTCATTCAAGAGACTTGCTTGTTCTGATTCGACGGGTAATATGGGGGAATTCGATAGTGGTGTTGATTCATTGCATTCGTTCGACATGGTCATTTATGCTTCTTTTTCTTTTTCTTTTTTTCCTTTTTCTTGTGTTAAAAAGGGGAAGGGGGTAGGTAGAGTGGGGTAGATATTAATTAAATAAAAAAAAGCACTGGTGTCTATAAACAGTGTTTCTTTCCTCTCGTCTTGATTTTTTTATTTTGTATAAAAAAAAAAGAGATATATAAAAAAAAAAAAAAAAAAAAAAAAATGAGAAAGAAAGGGTGCGATGCTAGGGGGTTGGTAAGAGTTGAGTTACCAGGCAACCATTTTGAATGGCGGAACCTTAATAAGGTCATTTGAAAGCCCTTCCTTTATGTATCTCTTTTATGTTTGTTTTCACCTAATACAGGAAACAACTCATTGAGATGACATGTGATATGTCAGTGTTTTATGTCCAATTCAAACAGCAACAAAAATTGCTTTTGCATACCCCCCAAAAGCTGCCAATTGGTGCCCAATTCATCTCTAAAAACCCAGCATTACGGAAAGTAAAATCAATGAAAATCTTTAAGCCAATAAACCTCAAAAATTACAAATCGGGCTTGATCAGAAATTCCACCTCTCCCCTGGTCCCCTGGATACTCGCATTACTTACCTGTCAAAAAAAAAAAAAAAAAAAAAAAAAAATATTTTTTTCTTATTGTTATTCCTGGCTTGGATATGTGACATGTAAACGGTAAATAAAACTCATGGTTGTTGCTTTTAATAACATTTAAATCGACCCATTAAAAAAAAGTTATCAAAGGACTGATGTTTTGTTTCGCTGAATGAAAAAAAAAAAAAAAATGTACAATGGTTAAATGTTGTATTTATAGCGGTGTATTGATCTCTTTGTCAAGACGGATACGTAAACAAGCTCATGGTTTGAAAAACTAGTATAAAAGGCAGGATCTAAATCTGTTTCTCAATTTTTCACAACAGATATACGCACAAATGATTGGTACAACACAGACTACAGAATCCTTGAATCAAGATAATATCAATGTTATTGTTAAACAAGAGGGTTTCAAATTGGGCGAATTAGAAATTCAGATGGACAGAATTGTCAAGGTGTTTATTAAAAGTATGGCCCTAGTAACCGAGAACCAAATATCAAATCACCCGCAAGACTGCCAATGTGCACTTGAAGGGTTAGAATATGCCGTAGCCCCCAAACCAGACCATGCAATCAATTACGAAGACGTAATTCGTATGATTTTTGGTGTCACAAATACTTGCCATGAAGCTCATATTCGGGATCAGACCCAGGCTCGCTATTTGTACTACACCCTATGTGAAAAGGCTGATCAACTTTCCACTGCCATCCTGGAAAAGTATGATGCCAAACTGGGGGATTTTAATTCATGTGTTGTAGAGAAAGATCTCGTCGGAGCTCTTATCAGCGAAGCTGATAGATTGAATTTAGCTAAACTTGTAGACCTCTCCGAGAAAAACTGGGCCATCGAATTCATGGCGTTAGAAAGCTGGGAGAAAAAATGTGATCTCTACGATAAGTACCCATTAGTATATTATGGATGAGAATAAGTACATTTAACTATTTTTTAAGAATAAACACTTTAATTGACCGCAACTAGTAATTAATTAGTTTCATGTTTACAAAAGGACCTTTTTATTTTGATTGGTAAGGAAACATGTCATAAAGAGCACAATTTTGTGTTTTTAGAATAAAGTGAAAATGTTGCAAAAGGCTCACAAAAGCAGTTTTCTGTGAAAACAATAAATTATGCAATCATTAATAACTGTCCAGTAAGAGTAGGCATTTTTTTTAGAGGAAAAAAAGACAGTAACAAGATCATAAGATTACCACATACAATCAGACAAATCTGCAAGTATTTGAGATTCATTGTCTTTATTAGCACACCAGATAGCTGCATAGAGCCTCTTTAATACTCAATATCACCATATAATTAACCCCTCTGATCAAGACAATATAACATCCTCATGTTATGCAAACCAAATTATATATGAGCTACTTCTTGATCACAACAAAGAGAACCGTTACTCGGCATAAAACTGTATAAAAAGGGAACCTACGCTTTAAATAATGCTTTCTTTATACAAACAGCATCTTATCAATCATGTCTACTCAACTTGAACAATCCAACACAACCAAAAGCGTTCGCCCTTTCCATGTATTTATCAAACAGCTCTTTGAAGATCAAAAGGAACAAACAAGACGCATGAAAGAAACAATCTTTGGATATAGCTTCTCTTCAAGTCTTCCTACCCCTCCTGACTCACCTCCCCCAAATAAGGGATGTTCTTCTTGGAGAGCAAGTCGTGCCTATCTTCGCCCTGATTACAACATGATTTTTGAACAATAAACTTTTTTTTTTGATTGATCGTAATACATGTATTATCTTAGTATCTATCTATTAGTCTTATATTTTTATAGCGGCACTCTATAACAGAAAAGATGTATGCGTTACGTTCGTAACTCGAGATGATGTAATGCTTATTAAAAATCTTCCCACATTATAGATTATGGAAATGCACACGTAAGCACTTGGTAATAGACAGCTCTTGTCTGAGTCAAGTTATTCTTGTGCATGAGGGTAACACAAACAAAAAGTCAAAGAGTTTGAAGTAAAAGAGTGTAAAGCTTCATTCATTTTTATACAGTCACAGTCTAGAGTGAAAAAAAAAATAAAAAAAATATACAGCTGCGCGTTTCTTTTTTCTCTTAGCGCAAACCAAATTAAAAAAAGATAATGGCAAAACATCATCCTGATTTGATTTTTTGTCGTAAACAACCAGGTATTGCCATTGGTCGTTTGTGTGAAAAATGTGATGGTAAATGTGTGATTTGCGACAGGTAAAGAAAAAGAAAAGAAATAAGACTTGCATTTGCTTTAATGTGTTTTTTTTTGAAATTGTAGTTATGTCAGACCCGCAACCCTTGTACGTATCTGCGATGAGTGCAACTTTGGTATGTAAAAGATAGGAAGAGCAAAAGAGAGAGAGAGAAAGAACGTGCTGACAATGGTAGATTAGGTTCTTTCCAAGGTCGATGTGTTATTTGTGGAGGAGCCGGTGTATCGGATGCTTATTATTGTGTGGGCTGCACCAGACTAGAAAAGGATCGCGAAGGCTGTCCCAAGATTATCAACCTTGGTTCATCAAAAACAGACTTGTTTTACGAGCGGAAAAAATTTGGATTTAAAAAGAGATAACATTGATACCGTTCAACACACACAACAACAACAAAAGTTTAGCAGAGGGCGTTGGACGGGTAGATTTCTTATTATGCAACGATGTACAGTTTTATAAATAATAAAAAAAAAAAAATATAATGTTATTTTTTTTTATTATTATCATTTTAAAAAAAAAATTATGTACAGAATAGTAAGAATTGGTATATATTAAAATCTCAATACGCTTGAAGAGCCACCAGTTCCACCACTACCACCAGCGATCATGCCTTGTTGATTATTAGTAGATTCTTTTTGTCCCTGGTTGGGTAATCCGACCATATTGGCTCTTTGAAACCGAGGAATGGATGATGTGGATGAAGCGGTTTGAGCGGGTGGCGGTGGTGGAGGAGGAGGTGGTTGATGTTGTTGTTGTTGTTGCTGTTGTTGCTGTTGTTGTTGTTGTTGTTGTTGTTGTTGTTGTTGTTGTTGTTGCTGATGATGATGTTGTTGTTGTTGGGGTGGAGGTGGAGGTGGCCGGTTACCATAGGGATGTCTAATCATATGCTGTTGTGGTAACATGCCCGGCATGGATTTTTGAATAGAGCTGGCATGAAAACCGTTTGCTTGTGCCACTGGACATTCTTTATGAGCTAGTAACAATGTCTTGAGATTGACTATTTCTTCTTTTAAAGCATCTGATTGTACTTGGAGCCTTTCATTATCGTTTGATAAGAACTCTACTTTAGCTTGGAGGTTATTTAACCATTGCTTCTTTCTCTGACGACACTTTAAAGCAGCTGTCAAAAAAAAAAAAAAAAAAAATTAGAAAAAAAAAAAATTAAAAATCAAAATAAACAGGGGATTAAGGTAAGACACACACACATACACAAACACACACACACACGAAAAAATAAACTTACCAATTCTGTTTCTCTCTAAAAAGTTCTTTCTCTTTTCATCATCTTCAGGCTCTTTGCTTTCAGAAACTCTTGTTCTCTTTTTGACTTCTTCTTCGTCAGAGTCATCCATGACAGAAGACCTTCTTCTGGTTCTTTTGGTTGATTTAAGTATGGATATGTTACTGTCTGTGGAGCGAGCATCCTCTGACTGCTTTCTTTGTTGACGCATACGAGACTGTGGTTCAACTTTAACGAGATGCTGTTGTGGTTGTTGCTGCATATACTGGATCTCATTTGCAGCTGTAGAAGAAAAGGAGCTTCTGGCTGAATAATTATTTGGTGGGATTAATTGAGCTTTGGATGAGGAATAGTATTCATCAGGGTTTGCAGGGCCTTGTAACATGGAAGGCGATAGAGGCCCTGTTCGAAGTGTGTCCCAGGTAAACTGATTTGATACTTCTTTTGGTAAAATACCACCTCCTATAACAGGGACCACTGAGGAAGATTTCACTGCCGGACTAGTAATTGATGCAACAGGTGGTAATTTCACTACTGCTGGGCTCTTTTCATCCGTTGCTGCCCCAGAAAAGCTCTGTTCAAATGGATTAGGTTCTTGATCTAATTTAGTGCTTGAATTCAACGGTAATACAGCCATAGGTGGACTATTACCTAAGTTTTTTTTTTTTTTGTGTGTTAATTATTAATCATTTTAGAAAAAAAAAAGAGAAAACTTACTAGCTGTTTTTGATTTTTCACTGGATGATTTTTCCTTATCCACAGTGCCAGTCATCTATAAATAGAAATTTGTTTAATATCTAATATTATCCACTATCCCTGTAGCACACTTACATTTTCTCTATATTATTTTTATTTTAAAAAAAGAGGGAAAAGAAAAAAGAGAAAGGGAAAGAGAAAAAGGGTAGTAAAAAAAAAAAAAAAAAAAATAGAAAAAGACATCGGGTATTCAAAACAAATTAACCTGTAATCGCTACGTCATATTTCTTATTTGGGATGCCTGGAAAAAAAAAGTTTAATCGTGCCCACCCCACTTTTGGATGAACACCCTGAATGTTAATTACCTGAGAAAAATGTGATTTTAATGCCCGTTGCCATATCTTTTTTTTTTCTTGCACTACACTCGACAATACACTCATATCTGATAAAAGAGTAAATCAAGATAGGAATTTCTACATGGAACGATTAAATTACATAAGCAATGGGGTCACATATTTATTGTTTAGATCACTATGAAACTATCATTTTTCTGAATGGTGAGTTTTGGGTGGTCTTGATTGATATTGATCACTCACTCTTCTTTTTTAATCTCCCACACAGCTATGACTTTTATTACACTCCGCCACTTGCTTCCAGCCATCAAATGAAGCTTATTTATTATTGCCAAAGTAAAACATCTAACAGAATGAGAAAGACGGGGGGATATGCAAATGAACCTGCATCCCAAAAAAAAAGATAGAACATGTGTAGCGGCGTTTTAATGCTGATTCCAACAACCCGTAAAAAACTCTTGCCGACACTCTGCCACTACTGTCTCTCTCGCGTCATTATTGAACATATTTTAGTAACGCTTGGTGTTTTGACCTACTCTTATTAAGGAAACCTATAGTTCCTATTCTTCCATTTCGGTCGTCTGTGTCTCAAATCCGTTTATTTTACCACGATGTGATTTACAGCAAGCAAACTCTAAGGCAATGATTATCAAGTCTTGTATTTAAACCTGCTGCCCAGCCCATTATGTATCAAGGTTATAACCCTCAAAACAAGTGATGCGTTTACTTCATTGAAAGAGAAAATATTGCATTATTCTTATTAGTGTATTTTCCTTCGCTAGATCCTCGATCTGTACATTGCCTTTACCACTTAAACACATTGAGCACACTAAAGCTAACAGTACCATCTATACAGTAGTTATTATTAGCCGTCTCGGATTCTGTTTCGGTAAACAAAAGTACACGTCCCTGAATATTACTGCTTTGCTCCCTTCAACATCGCTCTTTGAACGGAATTACACTTCCGTACTATCCACAGAAATATTAATAATGCATCGTTTGCGCAGCATCTTCTATGAGTTAAACTCATCTTGATAACACTTTAGATTGAACGCCAGCCTTTTCCTGTTTACACACAAACAGAACACACCTTCAGCCAAGCAGAAACAAATGTTATGCGATATCATTCCAACTTTTCATTCTTAGCTTCCATTTAACTAGATTTTGAGCTATCATCGGTAAGAAGAAAAAAAAACGATCTTACTTGCAAATGTAACCCGAAATCGGACACATATTCTTTGTGAATGACTATGTTATGATGAAAACAACCATTTAAAGCGAACTCATGTCTTTTGTCAAAGAGTTGATAACAGTCACTCGGAAAATCATTGTATAAAACAAAGAGTACTTTTTGTGATACAAATAGTATTTGATTGAACCTCCGTTGTAACCCTTGCCGAAAAAAGTCTGTGCATTATTTTTTTTATTTTTTTATTTTTTGTTCAGGCACATAATTTGATTGTTTCATAAACATGGCTGTAAACATATATAATGAGGGGAAAGGCTTGAAAAAGTTTTGAGCTGTATATTTTTCCCTTTTCTTTTCTGGTTTTTTTTTTTACTATGCCTAACGCAAGTCAAAATATTCGAGTACCAAGCAATACTCATCCTTCTCATTTATACAGTGACACACTCTATCCTTCGGATATAGAAGAAGAGGAACCATTTTATTCGGCCCAAGGAACTCCTATTTCCAGACCACAATCGATCAGAACCACAATTCAAAACTTTGCTGGTTCTTATTCGCGTGCCTCTATTCTCTATGTAGCAGACGCTATTTCTATCCAAGACAATGCTGCAGAAGATGAAGAACATCAAACTTTATTCAAAACACAGACTTCGTAAGCATGATTAGATATACATTTATCTACAGAAAATGTTTGCTAATCTTTATTAAACAAAAAGTGAATCCGATAAACCAATCTATCGTACATTCTCTCAACGGACCACGGATCACAGTCATGCTGGTCATTTTGAGCCTCTTTCCCGTCATACAACCGTGGGTTCCATTATTTCTAGACAGCTATCGGGCACCGAACCAGTAAATGGGGTCTATGATTCAAAATCGATGGATACAAGACCCGAAAGAAAAAGCAGCTTCGTGCAGACTATATTTAATGCTGTCAATGTCTTGGTCGGTGTGGGTATCTTGGCCTTACCGCTTTCATTTCGTTTAGCAGGTTGGTTGTATGGTTCTATTATTCTAGTATTCTGTTGTCTTGCCACCAATTATACTGCTAAAATTATTGTGAAATGTTTGAACGCAAACAAAAACCCGGAAGACGATGAACATGGTGGTAGTTATGGTGATATGGGCCAGATAGCCTTTGGTGATAAAGGTCGAACCTTGATTAGTTCAGTATTTGTTATTGAACTTATCACCATAGGGTAAGAAGATATATAATATCTAAATTTGTCTAAATTGAACTTTGTTTGTTTAATAGTGTGGCTATGATTGTTTTATTGGGTGATGGTATACAATCTTTGTTTCCAGAAATTGATCTGTTATCAACAAGACTTATTTCGTTCTGCGTACTTACTCCCACGGTATTTATTCCCATAAAGAAGTTAGCGTACACTAGCTTAATCGGTATTATTGGTTGTGTGAGTCTTGTGATCATTGTCTTTTACGATGGTATTTCAAAAGAGACAAGACCTGGTAGCCTTCTTGACCCCATGGTAAGATAAATAAGACGCCTTATGCATTTGTTTGTTGTTTATTTATATTAATAACTAAACTCTCTTTTTTTTTGCTTTCTTAGGAAACAGAAATTGTTCCATATGATATATCCAATCTTCCCCTGAGTTTTGGATTGATCATGTCTGGTTTTGCTGGTCATGCTGTGTTCCCATCACTTTATCGAGATATGGAAACACCGAAGCAATATAATCAGATGGTGGATATCACTTATGCAATTACTGCCGTTGTCTATATCTTTATGGCTATAATTGGTTATCTCATGTTTGGTCAAGAAGCCTTACAAGAAATCACACAGAACTTGGCCTTGATAGACGAATATAGCAAATCTCTAAACCGGTTTGCTATCTGGTTACTGGTCTTAACTCCTTTAGCAAAATATGGTCTAATGATGCAACCGCTCAATATTAGTTTGGAACTGTCCTTGTTTAAGAATCCTCTGGTTGAAACATGGTTGAAGTTGGAGCATCACATTGACTCTTGGCGTAAAAATATTATTAGAATTGTAGGCAGAGTTTTTTTAACTGCTATTCTGGTGTATATCGCACTTGTATTTCCTGGATTTGATAAAGTCATGGTATGTTGTCAATAAGAAGAAAAAAAACATATTCTACTTTTACTTACCTAAACATGCATCAGTCTCTACTTGGGGCTCTATTTAGCTTCACGATATCCATCATATTTCCATTGGTTTGTCATCTTCAGCTGTTTAGACACAAGTTATCTATCACCGAAACCATCCTAAACTGGCTCCTGTTGGTCATTGCTATAATCATGGCCTCGTTTGGCACTATATGGAGCTTTCGCCCTAGTGAACTTTAAGATGGAACACCGTTCATGTGTTGTTGTTTCAAGTTGTGTCACCCAATATTATCCCTTATTGACAAAGTTTATTTTATATTTTTATCTCCATATTAAAAAAAAAAGTTTTATTATCACACCATTTATTGTCTCTCTGTCAATATCTTACTTTTAATCATGCAGGGCCTCTGACTTCTTTCTATTAAAACTGCGTAGAGTTTTGGAGAGCCAAATTTCTGAAACAAGTGTGAGATACTCATTTAGCTGACTTTACCAATAAAGCTGTATAAATAGATCTTATTCCTACCGGTTTAAAACAAAAAAGCCCTTTTATACAACAACTTGCCCATTATTTTATCTTTCGAGGGCGGTGATACTGCATGATTTCAAAAGAAAAAGTTTCGGCACTACCAATACTAGGAATTTCTGCATTGAGTGTAACAGAATATTCTTTTCTTGACAATGTTGAACTCTCGGGTAGCAACTACATTACAGATTGCAAGAAACCATTGTTGAGAGTTGAGAATGTTTTTAATTGTTTGTATCTATAAAGGAGCTGTGCATAATTAGTCATCTTTTCACACCTCCCTTCAAAGCCAAACCATATCCGATGTATTAGCTCCTAAACTCAGAGCTCTTTAAAATTCATAAAACAACCTATTGGTTTAATGAAAAGCCAAAACCTCTCATCGCATGAAAAAAAAAACATTTTCAGCATGTATGGATTTTAAACATTTTTTTAATTAAGCGAGTCATTTAGTTCAAAACCAAAGTATCAGTTATTTTTAAAGCACCATACATCTTCATATGATGTGATATAGTTCTGGTATTTATATGGGATCATCAAATAACGGTGATACAGAAGAATTAGCTTCTGGTGCATAAAGAAGAAAATAAAAAAATGAAATAAAAAAAAACGCACCATAAAAAAAGACAAAACAAAATAGACATTTCACATCATTATCTATTGTTAAATACATAAAGATAGGAATCTTTTTATGTAAAAAAAAGAAAATTAACCGATAGGTTTGGATATCACAACTACATGAAGAAAGTTGTCTGCAAAAGAGAGGTTTTCATAAGCCCAACTGATGGGAGTATCCAGAGGCAACTCCACGCCATGGACAAGAATAGAAATGAGATGCAATGTTTCTTCGGATACAAACAAATCAGGTATTAACTTTCTTAGAACATCCTTGACCGTAAGTGTCTCTTGTTTTTCTATTATAGCCATATTTAGTTTTTATTTATAAATGAAACTCCTATTATCTTACCTGAATCTCCATAGAATGAAACAGGTTCTTGAATTACAGGGCAATTGTCTGGCAAGTAAATCCGAAGCGGTATATTACGAAGGCTACTATTTGAGTATTCCACCAGTTGTCGGTTCACAGCCCAAAACTCATCAAATCGATCTATTAGATAATTAGATTTTCCTCTAATACAGAACTACATCCCTTCCCTTCTTTACCTAATGCAAGTGATTGCCATAGCTGACTTTGATCACGTTTACTAAGATTCATTACCTTTTTTGTGGTGCCATTGCGAAGAAAATCTGCCTGCAAAAAATGAAATTCAGTAACCATTTATTTTCATCTCCTCTTCTTTTATTCCTCTTTTACCTCTTTAACCATCGCCATAAACATATCCTGCATTGTCTCTGGTGTGGGCTTCAATAATACGGTATCTGTCGGTATGTTTTTGAATCGAAGTGTAATTGACCACGGTAATAAATCCAGAGACGAATATATATCAAACAGCAATCCTATAGGATAATGCCTTTTTTTTTTTGGGGAAAGAGTGGTATCAATTTCTAATTGTATACAATGATATAAGGTGAGAGAGGCTTTACCATTTAAGCGGTTGCTTATTTGAATCTTCATACCAAACAGATAAAAAGGCATCTTCGGGTACTTGCATACCAAGACCTGTATAAATTTGTTGTATTTGTCTAGTTACGAGCGGAAGGTATGAACATCTCGGTACTTCTAGCTGTAGAATCCAATCATGGATGAGTCTTTATGAAACCAACAACAAATTAGCGACTTCAATCTTACGTAAACTGGATCCCAGACTTTGTCATTGCCATACATGTCTGTTTCGGTTGGGTCGAGGGTTATCTTTAATGGTATTTTTCCATTCCATATATTTTTTGAAATCTCTAAATCAAATAAGGACATGGTAAAGGCTTTAAAAAAATGATAGAATAAAAAAAAAGTGTCGTAGATTCTACCAGCACGCATGATATTTTACAAGCCCAGCTGATTTCTTTCCCACCTTGATATCAAACCAATAAAAAAGTAGATTCTCCAGTTCCTGCCGTGGGTGGCGAATAGGTCTATTTTTAAGCTGTCAAATATAAAGCCGTTTTTCTTCCCCTTTACAAAAAAACAACCAACCATGCCCTCGACAGATAGTACTAACAACACTCCTAAGCGTCGTATACAACTCGATGATTATACATATGGCTTGATCATTGGACAATTTCAAGCTAATCAAAGCATCGCATATCGACACCTAGATCAACGATCGTCGGAAGGTAATTGGTACTTACATTGCAGAGGTATGTAAAGAAAAGTAACCCATGTTGTATGAAAGAGACCAACTTACAGTTGTACGTAGTTTTAGTGAAGAACCCTTCATACCATTTGCAGCTCACGAAGATAAATTGAAAGCCGCTGGAATCGACATACATCGGCAGACATTGAGCAAGTATACCACTATCAACGGGTTTGTTTCTTACTTTTCAGCTTATGTACTGAAGTTGGCACCTCGACACATACAAAGAAGACTCGCTTAGGCCAAAGACAAAAGTTAATTGGACCCTAAAACAGTCGGAAAACGTTATATGGTCGGATGAATCGAAATTTAACGTCCAAGGTAGTGATGGAAGGGTCCGAATGATCAGAAAGTTATCACCCAGACCTTGTTAAAAAAACTGTAAAATTTAGGAACGGTTCAGTTATGATTTGGAAAGTGTATTTGGGCTGGGGAATTAGTACCTCTTGTTGTCATGGTAAGCATGACAGATCAAGATGCCTATATATACTGTTGGTCTAATCACTTCCTCCCCTGGCTCAAGGATGGAACTGAAGAAACATCCAGGAACTTCAATTCCGGAGAAGATGGTGCTTCCTGACATACTGGTAGCTATGCAAGCTGCTATAAGGCAAGATGTGGTGTTGACAGGGTTGATTTTTTGGCCTGCCTAAAGCCCAGAACTCAATCCAATCGAGCATTTCTGGGCTTAATTGGAGTGAAGCATAGAGGGCCGTAGATGTCAGATAAAAAATACCAATCAGTTAGAAGCAGCTCTCCGTGATAAGTGGTATGATACACCCAAGACTTCTTTAGAGAAATTGGTCGGAAGTATAAACTCCCGGTGTAAGGCTGTGATAGACGCCAAAGGTGGCAGCATTAAGTATTGATTTTGAAATAAAAATATACATTCTAATATTAAACAAATAAAACTTGAGCTGTTTGTATTTTGACAATGTTACGAGAGCCTTTTACTAATAACTTCTTCCATTTGAAAAACACCATCATTTTTCGAAAAAAATCTGAGAACGAAAAAAAAACAATCGTGATCAATTCGCCATCACGGTTCTTTTGTTTGGCAAAAAAAAAAAAAAACTAAAAAGGCGGCTCTCTTACCCTGCTGCGACATCACTCTTTTTCTTTATTTATTTTTTTTTTTTAAAAAAATGAATGAATTTGATGATTCCGAGTTTTATGAACATCTTGAACGCCTTAAACAGAAAACTGGTCGACATTCTTTGGACGAGGATGTAGTCATGACAGAAACTCTTGATGTAAATCAAGTTGCTGAAGACACGGCCTCGGACGGAACTCAAGTTATTCAAGCCAAGGATGATCGTGACGAGAAGGTACCTGACTACCTTGTTGCTTTGCGCAATGGTATTTACAATGGTCCTGAAGTCATTGAAATCTCCTCTGACTCTGATTTGAGTGACGACGACGACGTACAGTTTCTTTATGAGCTCCCTCCCGCCCGAGAAAGGAGAGATCAAACCGAAATACAGCCAAATGAAGAACAATCCAAACAAGAGGCAGGTAAAGATAAATGTTACATCACATGGATACTTATATATCTGCTATAGTATATCCAAGCATTCATGAAAAAAGTTCAATCATCAGTAAGCTTATCTTATTTGTTTTTTCTTGTCTAATTTGCTGACGTTATATTTTTCTTTCTTTCTAAAGAGTGCTTTCAATCGCTGTAAAGATTGTAGGGCTGAAATGATTGGCACAAAAAATGAATTTCAATTAGCTCAATACGGCGGCAAAGAAGGGTTTTGCTTAGGATGCACAAAGCAAGTTTCAATGACTAAAAAAAGAAAGAGAAGGTCAACTAATCATTGATTTTAGATTAAGGAATTTAATCAGGAGCCATGAGGAACGACAAGACTTTCTTTCATGGCTGGTCACAGGGAAAATTCCAAAAAACGATCCACCACCCAGGATAACCTATGAGGCAATGGTTTACAGGTTGAAGTCGAGAAGGAAAATGATGGGAAACAAAGTGATACGTAATAACTGTGATGGGCAAAGTCTAGCCACCACGGGTGAATTAACTGAAATGTGTTTTAAAAGTCAGTTTAAATGCGCAATTTCAGGAAGCCAAATTGCTTTTCACACTCAAAACAAATTAAGGTATCCATATTGGGCCTTCTCTATCGATCACCGCTTACCATTAAATCATAACAAGTATCAACCAGAAGCATGGGGCATAGATAATTTACAAGCAATGTCAGCCGTAATGAATACTATAAAAAGTGATCTGTCAGATCAAGAGATTTTTAGATGGTACAAAGCTTATTACAATGCTCATTGTATTGAACTATAACCGACTCTGATATACCATTATTTTAATAAAAGCAACACCCATAACTGCATCTTTTTTTTTTTCACTTTATAAACTTGTCTCTCACTAACACTTAAATTATGTCAAAATCCCATTTTATTTAAACCTTACGTCGACTCTATGCCATCCTATACTACTACTATAGGGGTATTCAATCATGAAAATAGAATAAAATAAAAGGCAATTGTCTTTTTCTGTATAACCTTGTGATACAGTACTGCTTAAATCAAAAAGTTTGCTAGTTTTGTTCTTGAGAAATAGCAATGTCCGCTGAAACACTTACACTCCCGGAAGATTTTTTTGCAGGTTTGTTTGTAAATATTGCCAAATAATTTCAGACTGCTTCCGTAATAATGGGCGGATGATATAAAAGTGATTACATGGCATCAAAATAATAAAATTCATCAGATGAAAATGTATACAAATAACCATAAAAAAACGGTTGCTTTGGGTGGGAGATGTCCAGCTGCAACGAGATAAAATCAAATACCAAAAGAAAAAGTGGAAGCTACCACAGCTTCTTAAAACCAAAACGCAAATCAATCGCTTTTTTGATTAAGAAAGGGAGACAGGCAAAATGTGACTTGGAAGCCTCAGCATTTTGTTACACTGCATGAAACCAAATCTATAAATAAAAGAAGTGAAAGCTTTTTTGTCAACCTTTATAATTTATTAATACTTACAACGCAAAGCAATGTCTTTTAACGTATTCTCTATTCATAGTAATGATACTTTCTGCGAGATTTTTCAAAGAGATTTCCCGGCCATTAGAAGCCTTAACCGCCATCAAAGAGAAATCCATGAGCGTGCAAGTAACCCATACATTGAGTAAGAATTAATATGAAATCACAAAAGACATATACTTATTAAAATATTACTGATAGTACTCCTACAAACGATAACCGTCATCCAGTAAATGAAATCGTTGATGCCAATGATTATTTTGATAGCTTGGATAAAGATAATAGTGATAACTTTGCCTATCCGTTTGAATCTGATGATGAATCTCTTTCTGAGTCTGGCGATGATGAAATCGAGAGATCTAAAACCTATCAAAGTACATCCGTCTTTAGCTCTAATCCTTTTTATCCTTTTAAAAATGAAATGGAAATGAAAATCCTGATGTTCTTCAAGGGGTCGCAAGATAGATTTTCAAACAGAATAGTAAAAAAAAAAAAAAAAAAAAAAAAAAAAAAAAAAACTGCATTTGGTGCGTCAATTAATCGCCATATCACACCAAGAAATGGATTTGATTCAAAGAAGACCAGATGGTTATGATCCTCTTAGTAACGTACCTAAGGATGATTGGATTTGCAAAAGCCATGATATTAAAAGAAAATTCCCTCACCTTGAGGTTGACAAAACCATCATTCCAAAAGGAAACAATCGATCAGTCCAATTATTCTATATCAAACCATCAAGCCATTTGGGATTGAGCATGGCTAATACCCAAAAGGTCAATCATCTCCAATCTTTGCCCGATTTCACTCCAAACCAGCGGTACCATCCAAATCAAGGACGTAAATGGAAAGATAATTTTCACTTTCAATCACCCATGATAACTAAAGAGATGTCAAACAACCGTGATGATTTATGGATTGGTGACATTGTTCGAACTTCTGGTGGTCAGCAACAAATGTACATCATTGCCAAATTTCTCATTGCAAATGGCCAACTCATTGTCAATGCTTTCCCCATGAAGTTTCTCGAAAACTTTCAAATCGCGGCTTTTAATTCCGAAAGGGTGAACATTGCAGTGTCTAGCATTCTTTTGGTCATGTCCATAACAGAGTTCCTAGAGCAATGTTATCAAAAGCTACTGTCCAAGTTTATTCGTAACGATGGTGAAATTGTATTCACGCCCTTCAACCAATTGTTACATCCACACCATACCATGATTATTGAAAGTCTTGCAATCTGTAAACGTGTACCATATATCACCGCAAATCAACAGATGTCAGTTCGCATAGTACCTATTTCTTTGTTTTCAGACGATACCAGTGGCAATAGATCAAAAAAGTGCAATTGTTTTGACAGCTGTATCATGAGCGTTGCTGCTTTTCCTTTGTTCGAAAGCAACAAATACGAGAACCACTTCTTTTTGAGCACTAATAACCATAAAGTAACTGCAATGGAAATGATAAAACCGTTGACTGGAGATTTGCTGGAATTAGAAAAAGACGTGGTAATATATGACTCCAAACGTCAAGAAAATGTGTTTGTGATTGCACCTGTCCTTTTCTTTCGAGGAGACAATGTCCGTCAAGCTGAACTTGCAATAAATAAGGGCTTAAGAGCCAACCACCCTTGCCGATTTTGCTACTGGCAATCTGATCCAGCTAAGCCATTGACAACCGGGAAACAACCCATCGCATTAGATTGTACTGCCGAAACATACGCCGTTGCACCAAGAACGTCAAAAGATTTCAACGATTTCATAAATCCTGAAAAAACAGAGCGTGATACTCCGAACAGAGGACGTGTAACAAATCAAGGGGTTATACAAGATCCCGCGCAATCTACCAACTGGAGTGATCTTGGATTCAAAATGACAGGTGCCGAGGAGTTATTGAAACTGAAGGCTATGGATCCGTCCCAAGATCTGGCTGTTGGAATTTTGCACACTTTACTGCTAGGAATGACGAAGTATTGCTTCAAGATTGCACATAACTATTTTTTAAACGATCACCAGCTGAAAGAGCTTACAGAGTTGTTTAGAAACTATAATTCAAAAGCGTTACATCGTAATCTGACTTCTTCTTTAACAGCTTATGACTCAACGATATACGAAAATGAACTTGAGTTTCTGGATAACAATGATAGCATAAGAAAACTGGTCTTAAGGCTTAATGGCTTGTATCGTAACGTTAGAAGCTCCAAGTCAAGCGGTTTGACTCTTGGTAGGGTAGCATTTAAAGGAGGTCAAAACTTTATAATCGAGGCGTACGATTTTGTTCTTCGAAACGTCATTCCACAAGATCAAGACACGTGTATCTACAAAAGTTGCCTTTTAGACATTGCTGGCAATGTTGTAACTCGTAGATTCCCTAACGATGATTTTACTATTGCTGGTCATGAACAAAATCGCGTCGTTTTCGTGCTGGACATGTCGCAACCTCCTTTGCTTGACTCGTCGCATAATAATAGTTCTTCACTTTTGAGTATTAACAAGCCAAAATCCGGCAGTTTTTTGTGGCTCCTCAACACACGTAGTTTGGAAAAAAATCATAAGATTGCCATACATTTAATAGATTTTATTTACATATCAAATGAAATAAAACAAAGAGTTTTTTTATAAGTCCATTCAAACAGCCGTTCACGTCAGACAAAAATGATTTGGGGGTGGTGGGGGCGTAAACACAATCGCAATGATGCACAAATATGCCTTAATGAGGAGCCTTGGGGGGACTCTATGAAAAAAATAACCTCCAATGGATTTCATTTATTTTATGGATTTCCATTACTCCCTGTGTAACTTAATCTAGAAAGGCAATGGCTGCTCTGGGTGTACAGCAAACAGCAGATTCATTCAACATTAATCAGGGACATTTAAATGTAACACAGAGTTATTTTTCCACAAAATGTGATTTATTAGAAATATTATTAGTTGTGACAACTCTCCCCTCAAAAATAAAAGATAGTAAAGGCGGGGGTCTGTAGGTTATAATGTGGTGTGATCTTTTTTAGCATTAAAAAAATGTGACAAGTGTATTCTCTCCTTTTTTTTCTGCTCTCTTTCTCTCTCTCTCTTTTATGCTAAGATCACTACTGCTGGTTGTAAATATCTGGTGAGGAAAGGGATCTTTTTACCGTCTTACTGATGGGTCGGTAAAGCGAGATACGATGACGTAAAGTCGTAGAAGATTTACGACCCTTTTTGATCGTAGACTCGTCTACTTGTTTAGGTGGTTGTAAAAGATAGTCGAATTTGGGAAATGTGAGTGATTGCTCCTTGTCTGAACCAAAGAAATCCAACTTTAGTAAGTGACGAGATTCTTCAAATTCAACTTGTGGCAAGGGAGGTCTCTCCTCTCGTTGCTGCTCCTCCTCTTCCATAACCGAGGCGTGTGAGGGTGTTTCACTCGTTGTCATGATCGTTGTCGCTGCGGTTGTCGTGGTAACATTACTATCGATAGCGGAAGGATGCACTGGCTTGTCTCGCTTTCGATGCAAAAAACTGAATAAATGGTCCAAAAACATTGTTTAATAGAAAGAAGATGAAAATTCTTTTTTTTGCACAAGATGCCGACCTTATGCACACATGTTTGTGAGTCTTTACCTTATTTAGAGTGTGTCAGGTACAAACAGAAAAAAAAAAAACCGAATCATGTAAACAACGCTGTTTTTTCTTATTTTTGTAATGATTTGCCGTTTCTATCTCCATTCAAATTCCTCTCTCTCTCTCTCTCTCTCTTTCTTTTTTGGGTCAGAAAAGGGTCATATTGAATATTAAAACGAAAGGTTCAGATGAAAACAAACAAATCGTGACATTGGTTCAGAGGAGAGGGGCGAGGAGACTGCCTGCTGCAGTTTTACTATCAATGATTGGACAAGCTGTAAGCCATATGAACTACACCTGAGAAAAATAGCTATGACGTTGCACTATACATTTTGACACACTGGCTTTCACCCTTTCTTTGTAGCACATTTTAATTATCTATTTATAGCAACAACAATGAATTTTCCCCTCTTATTTTTCTGTCGGTGAAAAATAACAAAAAATGTGTATATATTTTTCTTTATTATGTACTTTAAAGTGTATATTTACAAGGAGAGGAGAGGGTTAATCTTCCTTGGGAGAGACCAAGCCCAGTCGTCTCTTTTTGGTTGTATGAGGCTGATAAGATGATTTTCTTTTCATGGTTATCGGTGTTGGATTATAAGGTGGAGTCAAGGGTGCGACGATGGATATATTAGGATTAGGATGATGTATGTAATGATGAATGATTGTATTTTGTTGTAGAGTGATTGGGTTTGGTAGTGACATTGCGTGTGATAACAATTGATCTGCATAAGCTTGAAGGTTCTCCAATGTTACATGTAACTGAAAATCAATAAGAAACAGAAATTCTAATTCCAATTGATTTAATTCACGCAGAGGTATTCCACCCACTTTGGCATATCGACTGTTGGCATAAAAGATATCAGATGTAAACTTGGAAGCAACAACAATACTATAGAATAGGCACCATATAAGTCTTTTTTGTACCACCTTAATTATCCACTGTTATTTAATATTACCTAGTAATTAAGAGTCGATGTATATTATACGAATTGATTGTGAAGCCGTTCTCTAGTTTGGCAATGGCATCAAAATAAATCAATATGGACAAGAGTGCTTCATTGGTGAAGGGTGCAAACTTGTGTATCCTTGTTAAATAGGTGAGCACTGTGATGCTGGGTACTGCTCGGGAATGAAAGTATGTAATTTGCGTATTAGGTATCTGGTTATTGGCTTTCAACATGGATTCCAGCAAGTCAGATACAATCTTTATCAAGTCTTGCGTTGGAAACTCGGCAATATCCATAATGTACCCTTTCATTGCATGTAAAAAGAAGGAAAGAATAAGAAAAAAAAAAAGGGAAAAAAATTTATATTTAATTTAATCCCTCTTTCTTTCCTAGAAGACCTTTTGGTGCCTCATGCCATGCTTTGCCCAAGTTGATTGGATTGGTGACATTCGTACCCCGTTACCCAATAGTTTTTCCCTTGGTCTCTCTCCCTCACCCCCCAAATTAAAACGCGTTCAGATAAAACATAGTCACAAAACGCGTTTATCGAGTTTTTTTTTTTCTTTTTTCTGTTTTCACACACTCTTCACTTTTAAAGCATGTTGCAGTATTCGGAAGAATCCTCTCCGTCAACGGCTGTGGAAGTGATTCCCATATCCATGTCAGAAGTAGAAAACATTATTGTTGATTCCGTGACAGACAACACCATTTTAGGATTATTACAAAAAGAAATTGAACTCAAATTAGAAATCGAAGCAGTTCAAAGTGAAGTCTCTGTTTTAGAAAAGACTTTGAACTTGAACCAAGACGATGAACGAGGTAAAAATAAGAGAAGATCTTCAGAATAACAAAGAGAATTCCTTTTTGAATAACCCACTTCAACCAGATATGGCAGAGTTTGAGGCACCTAAATGGTGTGTACCCATTAAAGCCAATGTCATGACCTTTGACTGGGACGTAAGTGACAGTTATAAACCATAAAAATGACCTGCTCTAATTTAAAGGAAACAGAAATTAGCAAAAGACGTACAGTTCGATGTTATTGTCACCGATCCACCATGGCAATTAGCCACAAACGCCCCTACGCGTGGTGTAGCCATCGCCTATCAACAATTACCGGACGTTTGCATTGAAGATATTCCTTTCCACAAACTTCAGACAAACGGGTTTCTTTTCATTTGGGTCATCAACAACAAGTATGCAAAAGCATTTGAACTGATGGAGAAGTGGGGATATACCTATGTGGATGATATTACTTGGGTGAAACAGACCGTGAATCGTCGTATGGCGAAGGGTCATGGATATTATCTTCAACATGCGAAAGAGACTTGTTTGGTTGCAAGAAAGGGAAACGATCCAATCAACTGTCGTCGCTCTGTGGGCTCGGATGTCATCTTTTCTGAAAGACGTGGTCAGAGTCAGAAACCTGAAGAATTATATGAAATGATTGAAGAGTTGGTGCCAAATGGTAAATATTTAGAAATCTTTGGCAGAAAGAATAATTTACGGGATTATTGGGTGACCATTGGTAACGAGTTATAAAAAATAAAGACACTGTAAAAATTATACATTCCCAAATAGAAACAAATCCCTCATTTCGGTAAACCACATTTCTTTTCTTGAGTTACAACAATGATGATCGTAGCATGAACTTTGTGTTTTTATTCTCAGTTACAAGTCCTTCTATTATATGTATATGTTTAGACTATTAAGCCATCAGCGTTGAATGAAAGCTTACTTATCAGCTTTTACGTTGCCCATGAAGACCCTGTATGTATTTTTGTATGGTTACATGGGCTTTGCTTTGTGCCTGTTGAAGGGCGTTACATGCATCGCTTTTTTTAACTTTAAAGTTGCACAGGATGTCTTTATTCTGTGTAACATGTCGCAAGATATATGGATGATAAATTTTCAACCAAAAACCGCTACTTGCTATAGAAATGGCGTAGTAAATGATGCAAATGTATGCTAAAAAAGATAAAACAGTGGTCGAGAGTAAATAAATAAATAAAGTGGTTTGTGAAATGTGCCTAAATTGCTTTTGGCTATCACAAATATTATTGGTGACACTTGGGATTTGCCCTGCTTAAAAAAGCATTTGTTCTCAAGGCAAAGATCCTTTTTTCTTTTATCTTTTCTCTTTTTCTTCACTTTTGCTATTTTAGGAACGACTAAATGGTGGAGAATTTCTTAAATTTTTCTCGATATCCTTACTGTGCCAATCTACGTAAGTAACACCCTGCTATCTTTAGCCAAACAGTATATGAACTAATGCAAAATAGATTTTGATGAAGCAACAACGTACACAAATTATTTTTTCAGTGGCGCAAGACAGGGATCCAGAACAAGCGATTATAAGTAAGCACTTAGTCGGTCATCCAATCTTACGTTGTATATTTATCATCCCTAAACAAAAATAGGCAAACGAAAGCTTCTATTTTGTACAATGCGAAAACAGAAGACATACTCGCAACTGGTGATGAAGCAGACTATAGAAAGTTTTCTGAAGCCGATGAAAACACTGTATTCTATATAAATAACATCATGATAAAGCTAAATGATATTTATCTAAAAAACGCTCAGGACCATAACGCCCACGATCGAATGACACTAGCTGGTGTAGTACTCTTCCTTCAAAATTTAACCAAGGATTACTCACAGGGAAAAACTATCTCGCATAAGTCTTATTTGGATTATCACTTTGCTGTCACTCTCCCCACTCATTGGGATCTCAACATACGAGAAAAAATGCTACGGCCGCTTTTCATCCAAGCAGGACTTGTGAGTGCAGACGATCACCACGACAGACTGCTATTCTTCTCTCAATTAGATGGTGATTTTCGACATCTACAATCCCTTGACCATAATGGCAGCAGTAGAATTAATACAAGGCTTGCAAATGGCAGACAGTATGTCATGTACAAATTAAAATTAGTCGATAGAAAGTTGATTGTCACCATGGATTTATTTTCCGCTCATTATCCAGCTGTAACAGCTATAGACGATAAATATGTGTCAAAAGCGTTACATTCAGTTTATTTTACAGTCTCCTTAGATCCTATGAGCGGTAAGTCCTGCATCTTTTCTACTGAGATATTCAGCTAGATACTTTTACTAACATCATTAGCATTTTTTTATTTGAAACAGCAAACAATTTCAACAGCGGTATAATAGTACCAATAAATGTATTCTTTGATAATACGCTTGCTTCTACCAAAGAGATTTTCATCCGTGAAATGAATAAAGTATCCACTGGCAGCGACGGCAGATTAGTAACGGCTATTATTATCACACCAGAATTAAGAATGGGGATTTATGCAAGTTTCGAGCATCAATTTGTATTTATTCTAAGAGCATGGTTAAAAGAATATGATCAGGAAAAATTCAACAATGATTTCATGACATTTGGAAAAGAATTAGCAATCAGCTCTGATATATTAATATTTGATACGATGGAAAGAACGGAAGAGAAAATTAGACAGCAAATACAGGTCTCAAATAAGCGCAGACCTCCTTCTATCATTGCTAAAAGTAACAATGCTGACGAAAATTTATCAAATCGGCAAAGACCGAATCACCTCATCAATTTAGGTAATAATTAAGTTTCTTATTGGATAGACATATTTACTAAAAAAAATACTTTTTTTTTTTAGATATCACTTATAAAGAAGTAAGTATATCCTGTGTATTTACAGAAAATAAAAAGGCGGCTGAGAATTCCATGAATTATGAAGTGTGGTAAGTGTTTAAACATAAAAGCACATGTTGATTTCGTTTTTAAATTTCTATTTGAGTAGTGATATACAACCTTTGGACAATTTTTTTATACAGTCATCCTTATATCAAAGACCCGTACTTCAGCTAACAAATAGGTACGTGACAAATTTTTTCTAGCATGAGGCTTTTGATTCCGCATTTATTGATATCTATAATTAGACTAAAAGTATTCATGGAAGACCATTTCGATGATCTTATGAATATTTCTCTTGAACGTAATCAACATACAATTAAGAACAATTACATGTATCAAATCATTAACAGGTAAATGATTCATATGACGTTTCTAAAAGCAATACTGATATTTACCGCATTATTAAAAAACCAAAAACAAAAAGGGCAAAATTGTGTAGAAGAAATCGTTATTTAGACATAACTGCAGATCATTTGAACGCCAAAAAAATACAGAACAATAGGTACATGAAGGCGGCCCAAAAAGTCATATCCAAATTAAGTGACAACACGAGCATGCTGCATAGTTTTTTTGCGCCATCAAGCATTTCTGCCGCACATCATGAAAAGTTAACATGTATTCACCAAGAGAAATACATTCATCTTTTTTACCTTATGTACATGGGGTATCTCAACACCTTGATAGATAAGAAGTTACAAATCGCATTTGGTAACAACTGGAAAAACGCAAATACAGGATATATCATTTCCCTTGAAAAAAAGATGATGCACATGACAAGAGGCTCTAAATACGATGCAAGAAATCTTGTTATCAATAGTGGTGTTTTACCTGTTTTAAATAACGCTCAGAAACCTCGACTGGTTGTCCGGGGAGAAGGAATTTTATCAGCACTTCAAAAAAAGTTAAAATTAACCCTTCCTGTCAAGTCTTACTTTTCCATTGTCCAATTAAATCACACGCATATAGAGGTTGCATTACATCAAGTTGTGGATATTGAAACACCCGAAAGGAGTGCATCAAGTATCATTCTGGAAGATAGGATACTTTCGATTGAAAACGTCATTGATTCAACGTGCAAAAACATCTGGAAGCATATAACATTACATGATGATATAAATTACTGCGCCTTGAATAACGCTGAAGCAAATATAACATGTGATGTTCTTTCGTTACAAAACTATTTTTACGCTATTGAAAAGTTGAAACTTTATTTTTCTAAGATTGTGAGCATAATGAACATCAGCCCATCTACGTTTACTAACATTTTTTTAACTTGTTTCTTCTTATTATCTTTATTTTATCTTTTTATTTCATCATTATAGGTTGAATTTGGAGAGCCAAGTCTGGATAAAGACGAGATCAAGCAGCTTCAAATCAGTAAAACATGTGATTGTACTATTCATATCACTCTCAGAAATATCATCGACATTGGCCTAAAGCCAGTGATACAGAATATTACCACAGTGATAGCAGCTTCAATAGTAAACACAGATCTGTTTGGAGACTACATTGTAGACCATTTATTTATCCTGGGAGACATATTTACGGTTTCAAATGGCGCTCCACTTTACAATGTCCACAGGTTGAATCTACAAAAATCAATAGCTGCTAGTATAAGGTCAAAAGAACAAGACACGCAAGGATATGTTCTGAAAGAAACTCTCCATCAGCTTTTGCAGCCAACCATCGGTAAACAGCCTTACATGTACGATAGCTTTGTCAAAGGAGATCTGTACCAAGTAGCTAGTGAAACATATGGATTGTGTATCAAATTAGAGTCATATAACCGTGAAGCTGCCTATTTTATTTCTTGTCAAAAAGATAGTATACTTGTAAGTAACAAAAAGTCGGCCATGATTATACTCCAAACAGGGCAAATGATTCCACACACAGGTGTTCGCTTAAAGTTTAATGTCAAGCATAAATACATGGAAACCTATCTAAAAGAAATGAGATATATGACTATAGGTAATTAAAAGAAGGAAATCTCTAGAATAATACGCTGTTAACACTTCTTAGAATTTATACGGTTAAGACATTCCAAAGAAGATAGGCTTAAAGATGTTGTTTCTTTGGAGAAATATTCTTACGATAGTCTGTCTACTTTTGAATTTCCTTACTCTCGATATCATGGAATTCCTCTTCGTTTGATGATCAAGTCTGTCAATTACAATTCTTCTCTTCAATTTATAATTACAAGTACTGGTGCAGATATTGATCCCAGCATCACTCTACCGCCTCATGTTGTATTAGAAGAACATTTATCACTGGCCTATTTCTAAAAAAGAAAAGAAAAGCAGCAAACTTACATGTGTACGCCATGTACCCCTATTAAATATAATATATATTACCTTTTAACTATGTTTTACATCCAAAAAGGTACACCTTAAATATTGATCTAATGTTTCCAGCATGACGTGCTGCTTATTAATGGCCCATGCTAATATTCCTTTTTTTTTTTTTTTTTTTTTTTTTTTTTTTTTTGATAACATTGGTCCCATTCAACAAAACCAAATTGGTGTATTGTAACTTCATGGTTTACTTTAGTTACCGTATTGAATATTTTAACTTAAAAGGCCTTCACAGTAAGACCGTCCAGACGTTTTTAGTCGTCCGGATAATTTTGATTTCCTATTATAAATTTTCAATTGAGAAATATAATCGTTTGGCTGAAAAGTGCTAGACCTACTGTCGTCTGTGTCCTACACTTCGACCCGCTTCTCAAAAAGGTAATCTTAATTCAAAAAAGGGTAAAAAGCAGACAGTTAAGTGTGTTGCCATTTTAGAAATACGTTAACTGGATGTTTTTATTTGTTGTAAATACTCGTTTAAGTTATTTTTCATTTCCCGTACGAAGAGCAAAGAACATAGTTTTCCGAGATGAACAAGCAGAAACGTAATATTCTTTAATATTTTCTCGTTAGAAAAATCCGACAAAAATACAATAGGAAGAATTTGGATTAAAATTTTGAAATCGCTACCCAAAAAAGAACCACAATGTCACAACTGTCTTGTGAATTTTCGAGATAATCCAAGACATCCTTCTTGGTATTGTTTGAGCTTATCTGAGACCCTATCTAGAATAGCAGAGCGATTTTCTAAAACTGTTTTAACAAGATCGACTATCATGTATTTATTAATGCCAAGTAAAATGACATGAGGAACTTCGACAGGAGTATCTTTTGATGGATCATACGATCGTAATTTAAGCAGTCTGTCTGTTTTTCTATCTTTGTAGCATAGGTCTTTAGCAGAGAGACTCATCCCAGTGGTGGGTGCATTCTGTATCATAGATAGTCTTCTACACTCCGATGAAGCCACGACGTGCGTAATGGTCACGATTTCTTACAACGTTTGGTAAGACAAAATAATCTACACCCTTTTGACTTGCGATTCCTTTTCTAAGAAGAATATAACTTTTTCGGCCGGGATACAAGCAAGTAGGTGATAACAGTCCGCATAACTCGGAATGACAAGGTGTGTCGGTTTCAATCCAAAGGACTGGCGCTACAACAACAACGTTTTCGTCTTCTTCAGCTGAAGACATGATCATCCCGCTTTCAAGTGCTTTCAAGTTGTCAACAACTAAATGGTAGCAAAAAAATGCCGCTCACACCGTTTGTTTAGGAATAGCAGATATAAAATGAATATTGCCAATTGAGGATCTTTCTTCAAAATCCAGTGCAGCGAATTTCATTGACCAGCTTTCATGCACCTTTTTATTTTTGCCAATCATACCCTACAATAAGAAAAAGACAGATTTCCAAAGACGGCTTACCTCTCGATATTTTGACTCACTGTTGTTGGTATTGCAAGATACAAGCTTACAATGCCTATAACGGGCAATGGGAAATTCTTCATCATATCGAGAAGTCTAACTTTAGCCAAGGCTTACTACTCTATATTTTGACCCACCGTTGCTGGTATTGTAAGATGCAGGCTTACAATGTCTACAACAGGTAATGGAAAAATCTTCACCATATAGAGAAGTCTAGTAGCTTTAGCAGTGAAAATAAAAAACAAGAGCATGTCTTTATCTTTTTTAAAAAATAGGTAATATTTTAGCGTTTTTATAAAAGCAAAAGTTTTTATTGACTAACCTTTTCGCATAGTAAGAGAAAAAGGAAGGAAAGGAAGGAAAAAGTGTTTGAATGGGTTTTATTTGTAGACTAATAAAAAAGAGCTGGCTTATGTCAGGATGATTTAATTGTTTATGTGAACGAGTTTTATTTATAAACTGATAAACAAGAGCTGGCTTACGTGATTTAATTGTAACACTGTATATCTAATCATCCATTTGTCTGAGCCTTACTATAATAGAATAGAGGCTATATTTCCCACATAAACTTAAATACAAGCAATTCTGAATCAGAAGATGTGGAGCTGGGACGAGGAAGACTATATATATGATTTATAATAAACAATTCTTTTTTTCTATTTCTAATTCAAAGTAATAATGTTTAATAATTTAACCCAAGACACAATAGTTATTTCTTTCTTAATTACCTTTAAGACTAATCAAATACATTCCTTTGTAAAGGTATAATGACAATATGATTGCTATGGTCATCTACTGTATCCCTTGAAGGCTTCTTCGCCAAAGCGATTGGAGAATATATCCGGGAAATAGGAACCACAGAATCTCTACACAGGTCACTATACGAAAATTGCCAGACCTCCAATCCTTGATCCTTATACTTGTTACTGTAGAACGTATTATTCAAAGGCTTGAAAAATCTAACAAAAGCAAAAACATGATCCTTTTCCTGAACCTCATTACCCTGATAAACCCTTTGGCTATGTCTAAAAAAGTAGAGCACTCTACCAGGCCAGGCTTCAACTTTCTCGTGGTTTTGACCGACAAACAAACTTTGTATGCAGCTGCCAGAGGGTGATCTTGTTTCGGCACTGTTGATTGTTTTTCCACTTAACCGAATGGATGCAAACTTCTCTATATACACTGAGGTTGTTGGCCATCTGGCTCCAAAAGGGGGCGCGACAAAGTCAGAGTTCAGCAGTCCAAGTGCCATAGCCCCTGGATATGCGGCATCATAAAAATCTAAACGACATTCATAATGGCTTTCATCCATCACTGTTTTTGTTAAAACTTTCATGGGAACAACACCCAAAGGAAGAGGCTCAGACCCGGTGACATTAATGTCTAAATTGACACAAGATTCGGCAAATTCGGTTGCAACAAACCCTTCTTCAATTTGGCGTTTTACCCGGTCATTGGAGCGTCCGCCAACCATAATCCTCTCATGCAAGAACGTTTCCATGTCTTTTTGAAGTTGGAAGGATGGGGATGATGGTGATGGTAATTTAATGGCCTTGTTGTATGCTCGAATTGTGTTATGCTGGAGATTGTATTTTTCCAAAAACTTTTTCATGAACGTAATTTCCACATTTTTTCCGTTGTTCTTAAACGATCCCAGATATCCATTGCAACGTTCGAAAGAGAAAAGCCAGTATGCATGTGGTGCTGAAAAATCCTCAATAGTCTGCTTAAGATGCCCATGAAGATGCTGATTCATTGCAAGACATTTGTTACCGTATAAACCTTCCGCTACTCTATTGAATACCAAAAAGAGCTCGTGTGCTTTATCAACCTCGGATTGTTTGATGCCGGTTTTCAAAATATATCTGCATGCATTTACAAAATCCATCCAGTTTCTCATGTTTTCTTTGGGTAAAATACCTGTGCATTACAAAGTTAATAAAGAAGACGTTTTTTATGACGAATAAGATTTACCTGTCAAAACAAAAGGGGAATACATCAGGCACCAACTTTTCCAGTTGTCAGCCTTAAAGTTGGTAAAACCACTTGCAATCTTTTAATCAACACTTTCAAAACCTGCAGGTAATTCCACCGAGTCGGCAAGAACTTGCATTTTCTCCAAGTTGACTTTTGTGAAGTACCCTTCTTCCTTCCAAATCTTCACAAATCTTGAGCATGTCCCCAAAAGAATATCAATTATGCTTTGTCTCACAACATCGAAGTACCCCAATCGATGCTGTTCTGAATACCTTGTTCCATTAGCCTTCACAAGATCTTCCCGTTCTCTCTCAGTAGCGGCATTGCGCCATCTCAAAGCGGCTCGCAAGTTGCTTGCCTTCGATCGTTCGGGCCATTTACAGGCAACAGTGTTGATTCCGGAAAAATCGGGTTTACCTTCAATCAAGGGGAATTTACCTTCACACTTGTTACACATATGGCCACTCAAATGAGCTGCAAAACCAGCTACTTTCCTGCAAGCTAAGATATCGCATGCCAACATCAACAAAGCACAATGGATTTTAATCCCGTCAGGTTTTGCGGCCGTTTCCATCATTACTCCATTTTTCAACTCTAAAAGCTCATCAACTAAGCTGGATGTCAAAGCCAAATCAAAGTCAACAAAGTACGTGCGATAGTGGTTGATCAAATGGATTCCAGTCATTTTAATTTGATGTATGCTGAATTTTAATGACTTGATTGTTGATACAGGCAAAGCTTCATACCCAGTTGCTTTTTTGTAGATGCTGGTATTGCTGTTTTCAGAAAAAGATAGATTCAGGGGTTTCAAGTACGTGTTGATTCGGTCCAGTTTTGGCTCTTTTCCAACAGGCATAAGCCCAACCAAGATGATGTTTTCTTCTTTAAATCGGCTTTCTCTTTTCCAATTATTGATGCACATGTAAATAGCACCTCAAGAATAATTTATATTATCAAAAGGTTGGAACCAGTCGACATTTAACGATGCATACAACGGATTTCGCAATGTTGAAAATGGAAGACCGGTGTTATCGATCAGTGTTTTGAACATTTTACCATCATATATGTCGTAATACGTTTCTGGAACAACATCTCTCAAACCCCAATCGTTCATTCTAGATTCGAATTCGGGGCGAAGCATTAACTCTTGCAATGAACTTTTAAGAGACTTGTAAGGGTAAACAAATTTGGGCTTGGATATGTTTTTGCCATTACGTTTCTTCACCTGCTCAAACAAAACTTCATCACAAAAGTCACCGTTCAGCGAGACAAAAGAACATGATTGTTGAGAGGGTGTTTTGTTCTGCATTATAATCATTAGACGTTGATTTTGAGAAAATTAATTATCATACCTTTGTTACTTCAGAAGCATAGACTGAATGGCATTTTATGCAAACCGTATATATGGTAACACCAATATCCCAATCACCATTGAAGTTTTTTTCGACTATTTTGAACAACTTTAGCAAAACAAGTTGACTACTATCATTGGCGTCTTTCAATGCGATGTTTAAAAACTGAAGAAGGGTATCGGCAGCTTTATTCTGAGGCCTTCTTTGGCCTTAAAACTGGCAGCAAATAACCCATACATGTCTGCTCCGATTTGTGTCTCAGTTTTTTTAGGATCAGAACTGGGTTCGACATTCCCTTCAGCACAAGTTTCTGTTTCTTCAACATCGTCATTGCCAACTTCATCCTTAACTACCATGCTTACAACTTCGGCTTCTTCGATATTGTCTTCATATTCTTTGACATTCATGATACCTGTTTGTAAACTTAGTTTGCATGATCCTTGTTCAATGGCAACTGCCTCGATCTTGGGGATGTTCTCTTCAATTTCAGTTGTTCTTTGACATTCTGTTTACGCTGTTAATATTTTTTTGATCTTGACCTGAAGAGAGTAAGGACAAGATTCCTACTGTCCTTACTGCCAGACAACGGAGCATGGAAACGCTATTGTCTTTCAAAAATATAGTTGTAGTTGTTGATGCGGAACTCGACTCCTTGAGAATCTTAAGCATTGGTCGCATTTGCAAGTCTGAAGAATCATGTAGGCAGAAAATAATAAAAAAAAATCTGAAAGGGGAAGAAAGAACATTTTTATGATAAAAATGAGAATTCTATTTTTAACATGAACCTTTTTCTTTTCTTTTTTTCTTGAATAAGTAAATCGCGTCAGCACAAAAGCTTTTTCTTCATAAACCTTTTCTCAGAAGTTCCAGCTTTGTCCTTAGGAAAAGATGAACACCTACTTCCAACATGGCGCTTGGAAATATATGTTTTTAAACGTGTATTATAATGAAGAAGTATATTTATACTCTTTGGTTCAGTAAAGTGATGCTATTCTGTAACCACTTTATTATGGTAGTTGCCTTTTAGTATGCTATGATGTAGATGAGTTGGGAACCTCTTTGTTAAGAAATGCTCCTCATTTCGTTCTATTAGGCAGTTCTCTTCTTCTTTTGATCAAGTTGTTATGGCTCTATTAAGTATGTTGTTGTAGTTATTTTGAAAAATGAAAATATATTTAACCATTTCTATTCATATTCTACTAGCGGTGAATTGAAGATGAACACCTACTTCCAACATGGCGCTTGGAAATATATGTTTTTAAACATATATTATAATGAAGAAGTATATATATACTCTTTGGTTCAGGGTAGGTGATGCTATTCTGTAACCACTTTATTATGGTAGTTGCCTTTTATTGTGATATGATGTAGATGAGTTGGGAACCTCTTTGTTAAGACATGCTCCTCATTTCATACTATTAGGTAGTTCTCTTCTCCTTTTAATCAAGTTGTTATGGCTCTATTAAGTATGCTGTTGCAGTTAAGTATGTTGCGGTTATTTTGAAAAATGAAAATATAGTTAATCATTTCTGTTCATATTCCACTAGCGGTGAATTGAAGATGAACACCTACTTCCAACATGGCGCTTGGAAATATATGTTTTTAAACATATATTATAATGAAGAAGTATATATACTCTTTGGTTCAGGGTAGGTGATGCTATTCTGTAACCACTTTATTATGGTAGTTGCCTTTTATTATGCTATGATGTAGATGAGTTGGGAACCTCTTTGTCAAAGAAATGCTCCTCATTTCATACTATTAGGCAGTTCTCTTCTCCTTTTAATCAAGTTGTTATGGCTCTATTAAGTATGCTGTTGCAGTTAAGTGTGTTGCGGTTATTTTAAAAAATGAAAATATAGTTAATCATTCCAGTTCATAGTCTAGCCTGGGTCTTAAATTGCGGTGAAATGAAGATGAACACCTACTTCCAACATGGCGCTTGGAAATATATGTTTTTAAACATGTATTATAATGAAGAAGTATATATATACTCTTTGGTTCCGGGTAGGTGATGCTATTCTGTAACCACTTTATTATGGTAGTTGCCTTTTATTATGCTATGATGTAGATGAGTTGGGAACCTCTTTGTCAAAGAAATGCTCCTCATTTCATACTATTAGGCAGTTCTCTTCTCCTTTTAATCAAGTTGTTATGGCTCTATTAAGTATGTTGTAGTTATTTTGAAAAATGAAAACATATTTAACCATTTTTATTCATATTCTACTAGCGGTGAATTGAAGATGAACACCTACTTCCAACATGGCGCTTGGAAATATATGTTTTTAAACATATATTATAATGAAGAAGTATATATATACTCTTTGGTTCAGGGTAGGTGATGCTATTCTGTAACCACTTTATTATGGTAGTTGCCTTTTATTATGCTATGATGTAGATGAGTTGGGAACCTCTTTGTCAAAGAAATGCTCCTCATTTCATACTATTAGGCAGTTCTCTTCTCCTTTTAATCAAGTTGTTATGGCTCTATTAAGTATGCTGTTGCAGTTAAGTGTGTTGCGGTTATTTTGAAAAATGAAAATATAGTTAATCATTTCAGTTCATAGTCTAGCCTGGGTCTTAAATTGTGGTGAAATGAAGATGAACACCTACTTCCAACATGGCGCTTGGAAATATATGTTTTTAAACATGTATTATAATGAAGAAGTATAGATATACTCTTTGGTTCAGGGTAGGTGATGCTATTCTGTAACCACTTTATTATGGTAGTTGCCTTTTATTATGCTATGATGTAGATGAGTTGGGAACCTCTTTGTCAAAGAAATGCTCCTCATTTCATACTATTAGGCAGTTCTCTTCTCCTTTTAATCAAGTTGTTATGGCTCTATTAAGTATGTTGTAGTTATTTTGAAAAATGAAAATATATTTAGTCATTTTAGTATATCTAATCATTTTTTCTGTAAAGTGTGATAATGTTGAAAACTGAAACTGGGTAGATGACTACTGGATGAAGAAAGAAATGAATATATCATACTAGAAACATCAACATCAAGTGAACTTCGTGCTGGAAAGAAGATCAAAAAACATAACCAATATAAATAAAAACATTTTTTATAAATAGTAAATAAAAACGAAGCCTCTTTATAGTAATAATGGTTTACTGTCTTATTTTCTGGAAATGGATCATAGATTTCTCGACGGAAATTGCTCTGTTGCAATAATTATGAATAAGTGTCAAACCAAGGTATCTCTCAGTCCATCAGTAATAGCAATAAATTGGACACGTTGCCAGCTCACAATTTGAGTGCACTAAAAAAACCCTTGATTGGTCAGGTATAGATTTAAGTTTTCTGGCAAAAATGTTAGTGTAACTCCATAAGCCAATTATATTCATCATTTTCTGACCCCCCCCCCCACTCTTCATTGAAAATAAAAAAATAAATTGTAAAACCTTGTATCGTCGACTATATTAAGTTTCAATAAAAAGATATAGATTAGTTAAATATGTCGATTGCATCATAAAATATTCTGCCATTGAATTCTAAGTCTACTTTATTTTTGCAAAATTAAATAAATGCTCAAGATCTTTTGATTGACAACGTTCATTAGATAGGAAAAGAATTAGAATTTACGTGCATGAAAATTGGAGTAGAGACAAAGTTTGAAGACTTTATGGTTGCTTATATTGATAGCATCAGCACGAAAAAAAAAACCTTTTTTTTTCATACAGCAGGCTTTGTATTCTGCGTGTTAAATTTGCACAGGTTTAACTATGTTGACATCCATGTCATTGATAGAGCTGCTTGATCTTTGTATTTTTAAGAACTTAACCTCAAGGATGCATAGGTTGAATTTGGATGACTCCATTTATATAATCTGCGGGAAAGGTATTTTAAAAATGGAAGTGAAAATGGCTTCATCATTGTCAGTAAGTACACACACAAAGCATTGCATAATAACTGATTACTATGCTAACTGTAATCAGTGATCATTTAACTTGTAGATAGAAAAAAAATAAAAACAAAAAATTCATGCGTGAAATAATGGGATGCTGAGTCACTCACTGGGATTTGGACATTGGGCTTAGCGTAGATATCCTGTTAATTTAACTTGCCACCATAAATATCATTCTGCCCAAGACAGTCGATTTTTCATAATCAACCGCTCGGAGTAATGTATCCCGAATAAATCAAATAAAGGTAGTCATTTATCCTTTTGAAAAATCGGTAAAAAAAAAAATAACCAAAGGGTATAAGGAGCTTACTATTAGAAAAAAAAAATTAGGATAAAGTGACACATGTGAGCTCTCAGGCGGTAAAATTAAATTATCAAAACAAGTTGAACTAACTGTCTCTGCAGTTTAAATGGATGAGAAGAAAATGAGCAAATCGATTAGTCTCAAGTATGACGAACGGATGCTGAGCGCATGGGAAACGCACAAAGTGTTAGCCTTGAATCTTGTTACTTTTTTTTTTGTCAAACTATACCCTTTTGAACTAAATCTGAAGATGTGCAATTGTATTTAGAATGTGTAGTACAAACATCTTGACAGAATTTCGATTTGGTGTGACAGTAAACTAATCTGAAAAATGCCGAGCTGTCAAGAACAAGGGACTTTTTTTTTTGTGGACCGAATGGAGTCTTATTATAATAGGGACTTTTGATTAGTTACGGTATTTATCGGTCATCATTATCATTGGGGTTTAAACATATATAAGTCTGTTGTCCGTGGTATTTGTAATTGACAACCTGAGTTGTTATTGTTGGTCATTTGCGTGTCTCTTGCATATGCTTTGTAAAATAAAAGTATAAAAGAAATAAATATAAAAACCCATGACATGTATATAAGTAAATACTACAAATCAATACTGTACTTACCTCATTACCAGTCTTTTTATTGAACTAACAATAATCCCTACTTTAAAACTTACTTTTTTTTTTGGGAGGTATGTGTGCAACGTCACACGTAGAAACAATATCCTCATGCTTTTCCTTTGAACCCTTGACAGTATGAGCCTGTAATGGTAAAAACTAATGCCTCTTTGTCATTATTTTCAAACTGAGTTTTAGGTGGAAAAAAAGCCAAACAAAAATATCCAAGCTCTTGTTTTTAAGCTTATACGTCAAGTCAGAATAACGTCCTATTTGATGGCGGTGTGTTAATATTCTGCGTTTTCTAAAAGTTGCCCTTTGTTTTAGCAATGTTAAACTGCTCGGTATTCTGTGTGGCTGCTTATCACAGCAAAGTTTTCGGATATCAGCAGAATATTTCTAAAAAAAAAAGAAAAAAGTATTGTGCATGAGGCTACTTCTTCCTTATCTAAACTCATTGTTTGATTTGTAAAGTCTCTTATTCTGAAGGCATATCTCCTAATCATCATCGACAACGCATCCCTATAAGATCTGTATCTAAATATATATAAATTTTTTTTCCCTGCGTACTGTCGCTTGTAATTAAAAAAAAAAAAAAAAAAGGGCATATACATCACCGATCTGAAGTCAGCTTTGCACTCTAACTCAATTGTATTAAATCTGGTGGCTATTCGCTAATTGTCAAAATTACAATTATCTTATTCTTACAACAATGCCATCAGGAAGACCCCCCCCCTTTTTCTCGCGTATACAAAAGACTTGTTTTTGTATTTTATAAGGGCAACATGACCATAACAGTCTTGTCATATATATATATATATTTTAGGCTTTTATCCCTACTTAAACCGGGCTTTCCATCATTCGATAAGGGGTATTTCCATAATTTCTTTTAAAGTCAGGATAATTTCGATCCTGCTGGGGGCGGGGGGGGGAGGTAATTTTTATTCTTGGCCCATAAATCAATATGAACGTTCCCCCAATTCTTCAATCTGAAAGAAGCTGGTAGATGAATACGAAAAACATGAATTGGATAGCTCTACTGTAGCTATGGCAATTCGTGATAATGTGTTTGTTCCAAAAGTCTTTTTTTTTTTTTTTAATATTAAGTTACACGGGTACACGTAAAAACAATTCCGCGCACTTTTTTATGCTGAAAAAAGATAAAGCTCACTTTTTTTTTTTTTTTGTAGGCGTAACTGTTGCACAATCATTCTATCCAATCATAAATCAACCCAAAAAAAGCCATTGACCAATGAAGTAATAGTTTTCTCGAAAAATAACAAAAAAAAAAAAAAAAAATGAGGTATGTGTTACCAATGCTTTTTGAAAAAAAGCTGGCCGACACCATAAAGTTTGGGCGATAAGATCTGGAAGAGTGCTAGACCGTATACGGTGCTTTAAGCGGAACCACCGTGATTTAATTCCTGGTAAAAAAAAAAAAATCTTTCATGGGGCTTTCTTGATACGGCTTACAACATGCATCAAATTATATAAGCTCCTCTAAACCTGATTTGCCTTTTGATGAAGGGAATACAAAAATAGAAAGCCCTCGGTTCATAGCACATGATTTATTTGATGAAATATTAAAAAAAGAACAAAGAGAATACAATTGCCCTTTGGGATGTTTTTATTTATTATTTTTTTTTTTTTTTGTGATAAATAAGAAAGTGCTTTACGTCATGATGTGATAATCAAGTTCTTAAAAGTTGATATATTTTGCGCCAAAAAAAAAAAACCAAACAACCAAAAAGGAGAGCATCAAAGAAGGTAAAGAACAGGATTCAATAAAGAAGAGGTTGTGCGCGTGTGTGATGCTAATACTCACACACACTTCTTAACTCTCTGTGTATTTTTGAGCGTGTAATCAAATCATTTATATCAGTAATTTATTACATTTTTACTTAACGTGTAACCCATATTAGTAAAATCACGGGTCAACCCAATTATAAAACACGTTCCAAAAATATAACTGCCTCCTCCTCCCTCCTTTCGCGTATGAGAGAGAGAGAGAGTTGTTAAACTTTTATTTCTGGGATTATGTAATGTGTGCCTATTACACGACAAAAAAGTAGGCGGAGTTGAGCACGGATACATTTACATCTCAGTTTCTAATAAAAATGTCAAACACCAATAAAAAAAAGTGGGCCCTTGCCCATCCTATCCTTTATCCCACTAACGAGTATCTACCCCATATTAAGATTAGAGAGAGAGAGACAGAGGGAGAAAGTGAAAGGTCCGCGCTGACATAAAAAAGATGAATTGGGTGGCTTCCTCCTCTCCCCCCCCTCCTTAAAGACTATCACTGTACATGATTTACTATCGTGTGCTGAACACGCTGGAACTACATATTGAGTAACAGATGACATATGTCCTAGTTTCATGTGGTAACCAAGACAATTTGTTTATTGATTCTGTAGCAATAATAAACGTCATTTATTGCCATGTGGCAAACGCTTCAAGGAGTGTGAACTTGCTTGCACGTGTAATTATTCCAATTTTGATGCTGAGTGTAAAATAGATATATAAAATCAATGTGTGTGTGTGTGTGTATTTTTTTTCCCCTTCTTTTTTTTTTATATCATTCGTTTAAACAGCAAAAAAGTGTGGAGTGATCATATTCTGGAGAGAATATATATATATATATATTTAAATAACAACGACAACAACAAAAAAAAGAATCCTTTATATTCCCATAAACATGAATTACCATCGATCCATACCTTCACTTTCGTCGTCAATTGCTTCCAGTGAGCCTAGAACGTCGTCTTCATCATCCACAAACAATTACTACTCATATCAAAACTTTAATCCTCACGCACTCAGTTATTCTACCTCATTAAGATCCAATCGAGTTGTGACACCTGTTGAACAAAAGAGATACTCTGAACCATTAAAACGTTGGGACGACTCACAGTTGGAAATAGAGTTGGCTGAAGATGACCTCATAGTGAATAAAAAGAAGAACTCATCACTCCGATTCATTGATAAATTCCGTCATCACCGTCAACAAGATCATGATAAAAAAAACTCCATTGCAAGATCCTTCAAGAAAGTCTATGATTGGTTATTTTAAACACCCTTTATTTTTTTATTTTTTTTTTCTTTACGCAAACTTTCTCATATAATATATACGCACACACACACCTAAAACCCATTGTAGATACCCTCTTTTATGAAAGAAATACCCCTCTCAAAGCCTTCTTCCCCCCCCCCTCCCCCAACTAACCAACCCCCACCCCTCTCCGCGCCAAATTCAATCTGTACATAATGATAATAAAAAAACTACTGCTTTATTTACGGTCTTCAACCATGATAAGATGATAGCCAAACTTGGATTTGACTGGAGGATCTGTAAAAATGGGTTTATCACAAGTGCTAGGTTGTAATGCAAAAGCTATAATAAGAGTGTGTATGTGTGTGTGAGAATCATAATGTTTACTATTATTGTGTATAACAACCGAACCTGCATCTTGAAATACACCGATCATACCAGCGCGAGTCATCCAACCAAGCGAACCTAGAACCACCAGAAGAAAAAAAATTAAGCTTTTTTTTTTTTCATTAAAATGATACAAATTCTAATTTCTGTCTTACCTCCAAGTTTGGCCTTGTCCTCACTGTACAACTCGGCGACCTTATCAAATCTCATATTGTCCTCCTTGATTTTAGCTAATGCCTCCATGATCTATACACATACAAATAATCATAAGCATACACATCACTCCCATAAAAAGAAATACAATAATAATAAAAAAAATCATGCATTGTTTATTTACTCTAGAATGCTTTTCACACAGAATATGTCTGACCTAGATAAACTTACGATAAGTTTTCTTTTCTCACTAAGGGGACGGTCATATGGTTCTTACCTTGACACTGGTAGCTGGCTTTAACTTGCCATCATCTTTTTTAACTTCCTTCTCTTTTTTTTTTTTTTCATTATGGCCTCATTAAAACAAAAAGGGTCTTATACACTGAGAAAAAAAACCTCCTTACCTTTTCCTTTACTTCCAGCAGATTGTTTTCCTTTAGCCATCGTTTATTGTCGTCAATTAGATGTATATAAAAAAAAACATGGAAACATTTTTTATATTTTTATAAGCATGGTGGTGGCGCTCATGTGACTCTTTTTCACCGTTTTTAATATGTGAGGGGCATTACAATTTTCACTTTTTTTTTTTTTTTTCTTTCTCACTCTAGTTTTAAACAGAATCTTTTTTAAACAAATGAAATTCTTTACTGGTGACGAAAGTGGTTTAATCAAATGTAAAAATAAATGGCAACCCGAAAAAATAAAAAAAAATAAAAAAGTACTGACGCATGCACAGGGATCTCTTTTCCACCCAAGGTCGAAGAAAAGCGTAACAAACGTAGAAAGACCGAAGAAGAAGACGACGAGAATAAAAAAAAGAAAGAACCCCTTCAACCTTTAATGGGCGCCTTTGGTAAAGTCGATAAGGAAAATGCCGTTCAAAAGTTATTATGGGCCACCCTCGATGATGAAAAGCTTGTAAGTTTTAACCCCCTTCTTCCCTTTTTTTTTTTTTTTACTGATATTCTCTCTAGTTACTTGTTGCCCGTAGAAACGGTAAAATTCAATTCATGTGTCCCGAGACAGGTGAAGTCAAGAGAGAGTTCCAAAACGAATATGTCGGTTCAGAAGAAAAGCAGGGTCATTTCATTGGCATCTTTATCCACGAAAAGTAAACAATTTATGCAACATTCTTTTTGACACTTTTTTTTTTTTTCTGTATACTTATAAACTCTTTCTTTTCTTTTTTTTATCGGTAGACATCTCTGTGTATGTACCTCCACTGGCGATCTCTCTTACACACCATTAAAGTCTAGAAAGCCCGAGACAAAGACCATCACCAACCTTGGTCCCGATCTTGAAATCATGCGTGGTCATCCTACACAAACACATATCTTTGCTATTGGCGGTAAAGAACGCGATTTATGTATCTATGATATCACTGCTATCGCCAAGAGCAAAAAAGAACAAGAAGATATTAACGCTGCTGGTCCCAATAAGAACACCTCACTTCACAAGAAAAAGTCCAACAAGAACGTCGGCTTGATCTTTCAAGCAAAGAACGTTCAAAATGATTTCCTGGATCTTCAACAACCCGTTTGGATTCATGATTTACAATTTATGAACAAGGAAGCTACTTGTGTTGCCGTTGCCACACACCATCACCAGGTAATTTTATATATATATAACATTGAGTTTTTTTTTTTTTCTGTCAAATCACACCCTCTTTATGCTTAACACTATTATTTATTCAGTTCCGTTTATACAACACTAAAGAGGCACGTAGACCCACCGTCAATGTAGAGGTTGGAAAGCATCCCATCAAAGTATTATCCATCGGTTCAGACTTCAACCATGTTTTATTTGCTGATACCATGAGCACCGTCGGTATGCTTGATATTCGCACCGGTAAGAGATCTGCTCAATTCAAGGGTTTCAGTGGTGCTGCCACTGATTTACTCGCTGTACCTCAACCTACATTTGACGAAAAAGTAAAGGAACCCATTCTTGTGGCAAGTACATCGCTGGATAGATTCTTGAGAGTGCATGAAACTTCCACAGTCTATCGTAATATCCTGGATAAAGCCTATTTAAAGCAACGTTTAACTTGTGTGGTTGTGGATGAAGCCTTTGAATATCCCGTACCCAAGGTGAAGACTGCTGAAGAGGAAGAGGCAGAGGAGGAGGAAGCCTTATGGAAGGCAATGGAACTTACAAAGGACCGCAAGAGAAAGCATACCTAAACCCCCACCCCCACAACACAACATGTATACTGTATAGAATTTTAAAAAACCCACACACACACTTCATAATTAAAACAAGTCAAAAAAACAAAAAAATTCCCCCACTTCTTCTCATATCGTATACACCTTGATTGTACATCTTTTTATTCTTTCTTTGCTTGTTTTAAACGTATACACCGGCAGCGTTGGAGGCAAAGATGGCTCCAAATCCAAGAAGGACAGAGGCTAAAAGTGCTGCCTTGATTTGTTGAAGGAGAGGTGTCTTGCTGTCCAAACTATATTTTTATTATTATTTCGAGTTAAGCTATGTGTGATATATATATATATATAAAAAAGGTGAGAGAAACCTACATGACAAATTGACCAGCAGCAAAGAGTCCTGAGGCAATTGTTAAAAAAGTGACCAAAGGGTAAGAAGAAGTAGGAAGAGGGGCTCCTAAAGGTGTTCCTGCCATCCAATCATCCTGTTTAGTTTATACTTTAGTCTTCCCATTGAACGCGAATCTCGTTTTCTCTTCATCTTACATGTGCTGTCATCTTGTTCATCGGTTAAAAGAGTAATAAAAGATGTAGAAAAATATATATATATATAAAAATTAACTCTCGACGTGTAAAGAAAATATAGGAAATAGAGTCGTGTTATTGGATGAATTGTTTTTATAAAAAAAAAAAAAAAAAAAAAAAAAATGATTGTATGAGCGCACACACACAGACACACACACTTAATTATTTTTTCTTCCCCCTCTTTATTCATTATACACCATGTCCAGTTCAAGTCAACGAGGAGGAGCACTTATAAAACGCGACCCTTGGTATTACAACCCTACATTTCTTTGGCTTGTAAAGTCAACCGCCATCAACTTTATCTTGCCCTTCTTTAACGGTGTCATGCTTGGCTTTGGTGAAATCCTTTCCAACGAAGTACTCTTCAAATACGGTTGGTTTGGTTTTACTCGACCCAATGCTGTTGGCATTCACGGTATTCCTTCCAGTGCAACAAGTGAATATAAAAAAGCCGTCTCGAACGAAATCAAACGTGAACAGAGACTACAACAACAAGAACCTTTGCTTTTAGACTAAATAATTAAACCTCAAAAATAAAATAAAAAAACAAAAATAGTGTATGATGGCTCCCTTCTTTTTCTATTTCCTGTTATTCGTTTTTTTTTTTTTACAGGTACATCATGGCTGTCATAGTTTTTCAACCCTTTTCTCTACTTGACCACAACTTGTCCAATCACAGCACAAAAAAAAGGGGGGGTGACGTATTTTCAACAGTATATAGAAGAATTGGCAGAAGGAATATGAGTTTCACCATATACACTTAAATTATCTTTCTAGTAGACTTTCATACATTGATATCAACCCAACACAGAAAGAGTTTTACAGTACATAGCGCACTATGCAGATCACGTGTGTAGGGTCACGTGATACTTTTTATTTTTTAAAAAAATTAATTGGTAGGCAAGCCTTTTTTTTTTTTTTCTTGGTCAGTTCATTATTAAAAAAAAAAAACCAGTTGTAACTTTTTCTTTTTTTTTTATATAACAACTCTTTTCTGTTTTTAACGTATATAAAAAGGCCATTCCTCCTTTTTTTTTTTTTTTTTTACTGTCAATATATAAAACTTTTAAAACCAAATAAGAAAAAAAAACAATCAAAACATGTCTTACGGTTGGAATAGAGACCAAGCTGGTAATCATTAAAAAAAAAAAAAGTTAGACCTGCGTTATTGACATTGACATCATTTAGCTCCCCCTCCACCTTCTGCAGCTGATCTTGCTAGTTCTTTTTTAAATTCGGTGGGTCAAGAACTTCATGGATCCAATGAAAACCCTTACGGACACGAATCTCAAGGTAAATCAACAAAAAAAAAACAAAAAATCTGATGAATAAAACCAAAACATTAGGATTAAAAAGAGAGAAAGAGCGGGATTCATTGATTTTTATTTTTATTTTATTTTTTATAAAGGTCGATATGGTGAGGAAATAGGTTATCATGGAGGTAATGAAGACTTCCGTAGAAGAGAAACTGGTAGCTCTGGTGGAAATATGGAAAGAGGTGGTGGTGGAGGAGGAGATAGACGCCATAGTAGTAGAGATCGTTACCACGACAGATCACGCGACAACAGAGATGGTGGTAGTCGACGTAGAAGATCTCGAGATAGACGTGAACGTTCTCCACGCGGTGATCGTCATCATGGTAGAAGTCGTGATGATCGTGACTATCGTCGATCACGCAGAAGAAGTCCTAGTCCTCGTCGCACGAGTAGAAGACGTAGCCCCAGTAACGCTGCTAATGCTCCTTCCTCATCCAGCTCCCGTCGTCGCGACGATGAAAACGTCATTCCTTTAAGCAAAAGAGAACGAAAGCTTCATAACTGGGATATGGCCCCCGCTGGTATGGAAGGTATGTCCGCCGAACAAGTCAAGTCCACTGGCTTATTTCCTTTACCTGGTCAAGTCGTTGGTACACGTACTCCTCAATCGTTCCAACCTCCTCCCGATCATGCTACCATGCAAGACGGATCGCGCATTCGCGTCACCCAAGGTGCTGCTGGCCCTGTCGCCTTAAACGCTACTTTAGCCAGACAAGCAAAACGTTTATATGTAGGTCAAATTCCTTTTGGTATCGAAGAGAAGCCCATGGCTGACTTTTTCAATGCTACCATGGAACAACTTCATTTACCGGATACAACACCTGTTTTAGCTGTTCAAATCAATCATGATAAGAATTACGCCTTTGTTGAATTCCAAACTGCTGAACAAGCTACCTCTGCCATGGCCATTGACGGTGTCATGTTCCAAGGTCAACAGTTAAAGATCCGTAGACCTAAAGATTATCAACCTCCTATCAATGGTGAATATATCGATTTACCTAGCCAATTACCTGGACTTGTATCGACTAATGTCCCCGACACACCCAACAAAATCTTTATTGGTGGTCTCCCCGTGTACTTGAACGATGATCAGGTAGTGGAGTTATTAAAATCCTTTGGTGAATTACGTGCTTTCAATCTCGTCAAGGATCCCATCACAGGTGCTAATAAGGGATTTGCCTTTTGTGAGTATGCAGACCCCGCTGTGACAGATTTGGCCTGTCAAGGTTTGAACAATATGGAATTGGGTGATCGTAAATTAGTCGTTCAACGTGCTAGTGTGGGTGCCAAACATGGTTTACTCCCTGTGGAATATACCGGTGAATTACCTTTAAATATCGCTGATTATTTACCTATTGCCAGTGCTAAAGAAGAGGAAGCGACTCGTGTCTTGCAATTAATGAACATGGTGACACCTGAAGAGTTGGAAGATGATGATGAATATCAGGATATCTGGGATGATATTGCAGAGGAATGCTCAAAGTTTGGTAAAATCATAGATATGAAGATTCCAAGACCTAACAAAAACGAACAAGTTCCTGGTTGTGGACTGGTAAGCATTCTTTTTATATATACATATATATCTACTTGTGACTGAAATTATACTCTTTTACTACTCAGATTTTTGTAAGATATGAAACTACTGATCAAACCTTAGAAGCATTACGTGCTCTTGCTGGTCGTAAATTTGCCGATAGAACTGTAGTAGCTACATTTATTGATGAGGACAATTATTTAGCTGATAACTTTTAAAAAAAAAAAAAAAAAAAAAAAAGGAAGAAGGGGAAACAAAAAAATATATATATATATACATATACAAACAGTCAATTTTTTTTTTGTTTTGTTTTGTTTGCTTGCTTTGATTCAAAAAGGGTGTAACGTGACTTTTCATAAAAAAAAAATAAGTGTTCTTCTCTCTCTCCCCTTTCCCCCCCTTTTTTTTCCCTTTAAGAACTTTTTTTAAATTAAGCAGCCATCATGCGTTCGAACCATGACAAACCGTTTGGACAAAAGTTTTTCCTTTCATCTCGACGACCTTCTTCGAGTTCCAGTAGTAACAGTCTACGAGGCATCCACATTAATATTAGCTCGGATCCCTTTCAACACCGTATTCCACCTTACATTCAACGACTCTGGCAAGAAAGTAAATTACGCAGACATTTATCCGTTTGGAAACGACGTTGCATCAAACGATACGCCGCATCGGGCTGGCTCGAACTCGTCGTGCTCGCTACCGGTCTCTTTTCCGCATGCATCATTTTACTTGTACACGTTGGATTCTTTAGTGGGAAAAAATACCAGGATTGGCAAATGGAACATTACAACGATCCCATGGACGAAGTGGACTTATTAGATAAAGTTTACCCAGACGAAGGACGATCTTTGACTACCTCCATCATCTTGCTTCAAAACGAACAAGCACTGGAAGAGACTGTGAAACCTATCTTGAGTGAATTATGTCAGTATGATATGTTTGCTCATTATATTGTATGGAACGATGATCCTTCCCTTCATATCACCATTGATGTAAGTCCCTCCCCCCTCCTAACTTTTTTTTTTTTTTTGTTGAGACACCTTATGGAAACTCAATTCTTCTTTTTCTTTAGATGATTCATACCACAGGCTGTAACTCGAATAAATTACGAGTCATCAATGCACCAGCAAAAATGGGTTCTTCCGCAAGATATCATGCATGTCGTCTTTCAAAAACTTCCTATTGTTATTTCCAAGATATCCCCAGATCAGATCAAAAGCTTAGAAGTATATATGCCAATTTCCTAAGATGGCCTCATCTCATTCATGGCCAATCAAGCCACCATGCTGCCTTTCTTGATTCCCAATGGCGCTATTGTTTTGTCAACACAAGTAAGAGAGAGAGCTTGGGGGTGAGGGAGTTAAGAGTACGGGAAGAGCTCATCACTTTTTTTATATATATCAATGTAGATCTCGATATACATACATGCTACATGGACATGGCGTCGGGGACGTTTGTGACCAAGACGGCTGTCTCGAATTTTATGGACAACTTTGACAAGACGTCTGTAGTGGACGAATATGCTGATATGTATTTCACCATGTTTATGAATCAGATACCGTATGCATTAGAAGGAGGATCAAGCAGCGACAGTAGTAAGAAGAAGAAGGAACTCGATGAGCGTGAATTAGAGCACATGGATCTAGGCCTGACGATTCTGTACAATGATCTAGAAGAAGAGGAAGGTGTGGCACCATTGAATAGCGAGGTAGAAACAACAACCACGGTAGTTATGGATCGTCATGCCCGAGCATCATGTGGTGATGATCGATGCCTCTTTCTCACGAACAAACGTATTTTACCCAACATTGAACTCTTTTCGTATAATCCTACCATTGATGTGAACGTGTCAAGAGAAATGCACAGTGATTTTTATGCTGGATATGATGATGCTTTCAAGTACGCTGGAGCGGTAGATGGGGAGGATCAAACGGCTTGGAAGTCTGTGGAAAATATTCATGCTGGGGATTACATTGGCTTGGATTTATTAATGCCGATGCGTACCTCTTTAAAATACCGATTTCTTGTACGCCATCCTTACATCTATACAAGCACACTGTCCACTAAAATATCCTACGACGGTTCCATCTGGGTAAAATATATATAAATGTATATGTATAAAAAGGGGGGATACTAAAATGAAATTTTTTCTTTCTCCTTCCCGTAGATTAAATTGCACCCACCACCCAGCATCAATTGTCAGAATATGGATGAAAGGGATGTACAATTACTCGAATGTAGATTTATTGTGACAGATACAGGTTATCGATATATTCAATTGGAAAGCCAAAAAGATTTGGATTTTGCATTTCATGTTCATGATTTATCCCTCAGTGCTAAAGTGAAAAAAGACGATAACGGTCAATTATTGGATATTGCCTTTGATGGTGTTGCCTTTGTTGAAGATGGTTTGATTTAGACTTTTTTTTTGTTTTTTTGTTTATTGCTGGTTCGATATATTTTACTTTCTCCTCCCCCCACTCCCCCAATAGTATTCCCCTACACACTACACACACACACGCTACAATACATTTTTTTTTTTTTTTTTTTTTTTTTTAGAAACAGAGATGTGCCGCGGAGTCTTTTTTTTTTTTTTTTGTATATATATATATATATAATAATAATTTATCAGCCATGGGATAGTAATTTGCTTCTAAAAACTTTTTTCAATGTCCAAAATAATCAACTTTTTAATTGTGACAGCAGGTCTTTGTTCAAACGTGTATGGCTTGTATCATATTGTTCATGATTTTGCTATGCCAGGCTATGGTGGTCACTTTCAGGTAAAAATGAAAACTGGGCAACAAGCGCGGGCGGGGAAATAGGGGATTATTAAGTTTATTTTTTTTTTAGTTCTTGACCATTATTGGATTATCACTAGCCACACTTGCCTTGGCAGCTCGGATCCTAAACTTGACAACAGGTGCATTCAACTGTAAGCTTTTTTTTTTTTTATCATGAGTCATCCTATCTAAAAAAAGAGAGAAATACAATAGTCATCTACAGCACTTTATCAGCCCTTGCCACTCCGGTAAGGTCAAAATATATATATATATGTATCCCTTTTTTAGACTAAAAACAAAATCACCCGCGCCCTAGACGGAAGGATTGATCAGTCTGTTCTATTGGCCTATTCACTGTTATGACAAGTACCTGTTACTTCCACAAGAATTCGAGCATGAATTACCACCTTTCCTCGATATTTGCATCCATCTCCTACCTGCATGTTGCCTCTTGACCGACATGTTGCTCTTCAAGTCTTTCAAAAGATCTCCGCTTCATATCTTGGCCATCTATGTATTTGCTTTGGCTTATTATTATTGGGTCAATGTATGCTATGAAGAAAACGGTTATTGGGTCTATCCCTTGTTGGCCGAGATGGGAGATACGCAACGAGGTCTCTTTTTTGTCTTTTGTGCATGGGTTTGTGCTTCTATTTATAAAACAGGTATATATATATATAAAAAAAAAACTCTCTTACTTTTTATACAGAGAGAGTTCAGAAACTAATATACACTCTGGCATCGTTTTTTTTTTTTTTTTTTTTTGTAGTGGCTCGATGCCATATTTGGTTGCATGGAAGCAAATCAAAGAAGAAACAATAAAACAACCGCAAAAAATACTTCTGGGTTATGATTGGCTAATGATTCTTTGTAGGTTTTTTTACAAAAAAAATAAAGTAGACTTAGTCATTGGCAGAATATTTTTATGATGCAATCGACATATTTAACTAATCTATATCCTTTTTATTGAAACTTAACATAGTAAAGAATACAATTTATTTTTTTATTTTCATTGAAGGGGGAGTTACTTTTGCAAACTTAAATTGTTTTTTTTTTATTCTGAAACTCCCTAGACGTCGCGGGTTTACTTCAAGCTAAGAAACTTTTACGAATACAAGAGGAATTTATTAACGATTAACTGGAGGATACTGGGAGTAATCAAGAGGAAGAGGGGAAATCTATCCAGGAAATGTCTAGAACTTCTTCAAACGTATTTTTTTTTTAGAATCACGTGAAGGTCTACACGTCAATTGACATGCTATATCGTCTAAACTTCATAGGATGATTGATTTCTGTTCTCCTGTCATTTACAAGCTACTACTGGAACGCAGATATACAACTACCAAGTTCCCATTTGCTTTGGGAAGGCTTAATTTTGCATATGTTTCTATTTTAAGTAAAGGCTCAAACATTTTGAAAGATGAAACATGCAAATTAAATCATCCTGACATAAGCTTGTTTATCAGCCTACAAATAAAAGCTAGTTCACACACACTTTATTCTTCCTCCTTTTTCTTTTCTCTTCCATCTTATGAAAGTAACGGATAATTTAAAAAGGTTGGTTATTAGTGGCTCTTGTTTCTTTTAAAAAAGACGCTAAAAGGAAAAAAAAAAAGTTATTATGGCGGTACTGCGACTGCGGCTAGTCTTTGCTATAGGAGGGCGACCTCCTAGGGCAGAGAGTTCATGAGTTTTGTAACTCATGAACCGTGAATGGCTTTGAATGCACTGTAGATGGCTGTGAATATACTGGCTTGCTGGTCCTGTCCAAAATTCCTGTAAGTAGTACTAAAAAACGCGTCTGAAAAAAATACGGAGGTCTAGACATTTCCATGAATTATAGTGTGATTTTGATTGGATCCGACATTCTATTTACACGTTATTAAGACTGTACGAATCTAAGAAATTGAAGAAATCGCACCGGGAATCATGGTACCTTTCCCACGTATGGAAATTTATTGACACTGCATTTGACAGTATAGAAAACATTGATGTTCTAAGGTAAACAAATTACTATATCAGTTATGCTTAACACTTTTGTATTAATATTATTTTTTTCCAGTCAAGAATGCTCGAGCGTAAGCTCCAGCAAAAGAAAAAATAAAGATCGATCGATTGGAGGTGTTGAGATGCGAGAACGGAAAAAGATGGGCTATAGATGTGACATGATCTTTTGCGAGAATCGAGTCGGTCATGATGAGATAATCGAGTATGGTGCTGCTGAAGCAGGAAAATCGTATGATGGGGAAGAAGGTACGAAAAGATTAGAAGAAGGGTCGAAAAAACTTCCCAAGTGCCTAAAGGATATCTTCTCTATTTGAGACCTTATCTTGCCCATGTGAGAAAATCATGATTTGTGATACACATACGTTGGTAATTCGTGGTGGTGAATCAATTCTCGGAGGTCAAGACCAAAGATCCAAACCATTGGATTCGTGCATTCTGGCCTAGAATCATTTTTTATGACTGCAGGTTGCCCTGGAAATTACACTACAAGGATAATCAAGTCGAAAAAAACCCATATCTTTAATGATATCTCAGGCTTTTATCTAAGCAGTTTTAGCCGCCTCTCTATTCTGCTTGGATTGCCAAAGAGGCTGTCAAGGACGTAAGAGATATACTGTATGCATCCGGTCAATGTGATGGTGCCCAAAACTCAAACTGGCTAGATGACTACTGGGATGAAGAAGGAAAAGAAGATTTAATACCAGAAACTTTAACATCAAAGAAGATGAAAAAAAATTTGACTAAGATAAATAAGTTTTTTTATGAATAGTAAATAAAAATGAAGCCTCTTTTTAGTTAGTTTGAAGTAAAAATGGTTTATTGTCTTATTTTCTGATAATGGATCATACGATTCTCAACGAAAATTTCTCTGTTGCAATACTTATGAATAAGTATCAAGCCAAGATATCTCTCAGCCCATCAACAACAGCAATAAATTGGACACGCTGCAGCTTAAAGATTATCAACTAAAGTTTGTTCCATCTCACAAGCTAAGAAACTTTTACGAATACAAGAAGAGGAATTTATTAACAATCAACTGGAGGATACTGGGAGTAATCAAGAGGAAGGGGGGAAATGTATCCAGGAAATGTCTAGAACTTCTTCAAACGTATTTTTTTTTTTTTAGAATCACGAAGGTCTACACGTCAATTGACATGCTATATCGTCTAAACTTCATAGGATGATTGATTTCTGTTCTCCTGTCATTTACAAGCTACTACTGGAACGCAGATATACAACTACCAAGTTCCCATTTGCTTGGGGGAGGCTTAATTTTGCATATGTTTCTATTTTAAGTAAAGGCCCAAACATTATGAAAGATGAAACATGCAAATTAAATCATCCTGACATAAGCTTGTTTATCAGCCTACAAATAAAAGCTGGTTCACACACACTTTATTCTTCTTCCTTTTTCTTTTCTCTTCCATCTTATGAAAGTAACGGATAATTTAAAAAGGTTGGTTATTAGTGACTCTTGTTTATTTTAAAAAAGACGCTAAAAGGAAAAAAAAAAAGTTATTATGGCGGTACTGCGACTGCGGCTAGTCTTTGCTATAGGAGGGCGACCTCCTAGGGCAGAGGGTTCATGAGTTTTGAAACTCATGAACCGTGAGTGGCTTTGAATGCACTGTAGATGGCTGTGAATATACTGGCTTGCTGGTCTTGTCCGAAATTCTTGTAAGTAGTATTAAAAAACGCGTCTGAAAAAAATACGGAGGTCTAGACATTTCCATGAATTATAGTGTGATTTCGATTGGATTCGACATGCAGTTTACACATTGTTGAGATTGTATGAATCTAACAAATTGAAGAAAGCCCACCGGGAATCTTTACTTGTCTCACGTATGGCAATTCATTGATATTTTCTTTGACAGTATAGAAAATATCGATGTTCTAAGGTAAACAAATTGCTATAGCAGTTATGCTTAACACTTTTGTATTAATATTATTTTTTCCAGCCAAGAATGTTCTAGTGCAAGCTCCAGCAAAAGAAAAAATAAGGAGCGATCAATTGGAGGTGTTCAGATGAGAGGAAGAGGGCTATCGATGTGATATGATCTTTTGCGAAAATCGAGTTGGTCATGATCAAATTATTGAGTATGGTGCTGCTGAAGCAGGTAAATCGTATGATGGGGAGGAAGGTACAAAACGATTAGAGGAAGGGTCAAAAAAGCTACCCAGGTGCCTAAAGGATATCTTCTCTATTTGAGACCTTATCTTGCCCATGTGAAAAAACCATGATTCGTGATACAAGTACGTTGGTAATTCGTGGTGGTGATTCAATGCCCGGAGGTCAAGATCAAAGATCCAAACCATTGGATTCGTTCATCCTGGTCTTGAATCATTTTTTATGACTGCAGATCGCCTTGGGAATTACACAACAAGGATAACAAAGTCGAAAAAACCCCATATCTTTAATGATATCTCAGGCTTTTGGCTAAGCAGCTTTAGCCGCCTCTCTATTCTGCTTGGATCGCTAAAGAGGTTATCAAGGACGTAAGAGATATACTGTATGCATCCGGTCAATGTGATAGTGCCGTAAACTCTAACTGGCTAGATGACTACTGGGATGAAGAAGAAAAAGAAGAATTAATACCAGAAACACTGACAACGAAGAAGATAAAAAAAAATGATTAAGATGAATAACTTTTTTTATAAATAATAAATAAAAATGAAGCCTCTTTATAGTAATAATGGTTTATTTTCTTATTTTCTGATAATGGATCATAGGATTCTTAACGGAAATTGCTTTGTTGCAGTACTTATGAATCAAGCCAAGATATCTCTCATTCCATCGACAATAGCAATATATTGGACAGGCTGCAGCTTAAAGATTATCAATTAAAGTTTATTCCATCTCACAAGCTAAGAAACTTTTACGAATACAAGAAGAGGAATTTATTAACAATCAACTGGAGGATACTGGGAGTAATCAAGAGGAAGGGGGGAAATTTATCCAGGAAATGTCAAACGTATTATTTTTTTTTTAGAATCACGTGAAGGTCTACACGTCAATTGACATGCTATATCGTCTAAACTTCATAGGATGATTGATTTCTGTTTTCCTGAAAATCTGCTTCACTGTGCATTTACAAGCTACTACTTGAACGCAGATATACAATTACCAAGTTCCCATTTGCTTTGGGAAGGCTTAATTTTGCATATGTTTCTATTTTAAGTAAAGGCCCAAACATTTTGAAAGATGAAACATGCAAATTAAATCATCCTGACATAAGCTTGTTTATCAGCTTACAAATAAAAGCTGGTTCACACACACTTTATTCTTCCTCCTTTTTCTTTTCTCTTCCATCTTATGAAAGTAACGGATAATATAAAAAGGTTAGTTATTAGTGATTCTTGTTTCTTTTAAAAAAGACGCTAAAAGGAAAAAAAAAAAAAAGTTATTATGGCGGTACTGCGACTGCGGCTAGTCTTTGCTATAGGAGGGCGACCTCCTAGGGCAGAGGGTTCATGAGTTTTGAAACTCATGAACCGTGAGTGGCTTTGAATGCACTGTAGATGGCTGTGAATATACTGGCTTGCTGGTCCTGTCCAAAATTCCGGTAAGTAGTACTAAAAAACGCGTCTGAAAAAAATACGGAGGTCTAGACATTTCCATGAATTATAGTGTGATTTCGATTGGATCCGACACTCTATTTACACATTATTGAGATTGTACGAATCCAAGAAATTGAACAAAGCCCACAGGGAATCATGGTACCTTTCTCACGTATGGCAATTTGTTGACAGCTCATTTGACAGTGTAGAAAATCTTGATGTTTAAAGGTAAGCAAATTACTATATCAGTTATGCTTAACACTTTTGTATTAATATTATTTTTTCCAGTCAAGAATGTTCCAGTGTTAGCTCCAGCAAACGAAAAAACAAGGAGCGATCAATTGGAGGTGTTCAGGTGAGAGAAAGAAAAAAGATGAGATATCGATGTGATATGATATTTTGCGAAAATCGAGTCGGCCACGATGAGGCTATTGAGTATGGTGCTGCCGAGGCCGGTAAAGCTTATGATGGGGAGGAAGGAACAAAAAGATTAGAAGAAGGGTCGAAAAAACTTCCCAAGTGTCTGAAGGATATCTTCTCTATTTGAGACCTTATCTTGCCCATGTGAAAAAATCATGATTTGTGATACACATACGTTGGTAATTCGTGGTGCGTGAATCAATTCTCGGAGGTCAAGACCAAAGATCCAAACCATTGGATTCATTTATTCTGGCCTTGAATCTTTTTTTATGACTGCCGATCGCCCCAAGCATTACACAACAAGGATAATTAAATCAAAAAATACCCATATTTCGAATGATATTTCAGGCTTTGGTTCAACAGTTTTACCCGCTCTCTATTCTGCTTGGATTGCTAAAGAGGTTGTTAAGAACGTACGAGATATATTGTATGCATCGGGTCAATGTGATAGTGCTGAAAACTCAAACTGGCTAGATGACTACTGGGATGAAGAAGATAAAGAAGAATTAATACCAGAAACACTGACAACGAAGAAGATAAAAAAAAATGATTAAGATGAATAACTTTTTTTATAAATAATAAATAAAAATGAAGCCTCTTTTTAGTTAGTTTAAGTAAGAATGGTTTATTGTCTTATTTTCTGATAATGAATCATAGGATTCTCAACGAAAATTGCTCTGTTGCAATACTTATGAATAAGTATCAAGCCAAGATATCTCTCAGTCCATCAACAACAGCAATAAACTGAACACGCTGCAGCTTAAAGATTATCAACTAAAGTTTGTTCCATCTCACAAAAAATTGACGGTTTGAGTGTACTAAAAATAACCCTTGGCCAGTCAAGTAATGATTTTGAGTTTTCTAAAATGAAAAGCCTCATCCAATAGCTATAAGCAGAGGCTACTCCTTTATTCACTCTAACTTAACGCAATCGAACAATTCTGGGCTGTTGTTAAAGCAAAGGCAAAACATAATAATAAGTTCACCGATTTAGCGGTTTTTACTATGCGCATAATTGAAGCAAACGAAACTGTGCCCGTTCTCAGAGACTTGACTGAACATTCAATAAATCAATATGATAACTATCTTAATACGGTCGCTAAACAGCTTCTATACAATTACCATAATAATTTTTTAAAAAAGAATGGCCAATTGATTTTCAAATAAGTGACCAAATGAAGTTCAAAAAAAAAAAAAAAAGAGAGCAATTGGTCTGACCAAATGTAGCTAAAAAAAGAGAGTGGTCAATTGAATTTAAAAATCCGACCAATATTTTCAAAAAAAAAAAAAATGACCAATTGAGAGTAGGGGGGGGGGGATATTTATTTTTATTTTAATGGTTTTGTACATGATAGATAAGGTAACCAGGGAGACCATAGACAGAAAATCCCATTGCCTTGGCAATTTTTGCAAACCCTTCTGTTTCTACTTGATGTTGAAACGTAAATGGAGGAAACATGGCACCTTCACGATGCACATGAGCTTTCACTAGTGTAAAAGTGGCTCCTACACCATCCAGAGGCACTTTGTAATCTAGACCGACTTCTGTCGGCATATCCACCATCTAATAATAATAATTAAAAAAAAAAAAAAAATTGAGTCTCATGTATGATATCCATTTTTTCTTTTTTTTTTTTTTTTAAAGAAGGCGTACCAGGTAGCGATAAGTAGGAAACTCATAGTATCCTTCCAATAAGACAAAATCAGCATTTAAATCCTCTTGTATTCTTCTAGAGGCATCGGTTTCTTGCCAATTATTTTTATCATAGGCCCAGAATTCGTTGTCTTCTCTCTTTAACAAACAGTTGGGTACGACGACATCGACGTCGGCACGCATCAGGTCACCAAAGATAGTGGCTGGGTAATGGACGACATCGACATCGACCCAAGCGACCCAAGCGATATCGGGTGTGAGAGCAGCTGTCAGTAACCAATTACGTGATCTTGCCATGATACTCCTTCGCAAGGGTTGCATTTCATACTTGTGCCTTTCCTCTCCCGATAGATTAAACTCGAAATCCTTCTTAAAGATACGTACGGATGCAAAGGAATGGGATTTACCAAACCATGTTGAACGAGATTGGATACGATGAATGTGAGATTCCAGAGCAGCCACGGTATTGTCGGATGAATCTGATACTAAAAAAGCTAAAGAGATGAGTTCGTTGGGATAGGTTGTGCCGTCCAATAATTCGAAATAGCGCTCCAGATAAGGTTCGGCGTCCTTGAGTGGTGTCAGCACCAGCAACTTTTCTTTACGCCCATAGGGGGAGGACGTAATCAGATTCAAGTCCGTAAACACTTTGTGATCGCTCTTCTTGTAATTCGAGATAAATTTAGGTAATAGGCATCGTTTGTGTTGAGTTGTTCCTGAATAATAAAGACTACTCGATAGATAAAAGATGAATAGAAACACAATCAGTGTGCAAAAAACAAGTATCCTCTTGGAAGATAAACTCATATAACAACAGCAACAACAACAAAAAAAAAGCAGGAGAGAAAAAGAGAGAGATATATATATTTTTTTTAAAAAAAAAAAAAAAAAAAAAAAAAAAAAGGGAGGAAAGGGGTGGGGGGGAATATATTTACACATAACATACATTTTTTTTTTTTTTGACTACATTTTTTTTTTTTCTTTTCATAAAAGGTCATAATTGTTGTTCATTTTTTTTAGGCAGATCTGGGATTAAACCAGCCCAATCTACTAAAGACACTCCAGAGTGTACTAGTTTTGTTTACATCGATTCTTACACACTTTTGTGCATCTGATTTTCTGAAAGAGATATCCAATTTATCAAACTGTTCTGCTGCCAAGATAAGAGATCGCTTGCATTTAAGGTATTGTTCTGGTGTCAATCTTAAAGTGGAGGCGATATTGACTTCACCAGGATGTAATGTATCGTAATAAGGTAGTTGTGATATATCCAACGGTGAGCCTATTTTTTTTTGTGTGTGTGTGTTAGTGTGTGATATGCCTCACAATAATAATAAAAAAAAAGTGTACCTTTCCAGACAACACGGACGGCAGGAAGAGTATGAAAGACATTCATGTCAGGAATCCATTGTGGGTTCTGGAATGCATCCTTGTCACTCATGTTAATATCCACTCTATCATAAGCTGCTGCGGCATCTGTCTTTGATTTCTTTACATGTCTTTCTGTGTTGAGAATGGAAGTGGTGTTAAACGTTGGTTGGTTTGGTGTGACCATTGGTTCCGTCGTATTGCTATTCCGTCTCTTCCTAGACAACTCAGAAGTTCCGACGTTGCCAAGTCCGACAAAGTCCATTGTAAAGCTACCTCTTGTGGAAGGTGAAGGCGATCTTCGAGGGATCGATTTCGAACGATGACTTTTTATAGCTGATGCTGTCACCTCCACTTGTCCCTCCAGCGCAAATGGGTTACTGAATGTGATGGCATCTTTATCCGCTGTTGCCATTGCCCTACTATATCGGCGTGCATTGGATTTACGGCGTAGATCAATCGAAGGCACATAGGCAGTCACCGGTAATTGTAACATGGCATCTTCAGGAATATCAACATGTTCCCGCAAGACTGATTTAGGTGTCACAGGAGGTGAAATAGGTGTAGATGATGTAAGCATTGTTTTTTTGTTTAAAAAAAAAAGATAAGTAAATGAAAGAAAGAAAGAGATAGAAATGTGCCCTTTTTTTTTCTTTGCTTTAATCACTGCAAATAGCTGCGCTTTTTTGTGTGACTTCTCATTTGAGGCCGGGGCCTGATTCCTTTTAGCACACGTGGGGAATGCTTTTCATTGGCCTTTTTAATAGAGTTGTCGATCCAACCGTGTCACACAATTACATAAATGCAATTACGTTTTATAATTATATCATGTCTATCCCCTCTTTTTTTTTTTTTTTTTTTTACCTATTCCCTTTAAAGAGAGAGAAAGAACAGATTTGCAGACCACTCAATTTATTTTGACCATCCGCTTACTCTTGGCAATTTTAAAATTAGTAGCTCGCTTTTCTTGCAAACACAATCTCTCTCAGTGCACCTTTTCCTTCATATTATCATTATTCTTTTTTTTTTTTTTTTTTTACCCTTTTACCCGGTTCTACTGCATATGCAATCAGATTTGATCTCATCCGTTTTTGTGAGCGGATTACACTAAAAATACATATATTTAATATAAATTAATAACGCCCTCATTAGGTATAGACCTACCACCTTTCCCTCTCTCTCTCTCTCTCTCTTTTTTTCTCTCTCTTTCTGCCATCACCTTTGTTTTAAGCATAGTAAACATTGGCTTTCTTTCTGTCTGTGCACTCACATTGAAAAGTAAAGCGGTGAGTTATTTTTAAACAGCAACCGAAACATTATTTTTTTCTTTTTTTTTTTTTAGCTCGGCTTAATCCATAAATAGTAAGAACAAAGATCACCCATTGGGGAGTTCCCTGATCATCAAAACAAAAAAAAAAATGTCATTACGTATTTCTGTCTGTGGCGTTTTAAAGTTGCTATGGTGAATCTCGTCATTATTTCTGCCCTGAAGATCTTTTTTTTTTTTTACTGTCTTTTTTTTTTTTTTTTTTTTTTTTTTTACATCACAATGGCCTATTAATAGTTTGAAACAGCTTTTAACCCATTATTATAGTCTTTGCCAAGTATCTAATTTCATTTTGGGCTCTTTTTTTATTTTATTTTTGTCAATGAGTCTATTGTTCGAGACCAAAAAAAGGCTCTTTTTTTTTTATTTATAGAAATGACACAATTTTTCCTTTAGCAAAAAAAAAAAAAAAAAAAGGCCAGATTTTGACGCCACTTTATACGATATCGTGCATGTGTAACAGAACGAGAAAAAAAAAAAAGAAATACATAAGATGACAACTTCAAAAAGCAATGGGCTTTTAATTTTAAATAGAGACACATTTCTCACGCTTGTTTTAACTCAACTGTCTTTTTTTTTCATTTTTTTTTTTATATATATATATAAATATAAATAGTGTTTGTAGTCTCCAGTCGGCACGAAACCCTATAAATCAAACAAATGACAAAAGAGCACCGTTTCAACCCCAAAAGGGGTCAGGAAGACATTTCCCTCTTGTATGCGTTGAAATCATAAAATGATTCCTGGCAATGAAACATCGAGGTCAAAATAAACTGACAAAACGTTCCATCGTGGCTGCATTCTTCTATTTTTGATTAAAGAAAAAAAAAATTCGGTTCTCTTTTTTCTTCCCTATTTATAGTAAAACTCCTAAATAAAATTTTTGCTTTAGCAGTCAGAATTTTTAAAAGAGAAAAAAAAAAAAGACCGTCGTTTTGGGGGCTCGAGCCACTACATCTCCTTAAGCTATTATGCAAGTTTCTCCCATACAACGCCTATTTTAATATATATCAAAGGCAAATCATCCTATTTATTTATCATAGGCCATATCCCAAAACTCAACTTCAAGCGCCAAAATCTCCCTGTACACCTTTTCGAGACTGGCAAGACGACGAGGATCACTGTAATCAAGCTGATCAACCAGATTCTCACATTCCTGCACAAACACACCAAACTCAGCCATGGTCCAGTTGGTCATTAATTCTTTACAGGTATTGACATGAACTGTGTCCGCCTCGACCTCTTCTCCTTCCAAACTACTCTTGTGAACAGATAAAGCATGATTCCAAGCGTTAAAAAAGATAATCTCCATAGCCCATAGTACGACCAAAGCTTCACCCAAATCATAGCCACTTTCATGAGCCACCTTCTTTACAAAATCCACATAACGACTCGTCCATGACTTTTGAGCTTCGGATGATTGACAGTTCGCATAAGGGGTTCTAGCAAGAATCTCACTAAAGAATAAACCTTCGCGATGGATATTGGATAAAGCAAAGGACAAGACTTTCATCACATTCTGTGCTCTTTCTTCGGTATAAGATGGATCGTTGTCCCCAAACTCACGTTGATCCTCATACAATGCTAAACGTGATATCATGATACCCATCATCTTGGTATATCCTCCCGTATAGTATCGATCTTGAATAAGCCAAGATTTAAGATGCTGAGGTTCCACAGTGAGTGTTCCAACTTGCTTTAAAAATTGATGGTGTGTTGCTTTCTCAAACAATTCCTTGTCAATCGAAAGAAGGTGTTCCGTTAGTTTCATATTTAGAAAAAAGAAAATAAAAGATGAAAAAGATCTCCCCCTCCCCCCCCCCCTCCGCCCCTGCAAAAGATCTCTCACTGCAATCTATGAGCTGACTTCTACACCCAAACACAATTGTCTTACAAAATTCCTTTTTTTTTTTTTTATGG